GCGGCATGCCACGCTGGTCCATCGACAGAATCCTCTGTACAAGAACCTCTTCTTGTACAGGTGTAAGACGGCGATTTTTGGAGATAGCACCGCGTTGTGGAGGAATACCACGGGCGCGACGCGTAACCGTCTTTCTGGGCACATCGTATAGTTTCTCAACGCCTCGGAAGGATGTAATTTGGCCGGTCTTGTAGGCTTGAACGCCTAGAATAACTCTGCCTTCTTGAAAGATGGCTTCTTGTTGTTGTGGTGCTGCCATTGGGGTGGTTGTTGGACGACGCGTCGCGTGTTGAGTTGGGTGGGCCACTAGCTTGTGCGGGCCACTAACTTGTGGATTACGTTAGCTTTGATGGCAAGCTTATTAATGCAGTTTTTGCCTCAGGCCTCCACGGCTGATGCCTTGGTCTGCAACATCGTATTACCCCGCCCCCTACCCCCAACGCAACGGTTCGATTGGTAAAATCAACGGGCCGACACCTCCTCCGGAGCACGTAAGGAACGTCAAATGAATTGATATATTCAAGCACCTGCGTATGCTATATAGCTATATAAGCTATTTACAACATCATCATTAAGCCATGGAAACGCCTCAGCAGCTTGCTGCTCGTCTGTGAGCCCTCCTGTGCTCTGAGCGACCTCTAAGCGACGCCGAAGCTCTTCGTTAGCAGCGTTCTGCGCCTATAGCTGTTGCTTGAGCTCAGCGATGACATCGACCTGCTTCTTCGGTGGCTTCGCTGGAGCTCTTGGCTTCTGCACGCCTACAGGGTACTTGCGAGGGCGGCCGGGGCCACGCCTAGGAGCTTGGTGTTGAGCTTCCTGTGTGAGCTAAGTTGAAAGCTGAGTCTCGTAAACGAATTGAACCTGCTGAGTGAGCTGCTGCATAGCTGCGAATGGAGCTGCCTCCTGGATGAGCTGCTGTGTAGCTGCCTCCGGAGCTGCCTCCTGAGCTACCTGCTGAGCTACCTGCTGCGTATGTCCACCTCCACGTCGGCTACGAGCTGCAATTGCTCTGTTCACTGGATTGTTCGCAGCTACAAGCTCGAACTCGGAGGGCTCTCTCTGTGTTGATAGATGAGGCCTATGACGATCCGGAGCTGTAGGCCGGCCACTACATACAGCCAGTGCTCGTCAATCAAGCTAAGTGGAATCTTGTACTCGCTTGTCGCAGTTTGGTGGAGCGCCCGGTGTATTATGTGACAACAAGGCATACCATAGGTACTGGAGAAGTTGTTGTAGCACTCTTGAGTGAATTCATCTTTCTTAGCCAGCTCAAGCTGCTCTTTAAGCTTGTATAGGCCTACAGCTGTAACCTTTCCAATAAGGAGCTTAAATTCGAGCACAGCTTTGATAGCGTGTTGAGGAGCGCGCTGCTCCCGGGCAATATCATTACCAAGCTTATTACATTGCTTTTAAATGAGGCTTGTAATATCGTTAACAACGTTATATAAGTCGCCCTTTTGGTTCATTAAGGCCCTCTTAAGGTAGCTGTGAGAGCCTTCTAGCCGCGAAGTAACTGTATTTCCATAGTGTTGAAGCTTGCTAATATAGCAATTAGCAAGCTGGAAGCGCCATGGCCACCACCTCATCTTGTAGAAAGGTAACTAGCGAAGGTTTAGTCACTTCGTACGTATCTGTGAGGGCCTTCCAAGCTTCAAGAAAGGGATGTTGGTTTGGCTGTGATATTACGTGATTCTATGCTTGTAGAAATCGCTGTCGATTAGCCTGTACAACATTAAGCTGCTCCGGTGTAGGCTCAGGTTCAATGGCGGTAATTACTGCACGCTCATGCTCCTTCCAGACCTCCATAGCTTTTAATCCTATTTTATTCATCATGTGCCATTTACATAGAATCTGAGGTACGCTAGGGAATGATGCATATAGAGCCTTCTTTAGCGCTGCTTCTTTATCCGTAATGAAGACCTTGGGCATAATCTGCAGGCGTTGGCATATCTCTTGAAGTGAACCAGTTATAAACTGGTAATCAGCATTAGTGTCTCCAGAAAGAAAGGCGTAGCCGAGCTCGTAGTTCTGATTTGTAGAGGTTACCCCTGTGATGTAGAGCATTGGCATCCTGAATCGGTTTGTCTTGTATGTGCAATCAAGAGGTACAACATCTAGGTTCCTTTTGAACATCTTAAGGCTCTCTGGGTGGATAAAGAAGAGGTGTGTTACTCGGTTGTCGTTGTCATCCAGGAGAAAGCTATACTCGTATTTCCCGCCGTCTGGTCTGGTATATATTTCTAGCTGCTTGAATATCTTGCGTAGGCGTGAGGCCGGCCAGTTCCTCCCTCTTGTACTTCTGCTTCTCGTTGTAGATATCTCGGATATCAATATGGCGGCCAGCGAGAAGGAGGCCATTAAGGATTGCATCTGGAGCAACATTGGAGTCTATCTGGCGACGGATTTCTGCAACCATGGAAGGCGTACGCTTGCGAAGAGTAGCAGGTAGACCTTCGATTTCAAGGAAGCGATCGTGGCCGGTATGCTTCTCATGGCCTTGAACAGGTTCAAGGAAGCTCCTGCCTGTGCTATGGTCTACAACACGGATATCAAGAAGGAATTCGCAGCCGCATGCCTTTGAAGCTGCGTTCTTTCGAACTGCAGCTGAGATGTATGTCCCAGCACAGTCGCAGCGGAGAGTGACTCGATGAACTTGGCCCTTCTTATTCTTGTGGCTACGGAGCCGGGAGAGCGCGTAGCCGTGTTCCTTTGCAAAGAGCTTAGCTGAGGCCTCCGCCGCCTCAATTGACGCGTGGTAGCCTGCAGGAGGGGGGTCCATAGCACAAGGAGGAGAGAGAGGAGTTCGTTGGTACGTTCTGGAGGTGTCGGCCTGTTGATTTGGCCGATCGGAGCGTTGCGTTTGGGGGGGGGGGGTTAGTACGATTATCAATTTGGGGCGGTATGATTAGTAAAGGGGGCAGTATAATTAACAACGTCCGTATTTTATGCACGTTTCATGCCGATTGTATATCTCGGTGTTGATCTTTTTGTTCCCCGCACCCCGCATTCTTCCCCTGGTGGGCCCCCGCAGCACTACTAAAGCCTACCAGAACTCCCACTCCACCTTATCACCCTCTACTCTCTGCTTTACCTACAGCTTGTAACACTTTCCTCCTGCATCTATTCCTTCTACATTTATCTCCAGAATCAACACGTCCGCAGCGAACAGACGAAGAATGGAGGCGTCTGCTTCCAACACGACAACGAAGAATTCAACTCCGACAGGCAAGAAACCGCTGAAAAGGTCGCACATCGCCTGTATACGCTGTAACCGTCGCCGAGCAAAATGCAATGCTTCTACAATCGGCTTACCGTGTTCAGCCTGCTCGGAGCTGGGTCTCACTGATTGCCAATTCATCCAGTCCAAGAGGAAATGGTAGATTGACTTTTTATCCGTCTTTCTTCGGAACACTCCTGATAAAATTGCTGATAGGTCTGCACCTAGGAAAAAGAGCATGCGCCAGCTCTTATCGTCCAATTCGGAAGAAGCTGCCGAGCTTACGCGTGAAGGGCGAGGCCCACCAGCTACATCACCTCTGTCGGACGTTGCATACCCTCCAGATGAGGGCGATAAAGAGGATGACGAGGGTTCGGTCGTTGAGTCCAGCGTTACGAACCCTTCCGAATCAAACGAAAGCGAGACTTGGACGAAAGCAGCAGACGTGATCAGTGTCGGTAACCAAGCGGGAGATGTATCGGTGTGGTACCTCGGAGGAACTTGGGTGATCCCAGCAGCGCAAGTGTTTCTAGACCTGAACTCAACGGGTGTGCATAGGGCGTTTTCGAGTCCTCTGACACCGTCATTTTGCAGAGAGCTGATTTCCTCCTTCTTTGATAAGTTTCATACAATCTTTCCCATCGTTGACGGACGCGACTTCGAGGAATCACTACGAGCAAAAACGCTGCCAAGGCTACTGCTGGATACAGTGCTGCTAGCTGGTGTGACGCACTGTAATAAAGAGCTTTTTCGAAAGAACGGGTTTGCCACCCGCATGGAGGCGATTCAATATTTCCATGACAAGGTCTCGGCCGGTTTCGATTCATCTCGCAAAACCGCAACACTGGCGTTGATACAATGCATGTTCATTATGCAATTTTATTGGATGTCTCCAAGAGATTGGAAAGATATGAAGTTTTGGCTATCCACAGCAATCCGGCAAGCCCAGTTCCTCGGCCTGCACAAGAAAACGGAAATACAGAAGCTGAAACCATCTAATCGAAGTCTCTGCCGTCGAATTTGGTGGTGCTTATATGTAAGAACCAGAACCCCTCACAGTGGGATCCTTCATTTATTTCATTTTCGCTGACACCAGACATTGCCTTAGATTCGAGATCGTCAGTGTGCGTCAGCGACAGGAATGCCAGTCATGATTCAAGATGAGGACTGTGACGTAGAAGTACCTTGTCTAGAGGATATGGATGAGAATATGAGTCTGGAAGCAAAACTATCTTTTCTCCAGTTGTTAAAACTGATGCGAGAAGGTGCACATCTCTCGCCCCTTCACATCTTCTAGCTCTAACATCCTGCTAGTGAGATCGCTACTCCGGGCAGAATTTGGTCCTGCCAGCACACTCTCTAATCGAAGCCATAAGGAGCAGTCAAGGCAAGACGTTATCTCGGCATGTGAAAGCTGGCAGGCAGAAATGCCAACAGAACTAAAAAATCCATCGAAAGAATCAGGCACTGCTGTATTCTACTTGCACATATCCTTCCAGTATATTACTCAATCTTGCTATTCCTGTTCTAGCTAATCATTTGAAAAGTACACAAGTCCTCATCCTCAATCGGTCAATTGCGCGCAATTATTCTTCATCGTTCCCATTCATCGATGTATACTCGCTTGTTGCCAACCATGCGGCACACATGATCACGGTACTTAGCAACCAGCTGTCGGGCATCTGGGGCACAGAATCTCTTCTTTTTAATTGGTAAGTTTATTGCAGAAACAAGACTCAAACCTAACAATAATCCAGTTGTTACTCTATTTTCGCCGCTATGACTGTTCAAATTGTTTCGAAAAGAGGGATCCCTGATCTTTCGAGGGACGATGACTTCTCCATGAATATGAAATGCCTTCGACGATTAGGAGACTTATACCCCATAGCCGTGTGGATCGAGAAACTCATTAATAGAGTTACCGATGAGGCAAATGACAGCAGGGAGAGCTTTACAGCCAAAAGTAGGTAAATCGCATGATAATGTATATTGCTCCAATGGGCTAAGCGCTTCTCTCTCCTCTGGCAAATATGTTGCTAATTATCCATGAACTGTGCAGACATCGTTCAAAGGCCAGATCCATCATCGCAAGGCTGGAGATCAACTTTTCATGAGAGATCTCCTCGCAACCAATTTCAGCAATCTCAAACTAACTTCAGCTCCTTGTCTACGGCGCCACAATTCGGGGCCCAACCCCCCACCAGCCAAGAGCGAGAATTTAATTCTGATATCCCTAACCCATCACTGAAGCCACCTGGAAGCAGTGAACGTAATGATGGTATCACCACGATGGAACATATTGAAGACTATCTCACAGCCACTTCTCCTTCGGTGGACTTTCTGGACCAGGGCCAAGATGACTTGGACGGCTGGCAAGCGGCTTATAATCAGCTGGAGCTTGATCTAATATATTGAGTCTATTGGCGTCAAGATTCTGGGATGGTACGTCTCAAATGTGGCATCGTTGGTCCATAGCAATCCTGAGTCACAATTATCCACATCGAGGAGGTGCAGTGGAAACATTTGAAATATGATTATCTGTGGAATACGGATCAATATGATTTGAAAACTCAAAGGATTTCCTTTACATAAGACACTTCAAGTATGCACTCTTATAGTCAATTATACGAACTAGGAGATCATCCCTCTCAGATACGGATTAATCCAGTGCAACACTCTATAGCCGCGATGTTTTCAAACACGGGTCTATTACACTCTCGTCCTTATTCTTGATATACCAAGACAAATCACCTGTCCTCTTCTCCGCCGTCGACAAGCCATTTCCAAGGTATGCATAGCGATTCGTTGGGTATGTGAATTTCCAATCTTCGTACCTGGGCTGCTTGATGGCTTCGAGGTAATGTAGTGTGGACCCAGGCCAGAGCGCTGTAATCTTGCCGGCGCCGGGTCCGGTCTTGTACCATGAGCGGCAGTCCTCGCTCCAGACTGCAGACGGGAATTATTAATAGCTGTTCTTGAGAACGCGTGTAGAATAGCTTAAAATGAGGTGGGCGATGGATGGTGGGGGACTTGCTCATTTTCTCCATGTAATTATCTTTGTGCTGGTTCAGTTCGTCTTGTGCTTCCCTCGATACGTCAAATGCCCTGTTGCATTTTAGTGCGTTCTCACGAAGTGAATGCCGACTTGGAAAGCCAGTCAGAAGGAATTTGGCTTACATGATGTTCTCCTTTCGCATTTTCGAAAGCATCGTGATCACATACTGGATTTGCAGCTCAATGGCAATGAGCACTGGCCCATTTCCAACTGGGCAGTTGGGACCGAGAGTCATGAAATAATTAGGGAATCCAGACACTGCTAGCCCAAAGTATCCTTCTGGTTTCGCTGAGGAGCATCTCATTTAGCCATCGGCGAGCTTCTTCACAGAGCTGAGTAATGCTACCACATACCTTTCCACATGTTCGAAAGGTACTTTTGAGAGCGGCCCTTAAGGGCAAATCGGGACTTGAACGTGGTGTCAAAACCCGTTGCGCAGATAAGAACATCGATAGGGTACTTGGTGCCGTCGTCCATCACGATCCCATTCTCGTATACCCGCTGGATTTCCCCAAAAATGGGTTGCACATTGTCTGCCGACAGAGCCTCGAGATAATTGACACCGGGCGTCAAACGCCTGCAGCCGACGCTGAAACTGGGGATGAGTTTCTCCTGAAGCTGTGGATTGTTCAGCCGTTCTTTCATCTTGCTTTCGACGACGGATCTGATGCTCTTCTGCTTGTCAGACTGGTCGAAGAACATTTCGTATGCGCTGTTTATCCGTTCTTCGATTTGCTTCCGCATTTGAAGATGGCTCTCCGGGTCGGTTGCATAATTTTTTTTTTCTTCCTCCGTGTAGCGCCTGTGTTCATCCAGGCCGATGAGTGGTGCTACCCATGTTGGAGAACGAATGAATGTGGTCAGCTTCGAAGCGATTGGTTGGATTGCAGGTAATATCTGGATGCCAGAAGAACTACAAGGCGATGCAACACATTAGTGTTTGTAATTTAACGGTTTACGATATGGATTTCCTCTCACCCATTTCCTATTAGCCCGACAGACTTGCCTTCCAAAGATACGCTCTTATCCCAATTGGCACTATGCAACAAGGGGCCGCGGAAGTCGTGTAACCCCTGAATAGCTGGCCATTGCCAAGAATTCAACACCCCGCCACAATTCATAAGCACACGAGCAGAGTCTCGAAAAACATTGCCATTAAGGTTGTTCCTAATGTCAACAGTCCACAAGCCTGAATCCTCATTCCAAGTCGCCGCAATGACCTCGTGCGAGACTTTGACGAAGCGATTGAGATTGTATTTGGAAGCAAAATCCTTGAAGTATTTCTGGATTTCAGCAGATGATGCGTATGTTTCGCACCAATCCGCCTTTGGCTCGAAGGACCATGTGTAGCAATGGGCCGGAACATCGCATGCGCACCTAGATACAAATGAGCAAATCAAGGTATATTGCGCATATTATACGAACCCAGGATATCGATTTTCGAACCACGTCCCGCCCGTGTCCGGATTTTTCTCGTACATTCTGAGGTCAAAGGCGTCGAAATGTCGATCGAGTTTATACGCCAAAAGGAGACCAGACACTCCCGCCCCAATGCATATGACGGATAGACTTCGCTTCGGCGTGTGGATGGGATCTGTGTAAGAGACATTATAAGGCTTCAAAGCGACTGAAGCTTGGATATCAGTCATGGTTGTTGCTTGATTACGATATTGATACTCTCCTACTCCACTTATAAACTTCTCGTCAATTGCAGCGTTTGGTATAAGCAGAGATCTGCTGTAGGCTAGGGATGGCGTAACAACATCCGACAACATCCGTGTGCCTACCTAGGTTCAACTGCAGTTGTTCGCATTACACCACCATACCTGTGATCCGAGACTTGGCGGAAATAAGCTCGGCCTGCTCGGCTCTTCATAGGCTATCACCACCATTCCTTGTCCGCGTCAATGGCAAAAGACTACCAGTCTCACGAATGAATGATAGATTGAGAATCCGTGCTTTAGGATATTACTCTCGTCCCCATCAGCGAAGAAGCGCTGCAACTGGACAATTTCAGCAAAATGGCCGCAGCAACAATCCCATTCGCTAAGCACCCCTATCTTCAAGGTCTCCCGTCCCCTTACTACAAGGAGGCCCATTGAAAATGGCAGCGCACATGTTGAGAATACATCCACCAGCACCTGGTCCAGCATGCTCTGGACTGGGAGCGTGACGAATTTGTGCCACTCGATGTCTACAACAGGTTTGCAGACGACGGGTTTCTACTGCCTAACCTCCCCGCACCATTGCCTCTTGATTGGTTGAAAAACTGAAAGCTGAGGAATTTGATTATTTTCATTTCTTGATCTATACTGATGAGGTAACTCCCTCTACCCCCTTTCAATTTGTGGCCAGAAAACTGATCGGGATGTTGAGATGCTAAGGGTGGGACTTCTTGGGCCTCCGAGAGCAGTCACCACGGGCTTTGCCTTTGGTGTCCCGCCCATATACAAGTTTGGAAATATGGAATTGCAGAAAAGGTTTCTCCCTGACCTTCTTGTTGGGAAGAAAAGAACATGCCTTGCTATCACAGAACCTGAGTATGCCAGGTCTTCGATGAGTTGTGTTGACAACAAAGTCTGATAATCTTCCACACATGATTCACTTCAAACCTCGTATCACTGCCTCGTGGCACACCCTCCCCTTTCCCCACCCTATATCTCGCAACCATCAACCTCCTTCTCCTCCTCCTCCTCCTCCTCCTCCTCCTCCTCCTCCTCCACCACCACAACATCTCCCCAACCCATACCCATACCCATACCTCACAACTAACTAACGCCACTCGCACTAACATATCAACCCACTAACACCCATGACCAAAGTCTCCTTCCGCTGGAAATGCTGCCAATCCGGCCACTTCCAAGCCCTGTGCACCCCCTGCCCCTGCGCCCACCGGCGCTGCAAAAAGTGCCAGTACGTCCACGTGCGCGCGCCGCTGCTCCCGCGCAAAAAGAAGCCCGAGTATACTACTGCTCCTCCTACTCCCGCCGCGGCTGGAGGGAGGGTGGGCGGCCAACGCGTCTTCGGAGGTCCGCAGGGAGGCTTCCAGGGCGGGTTTGGCGGTGCACAGCAGCCGCAGGGGCAGAATGACCCGGGGGTGGTGGTGGGGGGGACTTCGAGCCAGATTTTGAGGAGGGGGCTGCGGCGACGGCGCAGGGGAATTCGATGCTTGGGGAGGGGTCGGTGCATTCGGGAGGGGGGTCGCGGCATTCTGGAGGCGGGTCGAGGCATTCTGGAGGGGCGTCGAGGCATTCTGGGGGTGGAGGGGCGGGGACGGAGACGCAGTTTTGAAGGGTTGGGGGGGGGGGGGGGGCTAGGGAGGAGGACAGGGAGGGTTTTGTGTGCTAGTATCATGCATTATAGCTAATGCATAGATCATGGCGACTCAGTGTGCTCGGTTGATCTTTTGCCTGACTTGCCCGCTGATAAATCTCAACGAGCCCTGCTTGAAGCCTGCTTTGATATCTTCCTTGATTCGGTGTGTGGTCTACAGCGCTGGCTGATACTGTAGATGCGTCTCATATGGTGTTCATGTCGGCCACGACGTTCAAATTCTTCAGAAGCCAGTGTAGTTTAGTTGGCTATAATGTGTTCGGCGCAGGAGCATTGTATTGCCCGCGCCGTGCAAGACCCGAATTCGATCCTCGGCGCTGGCCCTTGGGCATCTTCTCTTTTGCTCTTCCGTTTTGCTATACAGGTGACCGGTGAAGTTTTGTTTCGTAAATCTAATTTCGCAGAGTAGTAAGCCAGTAGGAGACTAGTAAAGCAGCTGTTCAACGACATGGGGCTTCGAACGTCAATGCATAGATCGAAAGCTTCTTTTTATTTGGGTATAGAATATATAAATATGTTTGAACTCTCACAATGTCTTTGGCTTGCTCTCACTGCCAACGGATTTCCTTTTGCTCGCGAATATGCCGCTCTTGTCGGCCAGATTCCACAAGCACCAAAGATAGCATAGCCCGAAGCCTGCGGCACCGACAAGCACGTTCAGCACAACCCATAAATCTGGCAAGCGCTCTGGAGGGGGAACAAAGGCTTCTAATACATGCCACCCGACCATGGCGATATAGATATTGATGTGAAGAATCTTTGTTCCTAGAGTCAAGCCTCCAGATGTCCCTTCAGAGTATGCGGAGAGTGAAACAGGCGGGAGACCGAGGAGGTATGCCCATAGGAGTGTGAGGACAAAGTACGGAACCCTTAAGTCATCGCGCTTGAGAAGTGGAAACATAGTCCATACGCCTAGCATGTTTGCTAGACCGACCCAAGCCCTAGTGGAAGGGAGGAGTCCTCCTTTCCCACTCAGCAAGACCGTCATTGGCAGGAGTGGTAGTAACACGTTCTTCTCGTGAACTTGATATGAGCATAGGAAGAAGCCCCAGGAGGTGGCTGCGAGTGCCAAAGGGAGATGTTCTTTGCGCGGTTTAATGAGGAGGATAAGACATGGCGGCGCTATGGCAGCAGAGGTAGCAAGGAGAGCCGCACGCTGGACTGAAGCGCTGGGGTATTGGTGGAGCTTGTGGAAGGTGTGAATCGCGCACCAGACGTTGGCGACCTTATCTTCAAAGAGGCCGCGCGCGAACGGGAAAACTCGGTGGATTGATTGGAAGAGTTGGAGTACGATTGGGTAGTACCACGCTTTTTCGTTAAGGTCGATAGGCAGGGATGCCAGGAGAGGAGGAACGGAGAAGTTGGACATGTCGATGCCCTGGTATGAATCATACGCTACTCTTAAAAGGAAGGGAGCATAGAGTAAAGCGAACGAGATCGCGGTGACCAGCGCGATGGCAATTAAGCGTAGTATGTTTATGCGCGGGACAAAACAGATGCCCAAGAGGTAGACGAAGAAAGCTGGTGCGTAGAATAGAGCCATCTGTTTGAAGCCAAGAGCTGCTACGAAAAACACGCAGCCCCATAGCGGCCGACCTGCAATCATGCTAGACATGCTAGCAAGCACCAGGCCTAGCATTACGGTATTGTATTGGAAGTGGCCGTGGTCGATGAGCATGGTTCCAGGTTGCATAAGAACAGCTACAAGTGCAATTGATGCTTCCCACAGGTTTACACCTTCCCGTCGCGAGAATCGGCGGAGAAAGATTATAACGGCGGGTATATAGATGAGGTATTCCGAGACAAAGACGGTGGCGCGCATGTATATTTTCAGGGACGGGTCATGGAGGCCACGGGAAGTGAACAGCGCAAACCACTCTGGGTTGATCAGCGTGCCACTGCGATGTGTAAGTTTTTGATACAATGTTCCAAGATAATCTCACATACACAGCACCAAGCAGCCAGCTATGATACGCAGTAAGAGGTGGATAGTCTAATCCCCACCACTCTAGATCATGAAAGTACCACTGGGAGACGGGCAGGCGCGTGGTAATCTCCATCCAGTGTCTTTGCGCTTCAAAATCCCCATGCATGGGTGGCGCCTCGTAGCCTGCTAGTATCAGCAGTGATTGATCCAGTTATAGAACCGTATGTACCAGAGTATCCCCAAAATCCAGTGGTCCATCGAAACAGCCCAACTGCCATTAACATCAAAGGAAGGATGACCCATTGTGACACTGTTCCCTTAGCAGGCCAGAGAAAGGCAACAAGAGGAAACGCAGGCTTCGGGGTATTCGTATTATCAATTGTGCCATGGGTGACGTGTGCGAGGGAGCTCTCTTGAATTCGTCTTCTTCGAGGTTTATGGGGTTGTGGAGAGGCCATGGTCCGTATTCACCGGATCACAGGAGCTTGTATGGGTCCCAAGTGGGCATATCGGTTTCAGGAAGGTGTTTGGTGGGCGATAGCGAGTCTCTAGCCGATGTACTGACGCGAAAAGGCACGATGCTCCCTTGGTGTTGAACTTCCAAAATGCATGCAGGGATCGGCGGCAACTACCGTCTTGGCATTTCTCACCGTCTTGAAAGCTGCCCCACCTAAAAGGTTAGCGCGGAAATTTCTATGTCAAATAGCTCCCGCCTCGCCATTTTCTTCTTCCTCCTCCACCACACCAACCTTTCGCAATCTTCTCCGCGACACCATCTACTTTCCCCTTGAGCATCAACTCAAGGACTTCACTTGTGGGCTTTCTGAGGGTTTATCTGAGGGCATACCTGTGAGCGTTACTGTGGGCAGCGACATCATCGCAAATACAAATACCAGAGCTTAAGTCAGTGGGCACTCGAGACACAGTCTCTCTTCCTTTACGCACATCGTGGGTTACATTATCTTTGTGGGCTTTCATCGCGCCATTGCGCGTGAGTGAGATACAGTTCCAGTGGGCTTTTGACTGCTGTGGGTTTTTTTCGCACATTTCCTCGGCTTTTGTGGGAACACGCAGCCTTGGAAGCGGACTTCTGTGGGCTCTGTGGGCTAGTGGGCTATTACACTTGTGGGCTTGAGGGATTCCGTGTCACACGCGGTCTCTAAAGAATTCAGTGGGCTACTGCACGTTGAGGAAACCAGACCGAAAAGACGAACTTCTCCAAGTCTCTTGCGCTTGACCTGTCCAAGGTCGTTGACGCAAAGGCAAGCTTCTGCTTGTCTTGACTACACACGACCCTCTCTTTTGCTCTTTTCGCATCCAGTCCGTTGTCGGCACAGTTACTGACTCGTCCTAGATCAAGAAAACTCTTCAGCACGATCAACATGTCCAAAGTCAAGGCAGGCAAAGGCGATATCGCCAAGGTCTCGAAGAGAGATGCCAAAAAGGTAGCTCCCGTCAAAGAGGGCCGTGTTACCAAGCCCGCTCAAACCCCAAAGGCAAAGAGCAAAGAAGTCGCCAAGTCCGCTGCCGCCAAGGTCGAGAAGTCGTCGAAGAAGTCCAAGAAGGTACCTACTCCTTCTCCTGAGCCCGAGTCCGAATCCGAGGCGGATTCCAGCGATGCCAGCGAGTCGAGTGCCTCCTCTTCCAGCAGCGAGAGTGATAGCGATAGCGACAGCGAAACCGAAGTGGCTCCCAAGAAACTCTCTGTTGTCAAGACTAATGGTGCCGTAAAGGCCCCAGCAACGGCCGACTCTTCCGACGATGACTCGAGCGAGGCGGATAGCGACAGCAGTGAGAGCGAGGCCGAGGCTGCTCCTACACCTGCTAAGGCAAACGGAGTCAAGGCCAATAGCGCTGCTAAGGCGGCCGCTACCTCGGACTCTGATTCATCGGATGAGAGCGCGAGCAGCGCGGACGAGTCTGAGAACGAGAAGCCTGCTGCGGCCAAGGCCAACGGAGCTGCGAAGACTAAGGGCGCTGCGGTCAAGGCAGAGGACAGTGTAAGCCACACCATGGCGTCCCTAAATCACCACCTTACTAACCAGAGCAGGATTCTTCTGATGCCGACTCTGCCGATTCTGAGGCTGCTTCCGACGATTCCGACTCGAGCGAAGATGAGGCTCCTTCCAAGAAGCGCAAGGCCGAGACCGAGACCACTCCCGCTGCGAAGAAGACCAAGGTCGAACCTGAAGCAGAGGAGGGTATCAAGAACCTGTTCGTTGGCAACTTGAGCTGGAACGTTGATGAGGATTGGCTCACCCGCCACTTCGAGGAATTCGGAGAAATCACTGGGGCCCGTATCATCACGGACAAGGCCACTGGCAAGGCCAAGGGGTATGTTTCTCTGTTTGTCACCCTTAACTATCATCTGTTAACATAGATCAGATTCGGATACGTTGAATTCGCATCTGCCGCCTCTGCTAAGGCCGCCCTCGAGGCCCTGAATGGTACCGAGCTTGATGGTCGCAACATGAACGTTGACTTCAGCACTCCTCGCTCCAACGAGAACAAGAACGACCGTAGCAAGCGCTACGGTGACCAGCAGGGCGCCCCTGCCAATACGCTATTCGTTGGCAACATTTCATTCGAGGCTACCAACGACATGATTTCCGAGTACTTCTCCGAGTACGGCACAATCACCCGTGTGTCTCTCCCGACCGACCAGGAGACCGGCAACCCCAAGGGTTTCGGATATGTCGACTTCACTACCGTCGAGGAAGCTACGGCTGCCCTTGAGGCTCTTAATGGCGCTGACATTGCTGGCCGTGCCATTCGTCTTGACTACGCTACTCCTCGCCCGGATAACGGTGGAGGCGGACGTGGCAGCGGGTTCTCCCGTGGCGGTGGACGTGGTGGTGGACGTGGTGGCGGACGCGGTGGTTTTGACCGCGGCGGACGTGGTGGCGGACGTGGCCGTGGTGGATTCGACCGTGGAGGCCGTGGTGGAGGACGTGGCGGAAGCCGTGGAGGCTCTTCCTACAACCGTGGTGGCTTCGGCGACTTCCAGGGCAAGAAGGTCACCTTCTAGATGCCTTGAGTATTAACTTGCTGCGCCTGCATCTCATTTCGCAGAAATAGGAAACGAATGTCGACTGGTAGGTCATGACGTATTTGTGCCGATTTCTGCACAGCTCGAGGCTCCTTGCCTTGGGTACGATGGCATGATACGAGTATGGGTAGCTTCGGTTTCCTAATCCTTTCTTCTTTGGTTGGGGATAAAAGTTGTCTTGTTTCTTCTCTTTCTGCTTGATACCCTTCCCTGTACCATACCTTCGTCACGCTGCTAGTGGTGTCTCTGCAAGGTTGTGGTTCGGCGAGGGGTGCGCCATGCACCGTCCATGAGTGTATTTGCTCTCCTTAGGTAGTAATTTGCTGGTGAAGAACGATTATCTAGATGCTAGTGTTCCATGATGCTTTTCGTGAGCCCCGCCTTGATCAATCTCTGTTACCACTCACACACCCATCTAAGTGTAGCATCATATCATACTCGCTATCACACGCAAACACCTCCAACTCTAAAGAACTATTCCTGCTGCTCTCACCGTTCGAGAATCGACATCCACAATGTTCCACCACTGGCTTACGATCCACAGCATCAACCCCGACTCCCCGGCGATCCCGAATTTCTAGCTGTTTGCCGCTCCCTCTATCCTTTGGCACGTCGCTTCCAACACCTCAGGTAAACAGATCTTACCTCTGCTCTTACGCATATAGTCTGTCTGTCCACAGTCACGCTACAACGAGCACGGCTTGTTGGCCTCGTACCGCATCTACGAAAACCGCATCAAATCTGACATTCACTCGAACTAAACACCCCTCCCTAAATTTCAACTCACCGAAGTTATCACGCTACAGTACAGTCACCGCTCAGTCACACACACTCTATCTCCGGAGCGTGTACCCCGCCTCCCCGGGATAGAAGAAGTCACATGTTAGTGTCGGAAGCAGAGCGGTGGACGGGTGAGAAACGTGACAGGCGTGAGGCGGGGGACCGGGCGTCGGGGCCGTATATAATCTGCGCTTGCAGTTCTGGAGGCGGTGTTTGGAGAAGGCATGGGTGGGAGGGTTGGGGAGGATCGAAAATCGACATATAGAAAGCTTCCATGGGAGATGGGGAGGAGAGAGTTTGGAATCTCGAATTGCGAGCTTCCTATGGTGGTGTTGTGTGGGATGCAAATGTGTCTATTTTCGATCACGGTGGTGTTGGTGGCTTCGATCCGGGTGGAGGTGACTTTCCTATGGCGTCGGTGTGGATTTGCTGGTGGATGAGTGGATGGAGTCGTTGGAGGACGGCGAACTCCAGGCCGTGGTGATGATGGGCAGTACTTCTTCAATCTGTGGGTTGATACCTCTCTTGACTGGAGATGTGTAGGTAAAATCGAGCGAGTAGGCTTGAGAGTCGTAGCGATTGGAGGAGATGCTCATCATCACCGCTGGGGATCTGAAGGCTCGCACGGAATCGAACGCCATTCAACAGTGGTCTGATATGATTTTGTTCCCTGTGGACTGTTTGCTCCTCTGCCACGCCGTACCATGATGAGAGAAGCCGTAACTATCACCTTTTGCAATAGGTTTCAGATCCACATAGCCATGAAGTCTCGTTAAGCATTTTTCCACCTCTCAAGTTCCAATCTGAACCCAAAAGTCTGCTGGAACAACCTTATATAACTACACTCACAAGAAAGAACGAGCATTAGGTTTCCCATCTCCCAAACCCACGTGCAAACACCAACTAACACGTGACACATCTCCCAAAACCTTTCACCCACCCTTTCATTACTCACGCGTCAACCCCTCCCTACCGTGCCCGTCGGCTACCGTCTCCAATCTAGCTAGCGCCCCCATAAACCTGTCCCGTCGCGTCGCGTCGCGTGGTGCACATGTGGCAAGCAGCGCTCGCGTGGGAAACGAGCAGTCCTCTGCTTCCGCGCTCAGCGCTCGGGAAGCGATGACTCGCTCCGCGGACCCGTAGGGCTGGTTGCGAGATGGGGAGGGGTGGGTGTTGGATGAGGGCGCAAGGATGGGGTAAGGATTAGACATGGGAGAAAGCTGGGGAGGGGAGCATGGGGCGGCGAGGTGCCGAGGACCGCTTCTCATACATGCTGGGGATGCGAGTTGCTTACCCGTTTTGAGGCTTGGGGGGGTTGTCGGAGATGGTTGGGGTTAGGGATGTGATGGCAGCGGATGGAACTGTGATGGGTATGGGTATGGAGTGGGATTTTGGGGAGAGAAGAATGCGAAGTCGCGTGGAGGAGGGAGATAAAATTGAGACAAGGACACCGGCCGATCGGTGAGAACACAAGATGAGAAGAAGACAGAAATGTAGCCGTGGTTGATGAGATGCGATTTAATATGGGAGGAGAATAGGAGTGTGGACGGTGATTAATCCGCTTAAATGTGTTAATGTACATACATACCGCTGCGTTGGGTCGGGCAGGAATCGCACGGACCTGGACCCCAGAAGTGGACCACCAGCACCCAGCGCCATGATTCAAAACACGTGGCTTCACGTTCGGCGTTCCGAGAACTTCCAGCTCTTCTCAAAGACGCGAATGAGGAAATAGATCGTTCTAGTGAGAGGAAATTGTCGTACGATGGTGGCAATGCATGACGATACTTGCTCAAAGTCGGACCGAGAGTGGTGAAAGAAAACAGAACAACTCCATATCTCCGTCTCACGATAGCCAAGACACAGCAGCGCAAAAGAACCAGAAAACTGTCATTGAAAGCACTCATGCATTCATAAGTTATGCAGTTACCTAACGACTTTCCCGTCTCCATTCTCTGTCTACTGTAAGAGGTTAGGACGCATGTGCCTGACGACTCAGGTACGGGCATCTCGCCTAACCTATTCTTGTCCCCCCCGATTTCCCCCTCCCCATGCCAGTGCCAGCGCCACCAAAGACGGATGTTTACCCAGTAGGATACATGTCTGCAAACATACTTTTTCCGTAGCCCGCCCCAGGGTTGATGTCAGAAATTTTCCACCCCGATGTATCCCAGCCCAGCACCCCGCCTTTCCGACCCGATCCCTACATCCCAGTCCCAGCCAGTTGGTATAATTGAGCAGCGCATAGTGATCTGGCCAGATAGCAGAGTTATGACCCCACGGTGTGACAAATCTCGAAGAAAGCAAGAAGCAAAAAGAGGAAATGTGAAGGGAAGACGGGATATCCATGTGCAAAGTGCAGGAAGCGAATCCGGCCTTAGGCACGTGCGCCAGCTCCACCCCAGGTGCGCGCCGGCAGGGGTCCTGAAGCAGCCATCAAAGCAAAAAAACCTCCATTAGGCCAGCCCTAAAGCGATGACCTTTAACGCGTGAAAACATGATGAAAACATAGAAGAGACAACGCACAGCATCAGGGCATGCAGAATGGATCTCCAGGCATCCGGCCGAGATTATCTTTAGAAAGTTGCAAGCAACTTATTTCGTGATACAAGGAAAATGATTAGGCGCCGTGTCGGACATGTGAAATCTTTTTTTCGCAGCAGGGTCCGGGATATGTATGTTGAAGAAACATGGATGCTGTAGGGTCCGTCAATCATGTGAGGTGCAAAATCCGAAAATGCTAATATACAGGAACAGAATCGCGGGTAGACCTCGCGGGATGCTCTGAATCGTTTCAGAGGCCGTCGGTACATCTAGCGATGTTCGTAGGGTCGTGCGCCGGCGAATTCGACGCCTTGCATCGCGGCCGAAGGAGGAGAGGGGCCCCATTGGGGTGGTTGTTGAAGTGGTGGTAGGATAGTCGTGCTGGCCGGAGTCTGTCCATGCTGTTGAGCCAGCATGTTGGTCATGCTGCCGTACACGTGCGGGTTGTTGGGATCGACGCGCCGCATATGCTGCCACACGGCATGTAGCTCGTTGCGCAGGTGCTCGCACTCTTCCTGCGCCCTTCTGCAGTACTCGGCGTCTGGGCGCAGACGCGCGTTTTCAGCGCGAGTAGCCTCATGGGCCTTCGCCAGAGTCTTGATGTACTCGATCGCTGTGAGAGTATTAGATACAGAATTCCGGGAACGATTGTGCCAGACTTACATTTGGTGAGGATCTCCCATTTGCTTGACTTGCTGCCAGGCGAGTTGGGCAGGATGCCATTCAATTCATCGAAGAGCCCTTTCATCTCGCTTCGGCGCTTCCGCTCGGCCATTTTGTGACTGACACGGAGCTCTGGGGTACGGCTGTAGTTGCCGCTTCCAGGCGTCGAAGGACTTTCACCGCTCTGCAAATTCGTGACGTTACGGTGTTGCATGGAGTGGTGATGCGTCGTAGCAATATCTCCTCCAGGACCGAATCCGTCGATGTGATACTCGGGGCGAGTGCCGTCGTCGAACCTCTTCTGCCCAGGCGGTAGGTTGGATTCGGCAGTGAAGACGCTGCTATTGACAGACGTAGCGAAGCTGTTCTGGCGCGACAGTTTGTGGATATCGCCGCTCGAATCTCCACTGCTGGAACCTCGCCTATCTTCAGGATCTAATTCTGCAGGAAAAGCCCACGCGTAACCTTTCGTCGGTGCGGCAGCCATAGGATCCGGCATTCCTGAAACGCTTCGGGGGTTCGGATTGATGACTGGAGCTCGTCGAGGAGGCTGATTAGGCCGAGCTCCAGGCCGTGGGCCAAGCGGCGATAGCGGAGACACTGCGTTGGGGCGTGGCTCATTGGTAATGCCGCGCTGCTGTTGAAGATTCGATACTAAAGAGACTCGGGACGCGTTTTGGCTATCATACGGCGACGAGGGGCTGATGGCCAGATGGCCCATTCCGACATTCATCCGGCTGTCGACGCTGCTTCGTCGCGAGTCAAAGTGGGAGGTGTTTTCGAAGCTGACACGGTTGTGGTCGAAGCCGTGATTGAGCGAGGGCAGGGCATTTCCCTGGAGGTGTCAGTTGGACGTGGAGAACGCTGAGCGTTGTTGACAGTACCTGCTGATTGGCCTGCGGGTTGGAGTATCTCGCGCACAAAGGAGTGTCGGGGACAGAGCTGCGTGATGGCGAGTCCTCAGCATTCAGGATGGTCTGAAGCTGGAGTCCCATGGTATTTGACACACCCGAAGAGTCTGCTATAGAACTTAGTATATTGGTGGACGCCACAGGCTGAAGCAGCTCTTGGAAGTGTATTCTTCACATATCGCGCGGAGATTTGCTGTTGCAGCGCGGCAGATAAGGGCGGATGCGTAAACTCACGTTTGCTCTGAGAGATTGACCAATTGCCCGAGTCTCGAGCTTCTGAAGCGTGCCGCAGATGAGCAGGCGATTGCTCCGGGAGAGGATACTGGCCGGTCAACGAGGCAATGGACGGGAGTGCCTGGTTTTGAGACACGGGGACGGGCCCGCGGCGCTCTACAGAAACAGCGTCCATGATGACGGCGGCGAAGACGAGGCAATTGCGCGACGGGCTGGCCGGGCGGGAAAGACAAGGCGGTGCCGGGAAGATGGAACTTGGCTTGAGGTGGTGATGCAGACAAAGCCAGAAGGAGAGGATGCACCAATGGCGTTCTGTGCCGAGCAGTCGACGCTAGGACTCGTCTTGCGGTCGCGGCGACGACGAGAACACAAAGGAATAGAACGAAGAATAGACGGAGAGAGCAGGACTCGAGCGGAGTGGGCCGCGGTGGGTTTAAGGTGGGTGAGGCTGGGAGGAGAACAAAGAGTCGAGGGGAGTTGCCTTCTCGGGCGAGGGCACGGGTTGAGATTGGGTTGGTGGTTGCTTCCCTTCAGGGCACTCACGTTTTGGGCGGGGCACGAAATCTGCAACGCCAAGCTCCGCCAACCTTCCAATTGCTCTCGAAATACCTGCACGCCGCGCGAGGATCTCGGCAGCAGCGCCTTCGATCGAGAGAGCGTGGACGGGCAGCTCGCGCCAGCCGGTAGCAGAGGGGAGAGGCGCCAGGGAACTGTTCAGGACGCCGGCATCGAGGTCAGGACGCTCGCGCAGCCAAAACGGACGTGGCTGCAGTCGCTCAAGCACCGAAGACAGTCCAGGCGGCCCACACAGCGCTCTCAGGCGGGGCGCTGGGACGGTCGAGGATTGACAGGCGCACAGCGGTGGTTAGGGCGTGGTGTCGTCGGACGGGCAGGCGGTGGACGACGCCGCGGACAGAACGCTCCCTCGACGGACAAGGCGCAGAGCGAGGCGCGTCAGCAAGCGGCGGCGCGAACTGCGAAGGGCTCCAGTGCTCCAGTGCTCCAGTGCTCCAGTGCTCCAGTGCTCCAATGCTCCAATGGGCTGGAGGGCTCACGAGCAGCAGCAGTCGAATGGCGTGGAGTGGCGCTGAGCGTTGCACAAGAGAAGGGAGCCAGGACGGACGGGTGACGCGGGCGAGCACAAGACGCGGCAGTCAAGACGCGCGCAGAGCAGCGGGTGCGAGTCCCGTGGGCGACGGGAGGGGACGTCGGGCAGGTCGAATTGGCAGGCGGAGCTCAGCGCAGGACTCAGAGGGGTGGAGTGGTGAGGGTCGCGGACTTGTGCTTGGGGCGATCGAGTCTTTCTTCAGCGACGGCCGGCTGAATCGACCAGCGGGGCGGGCGTGCCTTGCATGGACTCTGGGACCCGGGGCGGCGGACAGACGACAGTGCGCGCTCGCTGGGGACTCTGGTCTGGTGGCACTCTGTTCGGCGTGCCGACGGCGACGGACAGCAGAAGATGTTGGAGAGCAGGCCGGGGCGGAGCCAATTGCCAGGGAGCATCGCCCAGCGCCCAGCCTGGACAAGCAAACCATCCCATCTGCCGTTGCGGCACGTGGGAATCGCCCGCCCAGTCGCGTTAGCCCGATCTCCCTCGTCATATCGGACGGGTGGTGTGGTCTCGCTGCCGCCGGCTCCATCGCGATCCACCGCCCTCGACCAGGAGGGAGCAGGAGGGAGCACGCTGAGAAGCTCCGCCAAGCATCGAGCATCCCGCACCTGCACCAGCATCACCAGCATCAGCGGCCGGCACCTGCTCCCGAGCTCTCGCCGCCTCGATGCTGGGCGGACTGGGTGGTGGGCGGCGGGGCCCGCAGCGAGGGCGCGATTGGGCGGCGTCGACAAGCCTCCAGAGCAGCCTCGTGGCTCCAGCGTGGGAGCACTAGCGCGGGCGGGATCTCCACACACGAGATTGCCGCTTAACGGGAGGTGGTGCGAGAGACCTGCCTGTCTGAGCGGAGCCGAAAAGCAAAACCTCCTGGCCATGGACACCGTGCGCCTCTCGGAGCGAGCAGCCACGGGCTCTCAGGCCTCAGGCAGGGCGCCGCCTCTGCTCCCGTGCTGTCTTGCCTGCCTCAGGTCTCCACGCTCCTCCCCGACGCAGCCTGGGTTGCTCTTCATCAAACCTCAACGGCCTCGCTACCGCGTATCGCTGCACGCACTGACCGCGAGAGGCTGCCATCCCTCGAGCTATCCTGTACCATTCGCAATGCCCAGCCATCCTGGAGCCATCATCGAGCCAGCGCCGGCCAGGCAGCTCGTAAGCAGGGCTCAACACAGCGTCGCGATCCCACGCCCCTGACTCCCGCGCCAGCGAGCATGGACGCCAACACCGGCGTGGACTCCAACTCCAGCATGGACTCCACCGGGCCATGACTTGCGACAGACGGGACAGACCCCCGAGCCCGCGGCCGGACTTTTGGCCAAACGGCCTCAACACAGCCTCTTTGCGCGCCCATGCCTCCCGTCGGCCCTGCAAGCTCCTCGACCGCGCGAGCCACTCAGCCGTCGCTGCAGCCAAACACGGCCCGGACAGGCGAGCACATGTGTTTCGCGGCCTTGCGCACTGCAACACCAAACCACCATCGCACCGTGGCCACGGCGCCCGCAGGCCGAGTTGCACGCGCCCGCCAGCCTCTCTTTGTCCTGACGACCTGCCTGCTGCGCTCGCGTTGCACACCAAGCCCATGACTCGATCGCCCGCGCCGAAGATGCCCCCGCAGCCTCACAGATCTCGTGCAACTGCGGCGTTGCAAGCTCCCCTCTGCCCTCCCACGCACCCCGGGCTGACTGGCCGCCTGCATCATGCCAGGGAGAGCACGGCAGCGTTTCCATCACGTTCGACCTGCCACGGCAGCCGCAAACTCGCCCTGCCAGGCCTTCACCATCGCCCTCAAGAGTCGACTCCACCCCTCCGCATCGCAGCCAGTCGGAACCCGCCAGCCCCGAGGCGGCGTCGCACAGAGGGGTACGGTAGCCATCGCTTGCTTGCATCGTGTGCCTAGCTGCCGCTGCATGTCATTCCTAAATCTTCTCCACTGTCTGGTTCTTTCCATCTTGGTACGTACCTCCCTCCCGAATCTTGGTACAACGGCCGTATGCGCCGTCCCAGACTCACCCTCAGCTTGACGCATTGTGGCTGCTTTCACGCGCCTCCCAGTGCCTCGAGGCGCCGATCGCTGTCGGCGTCCGAGGCGTGAACTGAGAATGGACTCCGATGCCGCTCGGTGAGCTCCTAGCATCATGGGGTATCATCTAGATGCCGCCCATCCCAACAAAGGAATGAAAAGCAATCATCTTGCGTCCTCCTTCAACCTGCTGCCCCTCTGTTACACGCGCCAATAGGCCTCCTGACTACAGGACCAAAATAGCATCCGGTACGCTCATTCCTTCGTGGTCTACGATTGCGGGCAAAAGCAACAGCAAGCTTCTTCATCTGGCCCGTTGAGCGCCATGATTGCCATCGTGCTCTCCAGATGCATCTGTCCCCGCGCCATGGCCCATCTCCGCCACCACAGGTGCCCAGCTCCCGAAACCACATGCTCAACATGACCAGAGTCATACTGCAACTCGCACATGGCTTTGTCAGCCACACCATCGACGTCGACTGGATCACCCGGGCCGAATGTGCGACCACACGCTCCCGATAACCCGGGTTGCGACTTGAACGCCGTCGTGTCAGGTGCGAGAGCATGCCTTGTAGCCGTCGGCAGTGTGCAGTATGCCATCCTTCACGATCCACTGCACCCACCGATATCAAGTACAGCCTCTAATCTGCCATGTCGGTGAGGACGGCGTTCAACGTTTTCCTATATCTATGGAACGTTGTCTAGCGCTATTGCGATATCGTCCGTTATTGACACTAGCCCGTCGGCTCAAATCGATACATGAGACCTCATGGAGTCCTGGAAAGTCCCTTAGCAACTGTATTATGATACCAGCTTTTTGTGCGCTTCGTGGCGTTGCGGCGCGATCGTGCGCATACCGAACCAGTATGCTTCTCTTCACGCGTGGTAGGTCCCAAGTACTGCTAACTAAGAGTGGCTATATCATAACAGCCATACTATTGCACAGGTGCGTTCTCGCGTTGCATTCGCGCCACGCCAGCATATGGAGGCAAGCAGTATGATTGCTCCTGTCTCAGTACTATCTCATATCCTCGCCGTATGGAATCTTTCGCCACCCCGAAAAATGCGTCGGGTTCGTTGATTGTCTCATTCCAATTTATCGAATTCATGCAGAAACCGTATTTAGGTCTGGCTGCCAATATCTTTCTCATTGCCAAATAATTCACTTTATTAGTCATCTCTGAATGCTCTGGAATGTGACCGCTAGATGAGACAGGTCGTCAATGATTCACAGCACATATTGCACGTTGCCGTCCTACCCTCTACCAAGGCTTCACAACCTGCGGGCCATTTTCATCCAACGAGGCAGCCTCTCCTCCTCTGCAGTCCAACCTTCGAAGCAAGAGCAACACGTTGCAGTGTTACTTCTGGTTGGCATCAACGGCTTTAGAGCCTGTCGTGCCGCCCTTCAATCAAAGGCTGACATACGCACTAAGGGACCTTGCTTTTCCCACGCGTGACACTACTTGGACGGGAATGTAGCTAAGTAATACAATATGGAAACCAGCATGTTTACGTATACATGAGCTGTTCTTTGCATATCAAGTTACAAACTCGGCGCTATGAGAGTCTTAGAGCGAGATCAAAAATAATCGTTGCTGCCGAGATGGCTTGGGTGTCTGATCAATACGAATACGTTCAACACACTCTGCCAAGACTACTCTGCTGAAAATGCTGTCCTTCAGCAATCACGCCGAACCATGCTCAAGCAGGATCACGCCCCTGAGAGCCTCACAGCTGCAAAATCCCCGAGTTTCGCCACTCTAGAGATCCACTCCAGAGAGAGTCGGTCACACCGAAAGCTCCCAACCCCTATTCACTCCCCTCCCCAACGCGTGATGCTACACAACCGTCTCCCCCCCCCCCCAGCTCTCTCTCCCCTAAACAGTCGCACATCTACGTCGCAGGCGTCAGCCTGCTGCCTGCTGAATGCTAGATGCATGTCTACTCCCTAAACCAGCCCGCTCCGCGGCCCATGCCCGTGCAGATGCCAGACTCCAAATGCAGCCTCTTCAACGGCCTCACCGATAGTTAGCACCTCAATCGGTTAAGTAAGTCAGTAGGGGGCTGTTTTCCCCCCGGCAATCCGCAATCCTCCAGGATCGATATCCCCGAGATCCCCCACACTCCGCCGCGGCGCCCTACGTAGATAGATGCCCGTTGGCAAACGTGCGGTTCTCGAGGCGATGGCCCCCGACGGCGACGGGAGACAGGGGCTCTATCTCTATTTTAGCAACGGTCGCGTTGGCAAGTGAGGTTTGGGATCCCGGGGGCGCGGGCTAATCGGGGATGCGGGATTGGGTGGGTGGTGGCGAGCGTGGGGATTTTGGGAAAGGGGGATTTGAGGCGCAGCGGGGGATTTGGCGGATGGGGATGGTGTTGAAGGGGGGATTTGGGGGGGCTTGAGGGTTGCGGATCTGGAGCTGAGTTTAGAGGTTTATCGGCGACCTATCTTGGGAGGTTGGTTTGGCGTTGCTGGGTTAGGGATTGCTCGTGGTTTTGTACTGTAGGGTGAGAGGTTTGTCACGTGGTCGGTTCGTTGCGCCTGGGCTGAGTTCGGAGGGCGGAGAAAAAGTGGCACACTCGGGCTCCAACAAAGGAAGTAACACCGTCTGAGTGGCTCGGAGAGTTATCAGGCTTGCCAGCGCTAGTACTTTACGAATGACATTGATATACCAGAGGACCTCATGCGCTGCTGAACAAACGTACACGAAGTATAGAAGTAGTGTGTACATTATGAGGTTTAAATTAGAACCACGGATTCGTGGACTGCCAATTTTTGTTTAACATAGGCAGCCTCATGCGTACACCTGTCTGCCACTGCTTGGAGCGCTTCAACGACTTTTTAAATTGTCCAAAGTGAAGAGTTTCCATCACTCCCAAATGCATTGAAGCATCCCAAGCAGCACACCCACGGCGACCTGTTCAAAGAAAGAGTACCACTTTTTCTATGCCCCACGTGGAGGGGTAGCCTCGGCGCGGTGGGCCACCTAGGCCGACTTTCTTCAAGGCTACAACTTCAGGATTTCTCTCTCCGACAACAAACAACACACTGCCCGTCGACACAACACGGCGGCGGTCCACATACTTGGCTAATCAGAGACTCATCGTACAGCACTCAGTCTAGGCTTCTTCAGCCTGGCCGTCGCATCGCTCGCTATGGATCTTGATGCACCATTTCCTGCGTCATTGCAGGACACCGTCATTGAAGTCCCACCAGAAACTGCCCCAGTCTTCGACACCGCTAGGGACGCTGCGGAGCAAGTCTTTCGCTTCCTCGATCTTCCTCGCGAACTTCGCGATCAAGTGTACTATCACGTCTTCGAAATCCCAGACTCACGGTCCCCGCGCGCGCTCCGTATCGAACGCCGCCATTTGACATACTTCAAGTCCACCCCAGGGGCAATTCTTCTGGTGCTTCATCAAGAAGATATGCTCTGGAATCGTCAAGTAGCGCGCGAGGCGTTAGAGGTGTTTCTCAAGAAGCATACCGTGTTTCTCTCATGCGGACCGTTTGTCTTGATGAAATTTCTAAAGATGATTCAAGAAGGAGTAGGCAACGTCGAAGACCAAAAGGATGATATGAATAACGCTAAACAAAAACAGCCCTTGGTGCGCCACGTTGATGATCCTGTTGGACCCGAAGTACTGAGCTGGTTGAAGCGCATCGAGCTTGACTGGGTCACATTTCCCAACCTGAGATTTTACCCCCCATGGCGTTGGGACGACTCCCAGTCGTGTTCGGAACGGTCAGCCTACCGCCTCAAATTAGGTGGTCCACAACCTAGAGAAAGCCAAACCGAAACTTCCTGGGACTACGCTGGAGATAGCAGCGAATACTATGACGACAACTACTACGAAGACCGAAGCGGGTGGCCGGACTACTCTTGGGAACAGTTTTACGAGGATGCTCAAGATGTACAAGACGTGCGAGAGGACGGCAACGCAGAAGATCAAGACTCTAGCGATCCTTTTGGCTTCGACGGGCATTACCCGTTTTCTGACCCTACCTCAGGGCCACAATGGGAGGAGTCTACCCCCACTGATGCGCGCACCGCACTCGATCGCCTTGAGACATACGAAGTCATGCCGTTGTTCGCGTTCTTGTCGACTCCACCTATCGCCCTCACAAGCATCACCATACCCTTGTTCTTCGTGTCCCGGCCGAAGTACCACAGCCGTGCCTCACTACCGGCAGACATGAAACTCCCTCTACGTATCCGCTACTGGACCAAGGTCATCGCATCTGCCCTCTACATGCTTCTTAATCCAACCGAAAATCAACCACCGCAAGAAGTTCGCATCCGGTACTCACCGTACGATATCTGGGCATCGCTGGAACCTACCGACGACCTGTTGAAGTTTGAGAAGGAGGGGTTGTGGAATGCGCAGGGTGAATTCAACTTTAAACCCGGAGACGGCGAGGGCGAGGCCTTTAGGGCTGTGCAGACGGAACTATGGGAGCAAGGCGTGGAGTTGGGCCCAAGGGTAGTGGACGTGAAGGCACGCGTCGTGAAGTGGTCGATGGAGACGGGTGGCGAGAAACCAGGAGACGAGCTTGAGTTGGTGTTCACGAAGAAGGAGATGATTGAGAAGGAGGAACTGGAGCCTAAAATTGTGCCTCCTAATCGGCGCGGCTCACCAGTCTATCAGTAGGGCGAGGAGAGGAGGAGGTAGCAGGACGATTTGTAAGATTTGATACCATTAGTGGTATGATCTCAAGAGTTGGATGAGGTCTGTAAAGTACACTGTAGCATAGGAATCAAACCCCAAGTACACGGATATATCACTGCTCCAACTTCACTCTTGCTCGCTCGACGACGCCGTAAGGAGCGCCCCAGATAGCAGGTAACAGCTACGTTAAAAGGTAGTCCAATTTCCACTATGCTGACTTTTACATCCTAGTTAGAGTTTTAAAAGCCTATCGGGGTACCCCAAACAGTGGCAAAGAGCGCTCAAGCCTATATCTTGGTACACTGGTTTACAACTGCTTGGGGCCCTCCAGTATACAGTACTATGTCATACATTTGGGCACACGGATATACGACTGCTATAGCTTCGCTCTTGCTCTCTCGACACCACTGTGGGGAGCACCCCAGGTACTAGGTATCACCTGCGTCAAACGGTAGGCTAATTTCCACTATATTGGCTTTCACACCCTGTCTAGATGTTTAGAAGCCTATCGGAGTACTCCAAGCAGTCGCAAGGAGTGCCCAAACTTATGTAGTTATTAGTATTACTGTATCATACACTGGCTTGCAGCTACTTGAGGCCCTCCAGTATACAGTACTAGGTCATAAGTTTAGGAACGCGGATGTACGACTGCTACAATTCCACTCTTGCTCGCTCGACACCACTATAAGGAGCACCCCAGGTAGCAGATACTAGCTACATCAAAAGATAGTCTAATTTCCACTATATTGCCTTTCACAGCCTATTTCGAGGTTTAAAAGCCTATCAGAGTCCCCCAAGCAGTCCCAAAGAGTGCTCAAACTCATGTCTTGGTGCTGTACTACTTGCTACCTCCTACCACACCCCCCTCCACTCCTCCCTCGTGACCCGCTCCTCCCGCATCAAATCCATCTCCTCTCCCCACACCACCCTCTCCGTGCCCCTGCCCCCGGGCACCGCGTAGAACGCAGCCTTGAGCGCCGGCGCCTCGTCCGAGTACACCGCATCGTGGATCCGCATCTCCTCGGCCGGCCACGCCCCGCCCTCGCCGCCGCTCCGCGCTTCCTCGCGCAAGATGATGCGCGCCACGCTCGCCGCGCTGGTCGACGTGGTCCAGAGCCCCTCGCGCCGCGGGTACTGCCGCAGTAGGGCGAGCGCGTCGCGCCGGGTGTGCGGGTCGCGGCAGCGGTGGGCGACGAAGTAGACGGGGGGGATGAGTTCGGGCTCGAACGAGAAGGCGGAGGAGGAGGAGGAGGAGGATGTGGTCGGTGTTTCTGTCGCTAGAGTGCCGGACTCGAGGATCTGGGTGGAGAGGACGAGGGCGTGTTTGAAGGCGGGGAGGTGGGCGTCGTAGGCCATCTCGGTGGGGTCCATGCAGCAGATTAACCAGATGTGGGTGACGGTGTAGAGGATGCGGAGGACGGTGCTGGATTCGCGGAGGGAGGGCGTCGTGCAGATGGTGGCGGTGGAGGCTTCGAAGGCGGTGGACCATTGGGGGATGAGGGCGCAGAAATGGCGGTGGTGGTCGAGGTCGCCGGGGAGAAAGCCGGAGGGTTCGTATTTCTTGCAATTAATGGAATGGATGAACATTAAGGCGAGGTTCATGATGTCATAGAGCGAAAGACGGGCTTCGTGGAAGGTAGAGAACGTTGGCGGTATACTGAGAAGTAATCCAGACGTGGTTGACGACGGGGACAGGTAGAGTTGAGGTGCTCTGTGACCGAAAAGTAGAGCTGTCATGGTCAATCGTGCGAAAGCTGGGACCAGCTTGTCTTCCACGAAAGTAAGAGTGGGGCTATCTGGTGAAGTGAGTAACTTTTGCGAAGCTGAAGGTAGACCAAGACGTTTTCGAGCTCGAAGAGTCGCTACTATGTCCAGACCACTCAAGAAGTGTGCCATAGCGAATTTGCTCTGCTCAGCGCGTAGTATCTCCATGCATACGAAAAGCATGCAGGTGACCAAAGATATCTCTAAGGCGTTCGACCTTGTCTGCATACGAGCGACTAGACATCTAATAGCCTCGTTGTAGTGTTTCAAGAAGAACCTCTCTCCTTTAGCGGGGAGAGCAAGAGCAAGCGGGGATGCTGCTTGCTGATGTTCAATTCGTCTCTCGTACAAATAGCTTATGACCATAGTTGCATGTCGTATAGCTGGCTCTGCAGAAGCGAATTGGAGCACTATTCGCATCCAAAGATCCGAGTCGAGGTTTCCAGATAGCCTAGGACCGGCACGATGGAAATAGTACTCTAGATAGCGTGACTCTTCAGGGCTCCCAGCCAAAGAGTGAAGAGACTTGTCCACCTTGGTAAGAGAGCTGATGGTAGTCTGGTTAAAATGCACGAAGCTGCGTCCGGCCGGCGAGTTTGGGTACCCATCACACTTTCTTCCTGTGCTTGTGCATCTATGATTTATGAGTTCAAGGCTTGCGGTATAATTGGAAAAATTATTACCTTAGGCAATGAGGCTTCGCCTCATCACACTTTATTCGCCGAATCCTGGACAAATGTTATTGCGAAGTCCAAGGACTGTCAGAGTATAGGAATCGTGAGTCCAATTTTGCGGGTTGCGAATTATGAATTGCGAATAGAGTGAAAGAGGACTAAGAAATGCTCTTCAAAGCTCTGGCCTACATACTTGCAAGTTTCGCAGCCAGTCCTGACCTTCGGGTTCGGCCTCCGCGTTTGTGTTTTAATACTTGATTTCGTAGACTCTCTCATGACAAAGGATCTGGAACCTGAGAAGGCCTTCTCTTAAACGTACGTACAGTTGTTTGCCGCTCTCTGAAGCACCCTCACACGCTGTCACGGAGTGGGAATCTTTGGATTTTGACCGGTTGATAAAGCAGTTGGGTCACTCCAGACGACGGTGTCGATAAATGATTTCGCTAAGGTCGGAGCGACAACACTGTAATGGCTATAGGTTTCTGATAACATTTTGACGCAGAGACTCGGGACGATTGGAGGCGAGAAGGAGGTGGCGGAGTGTCGGCTGCCCTAGTACGATTTGAGGACCCTTGTCACCCACTAACGAACTACCCTAGAAGCTTCCTCCAATGTCGACTCATTTACTTGTCTCTATGGAAGCATAGTAGAAGGCCTCAAACAGCTGCAAACCAGTGTATGGTACAGTACCAAGACATAAGTTTGGGAACTCCTTGCAACTGGCTGGGTTACCCCGACAGGCTTTGGTAGCTCCAAATCTGATGTGAAAGACAACGCAGTGAGAATTAGACTATCTCTTAACTCACTGAAGACACTTTACCTGGGACACTCCTTACAGTGGTATCGAGAGATCAATAGAGAAGCCAGAACAGTTGTATATCCGGGTGCTCAACATCTAGTATTTGGGCGACGTGTTGTACTTGATCAATTCATGTTTAAGCAAAAATATTGGATGAGGTGATATAAGTGCCTGATATTGAAGCTAGGAAGCTCGAGAGGAGTTCGAGGATCTACCTGACGTGCGCAGCGTGCTGGGAGCGTGGCGTGGTAGAAGATGCTAAATTGCACCAATTCTGCTCCTTGCTCACCATGTCGCTTTTCAAAGCCCCAGCATCCCGTGGGAATCGTCTACCTTTCTGGCCAGAGGTACCACACAGACCGCATTCCCAATCTTGACCTTCACGCCCTCAAATCGCACCTGCATGGCCCTAACTTCCTTCTCCAAAAACGCCTCCACGTCCGGACTTTGCAGCAATTCTGTATACACAGTGCCCGGGTCTTCCAGGGTCCACGCTATGCTAATATGAAAAGCTTCCGACCGGCCCTGGAGAACATCGACCTTTGTTGAGCTAGTAGAGCGCCTAGAACGTCTCCTCTTCTTCTTGTGCTTCCGTCCTTCCACCTTTTCGATCTCGTCCTTGCTGTCCTCATTGCTACCAGATCCGGAGTAAAGTTCCGGCTGCCCAAACTCGACCGCGGTCACGTTGCAAGCATCCAGCAACTTATTCAGCTCATCACCCTCGGGCCGCGCGAGGCCAAGCACCAGGAACCACCGCGTGCGCTCGTAGTTGGGGACCCATTTCAGGGTTGTCGCTTCGATGTCGAAGGGGCGGACGGCGGCTTTGCGGATGTTGGTGTTTAGAGTCGCGAGAAGGGGTTCGCGTTGCCGTGCGACGAGGACGAGCGAGCGTGAGAGGGAGATGTGGAGAGGTAGAGGCGTGCCAAGGGGTGAGAGAAGGGAGGAGTGGATTTGGGGGTCGCTATTGAATGGTTGTTGTGCGTGTTCGGCCTTTTGGACGAGGCTGATGAGAGTGCTGAGCGTGGTGGATTCTGTGAGTGTGGGGTGCCCTCGGGGCGTGGTTAGCTGAATTCAATAGAGTGATGCGCTTTCCTGCAATTTCTCCTGGCGCCTCAGCGTGTTTTCAGAATCCGGAACCAGATAGAGCGTCGGCAATTGACACCATAGATAAACTCGCGAGGCCACCCCAGACAGTGGTATGTACAGACAAATCGATGACGAGGCATTGTAGAAGCAGGTTGTGGAGTGAGGACTTACACTCTAGATAGACGTGGGTTATCCAATTGCCTTCTTTGTGTGGGATTGCACGCTTCCGGCCGCCATGAAGACTGGAGTCGTCACGCGTGGAGCGACGCGTGTCAGTGGTGTAGAGGTCGTGGAAGGCTGAGGGAAGTGGCGGGAGCTCTGAAGAAGCTTCAGTCTCATCCCGCGTGCGCTTCAACGCACCCGTCCTCTTTTGAAGCTGGGTGTCTGCTGGGGTGCCATTGCTCTCGTCCTCGGAATCAGAGTAGTTGACCAGCGGCATCAAGTTAGAGGTGGTGGAGCTGGAGGGAGAGTGAAAGCCGGCTCCGATCTGAGCTACCACTTAGCGGAATGGTCTAAATCGAGCGAGCCCTATCGTCAGCGTCAGGGCCCTTTGCGACCCAAGCTCCTGGAAGAAGCGGAGCCTGCGAGCGGTGACGTAGCAGCCAATAAGTCGACTGCGAAAACGGCAACACCGGCTCGCAGGCAGGCTGCTTTCAGGATGACAGCATGCCCGCCTTCCCGGCCTCCACGCGTCCCTGCCAAGGCATGCCCAACCCTTGATAATCCGAACGGAGCCTTTCCAGTTTTCTTGCCCTCTCATCTTGCTTAACACTCGTCAAGACACCCGCAGAGTCACCACATTGAACGCTCTCACCACGACATCTTCTCCACCAATTCTCCCGGCACCTCCGACTCACGACATGGCTGCTGAAAAGGACTGGGTGAGTGCGATGGACGCTTTTCCGCACTCGATACTGACAATTACAGGCCACGCACGCCCTGATAGACCCGCTCATCGAACCCGATCCGAGTGACGAAACTGGGCTCAACTCTCACTTCGGCTCGACCTTTGCGCCGCGGAAGAGCTCTCCGTCTCCGCCGGCATCCGCGTCATTGAAAGAGAGCCCCAAAGTCCAAATCCGCTCGCAAGACACCGGCAGCTCTTCCAACTCCAACAATCCTTTCCGCCGCAGCATGAACTCCCCGACGCCCAGATCTCCTGCTCTCAACCACTCCCGAGGAGCCAGCCTGAACAGTCACAACGGCTACCCGTCTCCGCCGCAATCCGCAAGCCCGCGCCGGGAGCGATTTCCTCGCTACGAAAACAAGCAGCCCTCGCACCGCGAGCAGGCATTCGGCGCGTATTCGGCCGGTCGACCTCGCGGAAGCAGTCAGCCAGACCCCTTCTCTTCATCCAACCAGTTCGAAGGCAAAGGCAGCGGCATTGCCCGCAACAACTCCCTCCGTGAGCGCTATCCTGGTGACCACTCGACTCGTCCTTTGGACCTCATCCGCAAGGACGAGAAGCGAGCCCATCGCTCGCCCCATCTGCGCAAGAAGCATCACCCAGGTGCTGATTCGATCGATCGTCTTGATATGACCACCTCTGCGTACCACCATGAAGGACCATACGACGCTGCGCTGCTTGCGCGGAACACGAGCTTCAAGAGCAGCCCTGTTGCTGCTATCTCTCATACAAATGAGGAGGCCTTGAAAGCGACACCCCGCGAAAATATCATTGACGCCATCTCCCGGCATCGTCCGTTAGAGGGAGTGGCAGACTTGCCTCCTGGAGTGCCGGATAGATTCGGACGGGTCCTCAACTATGAAGAGGGCGCTGATTTGCAGCGAGAGCCGGGTGGGGACTACAGGCGATGGCCTGGTGTGGTACGTTTTTCTTCTCTGTCACGTGATCTACTCACATCTTCAAAGACGCCCTGTTGTATCTAAACACGCTAATAATCGGTTAGACCTACCTCGACGGTGACCTCAAAGGCAAAGGCGAGCCCTCTTACTCAATCGAGAAGGCATTGAACGACCACAAGACCCTCGGCGACGACGGCATTGAGATGAAGACACGCTCCCGCAACAAGTCTCTTAGCCACGCCGACGATCCCGCCGTGGCAAGTGGAAGTACTGCCGGCGTCAGCACCGGCAATGGTGACCAGAGCTATGCCGACTGGGAAGGTGATTTGAGACGCAGCAACACGACAGGCCGCAAGCTCTCTGGTAACTTGAAGAAGAGGTTTGGAAGCCTGAGGAAGCGTAGAGATGCATCTTAAATCTCCATCAAGAGCCACTACATATGGGTCTTGAAGCAGTACCTTTATATTCCCAACAGGACGTCGATCGAGAAACAGCTTTCTCTCCTTTGTGCGATTACGGCCGGTTACGGCCTCAAATATGGAAACCGTACAATCCCGGTTTCAGAGAAGCGACGTACATACTTAAGCCTTACTTTAGAAATGGCTCTGGTTGAAAGAAACCAGTTTTACCTGTGACTTTTTCTACTTATATACGATTTAGACCTTGAATACCAAGAAATCATAAGAAGCGTATTATTATTGTATTGATATGCGCGAAGTCAGACTATGCAATCGTTGCTAACAGATTGCTAAATCAGGAGGCCAGATTACAAAGGTATGTCTATTTGTTTACAATTTTGCACATGGCGAAAGCTTGGTGTCAGCGTGGTGGCGCATTCTCCCCGCCTCTCAAATTCTCACCAAGTCTGGGCCCAGTATTTCCCACCGCCCTTCTGGCTGTGTAGCCTCTTCGTCGCGTACTCCGGGCAGAAATGTGGCGCCTATTCCAACGCCCCTCAATAATACAAGGTGTCATACGTAGGTACAGCGAGTCTGTGCCAGATCTTGAGGTCCATCAACCTCAGTTGACGTGGCTCACACATGTCGAAATTTCATAATTTTTACTGCCAATCAACCGCCTGCTTTCACTCGAACTACTTTCCTGTCCGATTTCGTCGAATCGGAGTCGAGCGATGCCCACGGTAAGCAAAGATGTGATATACGAGGCGTGGTTGGCGGCTGACAATTACCCGCCTCGTCCCCGGATTAGTGGTTGCCATCATGCACGATATGTCCGAGTTTCGGCCCAAGGGCCAATTGTCTCCTCTGTTCTCTTTTTGCACCTTTATCTAAAGCCCATTATCACATTGCGATGATAGTGACTTTTGAATTCACCGGACAATGCAATGGATTGCCAGCAACGTCTAATCAGCATCTTGTGCTACCCCAAAAGGGCAAAAGATGTAAAGGCAACCTTCAGCCTTGAATTAGGCAAGCCGCTGTTGTTGGTCAGTGGAAGGCCCACGTTCGGTGTGCAGCAGTTCTTCAGCTCGAACGACCCAACGCTTGTGCATGTCAGCCAATGGCATCAGTTTTTTTTATGCACCTCATCATCCAGGGTGGGGATCATGTCATAGTCAACCCTACCTTTCTTAGTTTCATGTACGCTCTAGCTATTTGGCCGCACAGCCTTAAATCAGCAGCCACCTCTTCGGATCATACCCTTACTTTCATATATTGACTCACACCCTCAACATTTTGAAGAGATGGATAGTCAAATGGACAGTTGATATATCTTAGGGCTCAATCTCAGAAAAGGATGACGACCTCGACTCCAAAATGGCCTCGTACAAGAACCTCCAAGATGACGCATGGTCCGATATTGAAACACAACCTCGAAAGTCCAAGGACATACCAGATAAGAAGCTAGCTACCGACAGCCTCCTGGATTTCAAAGAACCCTTGAAATGGCATCTCCGCGGCCTCCTTCTGTACACACTTGGTATCTTTGCTCTTCTCGGATGGGTGTATTCAGGACCTTCTTACGACCGCTGGTCAAGACGAGTCCTGCGTACCGGCAACCTAAAGGTCGACCAGTTCTACTCCGGCATCGCATCGGTCGCCATGTTTGTCCCCGCCGCCGCCCTCGTCGGTCAGATATGCCTGGAGTTCGGCCTGCTCCACCCCTTCTCGATCGCCCACCGGACGTCAGTCACAGCAGCGGACCTGGATAGGATGATCGACACCGGACCATTCTCACTGCTAACAGTCTGGAAATACTCACCTGCTCGCGCAGCTTCCCTGGCAACCATTATGTTGATAGGCACCGCCATAGTCCCCGTCAGCTCACTCCTCCTGAACGTGGGCTGGTACTCGCCCCAAACGCACCAACACGGCGTCGTTGGCTTGCCAGTGCTCCAGCCCGCCGAAGGCCTCCTCAGCATGTCCAAGACGATGGGCTACTCCGGCTCCGGGCCACTCGTCAGCACCTTCGACGACAAAGACTTCGTGCTAGAGATGATAACCGACACGCACAAAGGCGCCATCGTCAGCCGGCGCGGCGGCCTCAGCACCGCAGACGCCGAACTCGGGCCCATCACCACCATGAACATCAGCTTCACGCAGGCCGTCCGCTACGCCGGCCTCGTCACCCTCACCTGGACCTCCGCCTGCGAAGCTGCCAACGACGAGGTCCACTACGCCGCCGCCCTCGTCGACGGCAAACCCAGCGTCAACTTCACCTGGCCCGACGGCTCCACCAACACCACCACCCCGGGCGACATGCCCATCTTCATGTGGACCGCCTCGCCCAAAACCCCGAGCGGCATCCCCCTCGGCGGCACCACCTACATCGCCCAAGCCTCGCTGATGCGCGCCTACACGCCCTCCCCCCTCAGCGCCGCCGCCGGCATCACCGACTCCCCGCTCCCCGGCGTCTGGATCTCGCGCGTCAAATGCACCCCTACTATGAGCTGGCACGTCAGCGCCTGCGCCGCGCACGACGGCCGCACGATGCACAACTGCACCGCCAGCCCCGGGTCCAACACGACGGCGCTCGACACGGTCGCGCTGGACGCGCTGGCGGGGTACATGACGGCGGTGCCGTGGCTGCTGTACCTGCGCAACGACTACACCTTCCGCATGACGCTCGAGCCGTTCTACGTCATGCCGACGACGGCGCACTACGCGCGCATCCTCGGTGTGCTCGCCGAGTCCATCGCCGCCGTCGCGACGGCGGGTTACTTTGGCACCGCGACGGTGCCGACGGTGGGCGAGCCGCCGCGCGCCGTGTATGTTGTGCGCGTATATGTGCTATTTATCCTGCTGGGGCTGATCTACGCGGTGGTGGGGCTGAGCGCGGCGGATGTGTGGTATAGCCGGGCGAAGCGGCTGCCGTTTCGGAAGGCGACGTTTTTGACGATTGCGTATGCGGTGCATGGGAGGGGCGTGGAGTGGGATGAGGGGGGTGGGGGGTGTGGGTGTGTGATGAGCAGAGGGGAGTTGAGGAGGCGGAATAGGGTGGGGTTGCGGTTTGGGGTTGATGTGGTGGATCGGTTGCATGTTGGGTTTGCGGGGGAGGTGAGGGGGTGGATGGGTGGGGAGGAGGAGGAAAGGGGGGAGGAGGGGGTATGAGAGGATTGGGGGTTCTTGATGGTTTATGCGTTATGATTTATGCTTGATGATGAAATGATGAGAAGAGCGATGTAGAATGCTGTATACCCGCGAGTTTGAAATAGACGAGATTGATAATGGCAAGAAAGTAGTCTGTATACACTCCTGTTTCTACTGCATGAGGTGCTTTAGAAGTTTCGATAGTTACATACATCTAAACATGATGTAGGCTCTTAATTTGGAGCAAGTCTACAAGCTTGATGTGCTACCTTTGTAATCTGAGCTTCGTCGTCTACGACTCAAGGAAAGGATAGTGGTATACTTGTCCTAGACTCGAGAAAGAGAGTCGGAAGGGCGCGAACTTGGCAAAGACATCTAACAGATTCTTGGGCTGCTTCTACACCTTCCCAAACCTTTTACACGCTTTTGGCAACCCGATTTTAATCGGCGCTCACTACTGAGGCAATTCTCATCCATCAATCACGTGTTGGATAAAGCGGATGAGGCATGCTTATCTATAGAGGATCGTGATATGAGACAAGGCCAGCACTGCGCCGAGTCTGTGACAATGTGACGATGTCCGCGGAGGATACGAGAATGCTGACGTTGGTGCCCGCCTTGGGGAGCTACGTAGTGGAGAAGGTGATCGTGACAGGCTATAAATAGGGCTTTGATAGTTGACGACCACTAGAAGCATGGGCGTCTGAACGGTCGGCAGAGCCCGCGAGAGCGTGGCAGACGAGTTTCCGGCGAGTCATCACTCACCTGCCGGGAAGAGGTCGTGTGTGCCCTGTTTGAGACTGAGATGTGCGCGCAAGGGTGCTCAAGGTGAAACACGCGCGCAAGGAATAGTGATGTCGGGAGCAAGGATGCAGAGAAGAGCATACGACATCGGCCGATAGAGTCAATGGGATACAGGAAGTTAATGGTATTTCTAGAGAAGAGAGAGGGAATCTACGAGTAGGAGAAACTCATGAAGGCCAGCGACGCTGTTTGAGACGCATCATTTACCGGTGGGCGGGTCAAACAGTGAGGGTCTCGGGGCTGCAGGATGGAGCCAACCTTGCTCCCGCAGCGACTCCCTCGCGGCTCGACACGTCAGTTGTGAGGCAACGAGGCTGAGCTTCGTGACGTTTGCGAGGTGACCAGGCCGGCATGCTGCCGTCTACCCATTGGCAGCCGCGGAGGCATCGTGAACTCGTGAGGATGGGAGCAGCCGGTGGCGGATTGGCACGCCCAGAGCCCCATCCGGCGGAGTGCATGCCGTCTCTCGTGCCGCGCGTGGCATCCAACGGCGTGACGGGTGATTTGTGTGGGCTGCTGTCGTACCGATTTTTGCTGGTGATACCCTGCTGGCCCAGACAAGGCTTTGGCCGTGGTTTGCGCGACGGCAGACAGGCGGCTGGGTCGCTGGGCGAGCAGCTCGGCCGGCTCGCTCAAACCGCAGGCCGTCGGCGGATTCTTATACGGTGGCCGCTTCATCTCTGATCGGGGCGCGCGCAGCAAGTTGGGCGCGTCAGCTCGCGCGAAGCAGATCTCATCTTAACGGCGGTGGCGTTGGGCCAGCGAGAGGTCGCACGGCGGGAGTCAAGCTTTTTAGCGCGCCCAAAGCAAATTAGCGCGTGCCAATGCTGCGTGGTTTCCAGGACAGCCAGCTGCTCGCCCTCGTCCCGCCCGTGCGACCAGCAGCGAGCCCCTTCACCTCCTCAAACACGCAGCAGGAGCGCTTCACGGCTCTCAAACACGCTCGCTCGCCGTCCTCACCCCAAGTCGCTCGTTCTAGCATTGCATTAGTTGTCGATAGCGTCCCTGCGCCCGCTGCAGCAGGCTAGGTACCGGCTCCTCACATCCCGCGCCACCACCAATCACCACCCTCGACCCGTCTGCAACACTCCGCATCCTTGGAAATCGTCATGCCCGCCGCGGCTTCCTCCTGACCGTCGTCCAAGGCCTGGCTCTTGTCCTCCGACATCACCACCCTCACCCACACCTCTACGGAACCCCCCCTCAATTATCGCTGTCGCCCGGCTCAGGCAATGAGGATGGTGTCCTCGTCGCTGGCCTCCCGGGCGGGCACTATTGCGACGCTGCTCGCGTCGCTCTGGCTTGCCCGTGGAGCGACCGCGTTCAGTTTTGCTCCCATTGCTTCACCTGATCTCGACTTGACCGACCTCGGCCGCGTCGCCCTCGCCGGCGACTTCGACTCAATCTCCCTCTACCAATTCGAAGGACAGAACGAAAATGCCGCATCGCCGAGCGCTGGCTCGCTGCTTACCCGATTCCCCAATGGCGTCTTCACGTCACTGCAGGAAACCGATGGCGAAATCCGCGCAATGTGTCCCTTCATCTCCAATGGCACCCTGCAGGGCATAGTCTTCGGAGGGAACTTCACCAGCGTTGGCGGCGTCGCTGCGCAAGGCATTGCCCTTCTCAACGTCGACAACGCCAACATCACCGCTCTCCCAGGCCTCAATGGATCTGTCAACGCCCTCTTTTGTGACAAAGACGCTAGCAGAGTCTACGTTGGAGGATCTTTCACCGGCGGAGGTGCTCAGAACGCAATTGTTTGGATAACGGATTGGACAAATATGCCCTTCTCAGGATTCAATGGACCTGTCACGACCATCGCGAAGGCATCCAACGGCAACATCATCTTTGGTGGAACGTTTGATGGATTGGGAAATACCACGACACCGAAAGAGAAGGACGTTCAGGTTATTCCCGTCGGCTCTGCCAACATCACCGCCGTTGCAACGACAACCACTGCTGGCTTCAGCGATCCTCGAAATATCATCTGCAAGACTGGGTCACAGGATGGCCCAGGCAATACGTGGCTGTTGGAAGACAACGCTCCCGGCTTCTGGCAGGCGAACTTTGGATTTGGGTTCCAACCGTCCAAGCTGCGTCTCTACAACACCGTGCAGTCTGATCGAGGTACCAAGGAGTGGCGCTTCACCGCACTTCCTGACGGCGGCATCATGAACTTTACCTATATCAATAGTGCCGGCGAGACGGCATATTGCGATTCGAGATGTCCGCTACCGCAGAACAACAACACCTTCCAGGACTTCCACTTCGTCAATACCGTTGGAATGAACAGCTTCCGCATCGACATCTCTGCCTGGTACGGTCAAGGAGCAGGGCTCAGTGGCATTGAGTTGTTCGAGAATGACATCTATTCGTTCGCTGTCAATGATTTCAACGAGCCCCTCTGTGACGGCGTCAGCACCACTGGAGCCAGCTCATCGTCTACCGGCCCTTGGAGTGTTTCCCCATCAGGACAAAGCAACGCCCAATACTTGACTGCCAACTTGCAAGGGTCAAATATCACGGCCGATTCTGCTGAGGTCGTCTTTAAGCCTGACATCAAGCAGTCTGGCAACTACACCGTCACCATCTTCACTCCTGGATGCACTATAGACAACACCTGCGGAACTCGTGGCAAAGTTAATGTTACCGGCACGATGGCTGCTTCGGCTAGAACCGGAGTGCAGCCATTCCAGTCCGTTGAGCTGTTCCAGACCAACATGTTCGACAAGTACGATCAAATCTACTATGGCTACGTGGATGCCAACGACGACGCTTTCCGCCCTACTATCACGCTTACTCCCGTTGCTGGCCAAACAGGGCCATTGACAGTCGTAGCTCAGAGAGTCCGATTCGAACTGAACTCGCCAACCACTGGTGGCCTGAACGGCCTATTCGAATATGATACAAACAAGCAGGTTGTCAGCAGCGACTTTTCTACTTCTGCTATCGACGTTGCTGGCGCTGGTCTGAGTCCTAGCCAGGCCCCCGTCACATCTATTCTCGTAGACGGTGACACTTTGTACGTTGGTGGCAACTTCACAGGCGACGGATTCAGCAACATCTTCTCTGTTAGTGGTGGCAATGCAACCAGCCTTCCCGGGAAAGGTCTGGATTCAGAAGTTATGACAATGTACCAGAACGGTAGCACCCTTTATGTCGGCGGCAACTTTACCAATACCGAGGATGGCAAGAGTACCGGATTGAAGGGTGTTGCTGCGTACTCGACTACTAACAAAGCATGGTCGCCTCTTGGTGCAGGTGTCAATGGAGTGGTCATGTACATGGTGCCTGTCCCTCTCAACTTCACTGAAGAGAACACTACAGAGGAGTGTCTATATATCAGCGGCACTTTTGACAGTGTATTTGGATCCGGCAAAGACAAGACATTTTCGACGGACAACTCCGCCATCTGGGTTCCGTCTCGCCAGAATTGGCTACACAACCTCAATCTCACCACCATCTCCGTCTCCGGCGTGCTTATGGCCCAATCCGAAATTCCTGGCTCAGCGCCAATTTTCTCTGGGTCTGTCAGCTCCCAAGCCTTTGGTGCAAGCGGTGCAGTTCAGTTGACCTCAGGCAAAACTCTGGGACTTGAACAGTACCCGATCAGCGTTCAACCACAAACTTCGTCCGTTTCATTGCGCAAGCGAGCTATCAACGGCCAGGAAACGATCTCTGGAGTTGTCACTGGTCTCATTTACACGGAAAACAACCTGAATATCACGCTCTTGGCTGGCCACTTTGCCGCCACAGGATCCGATGGCGCTAATATCACAAACCTGTTGTTCGTCAATGGCTCAAACTCCGACATTGTTACTGGAATGGGTGACGGTATCAACTCTGATTCCGTGTTCCTTTCCGTCGCAGCTTATGGAACCACTCTATTTGCGGGAGGCGTCATCTCTGGGAAGGTCAATACCAACAACGTTGGGGGATTGGTACTTTACGATCTAAGCACTGCCTCATATGCCAGCATTCAACCCGCTGGCCTTCAAGGCAGCGACGGCGCAGTGACCGCCATTGCACCCCAGCCAGATTCCAAGGACGTTTATGTCGGCGGAAACTTCCTTTCGGCGGGAGCTTTGAGCTGCCCATCTGTGTGTATCTGGAATACCGAACGTAGTCAGTGGGTGTCACCCGGCAATGGCCTTTCAGGCAACGTCTCCTCCATGACCTGGATCTCCAACAACAACCTGCTTATCGCCGGAAACCTTACCGTTAATGGGAATACCACGACCTTGGTAACGTTCAATGCTCAGAAGCATGAATTTACCGAGTTCACTGGCGCTAGTACGGTTCCTGGTCCCGTCACTGCGTTCTGCCCTGCCAACAATGACGGCTCGCAATTCTGGGTTGCTGGAACCGCTAGCAATGACACGGCTTTCCTAGAGAAGTTCGATGGTGAGAAATGGGTCCCCGCTGCTACTGGCCTCGGTGCAGGTACCGATATCCGCGGTATTCAAGTCCTCTCTCTATCAAAGGACCACGACAAAACCGATCTCCTCGAGAACAACCAGGTTCTACTAGTCCTAGGACAGGTCAACGTCACCGGTTTCGGTAACGCATCTGCGGTTCTATTCAATGGAACGGCCTTTACCCCCTTCATCCTGTCGAACACGGGCACCAATAGCCCAGGAAGCCTGTCCCAAGCCTTCGTAGAGAACCCTCAAAACTTCTTCCACTCTAAGAGTAGGTATATATTTCTCGTCGTCAACTACGATCAGAGAAGCTTCGAATCACAACCCCCCTCCCCTTGTTTGCCCCTTACCTTGCACCCCCATTCCCTCTGTATTACAGCCTTAGAACCCCATCTAACCGTCCTAGAAAAACATCTGGCCCTTGGCTTCGTTGTCCTAATCGGCTTAGCCATTGCTCTCGCCATCACCTTCCTGGTCGTCGTCCTCGGCATTCTCGCCGAACGACTGCGCAAAAAGCAACAAGGCTACGTGCCGGCAAACCAACAGATGTTCGACAAGAGCAGCAACCTCAACCGGGTTCCACCAGAACACTTGTTCGGCACGCTGCATGGCAACGGCAATGGGCGAGGTCCGCTCTGATGCTGAGAAGTTGCTGGAGCATCTCTCTTCTTTACGACGTAACGGGCTTGGGGGTTTCCGACACTTTGTACAAATTTTCCATCATGGAGTTAGTGGTACGGAACGGGGGCGCACCCGGGACTGGGAGGCACAAGAAAAACCTCTCTTCTTGTCGATCGATTTTGGTTTCCATATGGTACGTATGGTGTGCATCTAGAGGCGTTCTGCGTGTTTTTATTTTGCCCAATATGCCCACACATCCCCTGGCGGTTTGCTGGATTCGTGGTCGGCTGGAAGGGTGGATGGGCTGGGACAGTATGGTCCGGCTGGTGGGATGGTACATTCTCCGGACTGGCGACCGGAAAAAACTCCCTTGACCAACTCTTCCCCTGGACCGGCGACTTCCAGCTTTTGTCGCATGCATAGCGACCCCCCCTTCTACTCGACTCAACTTTCCTTTTTTTTTTGTGTGTTTTTCTCTCAACTCGGGCAGAACTTTTCCAACTGCCTTTTTGATACCACGGATACGATTGCCGACTCCGCGACTTGAATCGCACCGACTACTACTTCCGCCGTTTTAATGTGTTGCTTTCCGATAAACCTCTTCCGGGCGATGCGATGGATGGGAGGATGGCAAAGAAGGGAAGATGGCAAGCGGGTTGGATGGATGGATGGATGGATGGAGTGGTGATGAGTGGGTGGATGTAATTAATTGGGCGTGGGGTGGGGATATACGATGCTAGGCGACCCAACGTCTCTGCTGTTGGGGAGGGGAGAGCGGAGCCACACTTGAAGCTTTTCTGAGTTGTGGTGGGGATGCCATGGGGTAGATAGTATTGAATGGGATTCAATGGGAAAAGTTGATATTATAATTGACCTTGGTGTGGTGCGGGTGGTGTTTGCTTGCTCTTAGGGGTAGAAGACTGACAACAACTATTGCGAGGTGTACCCCTGTTTATCATGTTGCGTAGAGACGACGTCCAAGACGACTATGGCAACCAGCAGCAACATCAAGCTCTTTTATATATACGAGTATGATCAAAGTATATCAAAGACTCAAATCTGTACACAAGAAGCAATAAACACCCTCTCCAATGGCCCATCTCAAAAACTCCGGCCATGGTTTCCCCTCCAATGCCTGAAGCGCCTTGTCATAATGCTTGCTTGCGTACACACACGCGGTTAACCTCAAAAGACCCCGAGGCATTCTAAAGCTCATCCCTTCCCGGGAACTTCAACTCCCAACTGCGCGGCCGCATCGGCAGCCCGAGCCAGTAGTCCCAAACGCGGGACATCTCGATAATGAAGATCTTAAATCTGTACCCAGGGGGAAAAAAAATCGAATCGTCAGTTTGCGTTTCCTGACTTCGGCACATCGTGTCGGTGGATGGATTTCTTGGTTAAACTCACACTTTCTCCGGTATCGCCAACCAGCTCTTAAACACGTAGATAAACGCTCGCGAAACGAGGTCGAACTCCTCCCAGAACTCCTCCATGAACGTCAGGCCCGCGCGGTTCGAGCGCGAAAAGTCGGGGAAGCCGTCGTCGTCGGCGGCATCCACAGGCTCCTCCTGCTCGTCCTTCTCCGCGTCGACGTCGAGGGAGAGTTTCGCCTTCACGGCCTCAGCCTCCTCCGTCGGCCACGCCTCGAACGTCTTGACGCCGTCGCGCTCGTCGATCATGCGCCGGAACTGCTTGATGGCCGACAGGCTGTGGCTGAGGCGGTCCATGGTGTTGAGCAGCGCGACGAGCTCGGTGCGGCGCAGCGGCGGGTCCTTGCTCGAGTCGTGCTCGTCGAACTCGAAGAGCACCTTCAGCGCGGTGCCGTAGCCGGCCGTTTGCACTTTGCCCCACAGGCGGCACTTGTCGCAGCCGACGCAGTCCATGATGCGCGAGACGTTGCGGAAGCGGTTGCGGAAGTCTTCTTTCAGTGTGACGCCGGAGCCCGGCTCGCGGAACATGACGCTCTCGTCGAAGATGGCGGCGCCCGAGGGCATGGCCGAGGCGAGGCGGAGCACCATGGCTTTGGTGATTTGGTCCTGCTCTGGATCGGCGGAGCAGAATTCGTAGTCGGCGACGTGCTGTTTTATCTTGCCGACGGCGCGTAGGATCAGAGCGTAGTTGAAGTAGAGGTTCGAGATGCGGTCGGGGAAGTTGTGCAGGCGTTGCTCGTAGCATGCTAGATTTGGGGACCATTGGCCCGTGGTTTGGTTGAGGTAGTCCCAGCATAGGTGGGAGGAAATGGAGGCGTGCATGCCGCTGACTACGCGGTAGAAGACACGCTTCTCGAGGCAGTCGTCGTCGAATTCGATGGGGTCGAAGCCGGACGAGCCGCCCTGCGCGATGGCGGATTGGACGCTGGCTTGCACGCTCCGCTCGCGCAAGACGTTCTGTAGAGCATTCGCGGCTTCGAAATTAGGCGCTCCAAAACCACCAAGGGGCGTGTTGCCGCTGGACAGTTCCGCGGGTCTCGCGGGCTTGGAGAAGCAGTTTTCGCGGTATATGGCTTCCCAGACCTGCTGAGATCCAGCGCCGGCGTACCCAGTGAAGCGTTCCGGGTTGTCTTTCAGGCTCACGTAGTCACCTTTTGCGCTTGCGCCCTCATCGTCGGGCACGCAGAAGTCACGCTCGTCGCATTCGTCGTCATATTCCACCACACAACTCTCTCCAACGTTTTCTCCCAGCTTTCCTTGTAAAGGCTTGGCCTTACGCTCTTTCTGCTGTCTCTTGCCAGGGTGCTGAGCAGTTGGTCCCTCCAGTCTTCCCAGCTCATGCGCCCGCCAAACTAACGGAATGTCCTCCTCATTTTCCAGCGTATTCACGGCACAGGCGCGGTTCCCACACATGCCATTCTCGTCGGACCAAAAGGGGCATTTCTTGTTGTACAGATTCAGGCGGTAGTGGGAGAAGAAGTCGGTATTCTGGGTAATCGAGTGGAGGTACGGGTGGATGGCGTCGTTGAGGCTCTCGAGGGTGGAGTAGGAGGCGCAGGCATCCGACACAATAGCTCCAGGTTCAAACTGCGGCACACGTTTAGGACTCTTCCTCTGGATCTGGATCTTCACGGCGGCCGCGGGCGCGGGGCACGCGAAGGAGAAATTGCTTACTTCGCACACGTTCGGCGGGAGCGGATGTGACTTGGTGGCATGCGATGCCGCGCGCGACGTCCCCAGCAGCGCGAACACTGCCAGGTAGAAGCCGTGCGCTGCGGTCCGCATGGTGCTGTTGCTGTCCGAGCCAGGCCTTGAGGTACTCCAGGTGTTAGCAGAGGTCCATCCAGTGCAGAGTCCGGGTGAGGCGGAGAGTCCTACTTACAGACAGAGTACTCTGGCGGATTATATGTATATTCGGTGGTTACGAGCGGGTGGGAGGGATTGGCCAATCGCCTTATTGAAAAGTTTGGGTCAAAGAGGACAGATGGGGGGTGCTAGAAAGTGGATGTTGAGGACATGGGTGTGGCGGTCGAGACAAAGGAAGTCGGGATTATTCAGGGCAATATAAACTAATAGGGAGCGGAAACATGACACGGGGAGGACAGCAGCATGTTAGTGAAACTCTTGGAATGATTATATTTGGAGCTATACAGGGGCGGCAGCGGATTGGAAATCACGCCGTCCTCAGGCCATGCGGTTGGTTTGGAGTTACAGAAATCTGTCCTTCCGCGCCACCACGCACCGCCACCGGACGAGTTGGTGATGCGCGGAGAGTGGCGGCGGGAAGCGATCCATGTCTTCGAGACCCTTGCAATATCAGCCGACGAAGGGCCTATCGAAGGCTTCGGGTGACATGACTGCCTGCACTCCTCTCACCCTCGGATTCACAGCACTTCTCTGCGATCCGGAATCCCTTGGTAAAGGCAAGCCCCGACCCTCCATTTAAAATGGCACAAGAAGCACCCACGGCTCCATGGCACGCTTCATTCCCTGCACCACAGCACACTGCGCCCCTCCTCACGCGCGACGCCGCTCTTCCAGCTCTTGGATCGGGACAGCTGCTCCTCGTTGACGTGCGCCGGACCGACTACGAGGGTGGGACCATTAAAGGGAGTCTCAATCTGCCGGCTCACAGCTTCTACCTGAACCGGGCCGCGCTCTACGACCTCTGTACGCGAGCCGGTATTAAGGACGTGGCGTTCTATTGCGGTACGTATTGTGCTTGGGCCCTCATAAGGCTGAATAGGCTCAAGAGCCTCATCTGCACGTGGTAGCTCGTGGAGGGCGCTTGTGCAACCTTCTAGAACCATTCTACAAGACAAAGAACGCAGCGGGAGTTGCAGCACACCATCGCAGACGTTGTCACGGATCCCATTCCTGATATCTGTAGTCCGCACGCTAAAGCTTCGCCCTTAGGTTCGTCCAACGGTCGGGGCCCCCGGTGTTCGGGCTGGTTCGCCGACTTCATTTCCGAAAAGGGCGGCGAATCGTCTATACGGGCTTTGACTCTGGATGGCGGGATCAAGGGCTGGGTCAATGCAGGTGGAAAGTTCGTCGAGAGCATGGAGGGATTTGAGCCGGAATATTGGAAGCAGTTTGCACAAGATGGAGCAACTTGTTAGCCGCTACTCTATTCTAATCAAAACGCCTCGACTCAATGATTCTTTGGAAACACGCAGCTTTAAGACGAAGCACGGGGCCGTTGATTAGAAAAGAAGTTCGTGAGCTGATTAGACGTGCTGGAATTTCTATCCGTGCCCACTTCTAGTGGTATGTCCAAGTCCATGGCACAGCATTGCAGCATAGCGCCGTCTGAGCTGGCCTAGCGGTATTACCAATTGCTCAAGATGAGGAAACTCCCTCTCGTTCAAATTCGTACAAGTTCATCGAGGCCTTTCAGACAATTCCAGACAAGCATACAGGCTCGCCCAACCTTCTTGAAAGAGACGAGTACGAAAACATACCCTTGTATGGAATTGTAACAATTTACCACAACTACACCTCATCTATGGATTCCTGCAATAATTCAGAAAGTATTCACGCCTGTAGTAATGGATATAGTGAGCTGATGTCAGGGTCTAAAAGGCCCAAGCTTCACCGCATCCCTGCCGCCAGCCTCGTGAACCACCAGCAACGTCTCAATTGAGCAGCACCTAACCGTCAGACTCCTCCTTCAAATTCATCCTCAATGGCTTTGTCCTCCTCACAAGTGCCTTCGCCAGGCCATGTTCTCGTAACAGGCGGCTGCGGCTTCCTGGGCCACCACATTGTTGACCTCCTGCTCGAACGTCACCCTCAAACCCGCGTCTCCGTCCTCGACCTCCGCACGACCTCGAACCGCAGCTCGAACCCCAATGTCTCCTACTACGATGGTGATCTCACAGACAAGGATGCGACCAAGGCGCTCTTCCAGAAATTGAAGCCTGAGGTGGTGATCCACACCGCAAGCCCCCACCACACCGCAAAGAATGAAATCCTGTTCAAGGTGAACGTGGATGGCACGAAAGCGCTTCTAGAGGTGTCCCAGGAGACGGGTGTTAAAGCCTTTGTGCATACGAGCTCCGCAAGTGTAATACATAATCCCGAGGAAGAGCTAGTCAATGCGGACGAGACGTATCCATTGATCGCGGGAAAGGAACAACCTGAATACTATACCAGTACAAAGGTGGGTCATATCCCATGATGCCCATCGCGCATTGACGGTAGAGCTGCTAGCTTCCGCCAATCCCTAGCAGAGCGATATGCATCTTGCCAAAAATCATAGATACAGAACGCTAACTAAATACAACATCAGGTCTGGGCTGAATCAGCCGTCCTCGCTGCCAACCGCACTCCCGCCTCCTTCCTCACCTGCGCCATCCGTCCCGCCGGCATATTCGGCGAAGGTGATGTCCAATTGCTGCCCAAGATGCTGAGCGCCTACTTCAAAGGCCAGCACAAGTTCCAGATTGGCGAGAATCAGAACCTCTTCGATTTCACCTACGTGAAGAATGTCGCTCACGCGCATCTCCTCGCCGTCGTCGCTCTTCTTACCACTCACAAAAAGCTTCCATCGATACCTCTGGACACAGAGCGGGTGGATGGCGAGGCGTTCCTGGTCACCAACGGTCAGCCGGTATACTTCTGGGACTTCCCTCGCCAGGCTTGGAAGGAGGCGGGCAACACCCTGCCTATTGAATCCGTCTGGCATTTGAGTTTTGGGACTATGATGGTGGTGGGCAGCTTGCTGGAGTTGGCATGTTGGCTACTAGGAAAGACGCCGAATCTCAACAGACAACAGGTACAATACAGCTGCTGGACGCGGTATTACAACATTGACAAGGCGAAGAGGAGGCTAGGCTACAAGCCGATCGTACCCCTCGAGGAGGGAATCAAGAGGGGAGTGAGGTACATCTTAGAGCAAAGGGAGAAAGAGGCGAATGGGGTTGCTGCGAAGAAGAACCTATAGGCGCTGCTGTACGAATCTAGTATTATGATGGATGGCACGCTTGCAATGTAATGGCAGGAGCATGTGTGCATAGTACGGTCCATATCTCTATCGCCCGTATTGTGCCGATATGTATGTTATGGAAAAGCATTTCTTTCGGAAAATCTTCGTGAGTTAGTGAACTCTCTTCCGCATCTACTTTTATGGAACCAGTATATAAATTGATTGACACTGTTCTGACGCCATTTCAATTACATGATAGGCATTTGGATTCTGAAGGAGATACCTTACCGGCCACGTTGGACACAGACAGAAAGGTGTATACACTAGATGTGTAACCCAAAGCTTGGGGTCTCATCGGAAACTTCCAACTCCACGAGCAATGACAGCACGGCGTAGGGAGACGTTCTCACAGCATTGTAGACTGATATTGGTTCCTCTCAACCCTCTCATCTCACGGCACAGACACCCACAGTCACCATCAGTATAGGCGCTTCGTAGACGCGCTACACGATAAAGTAATGAGAGCGCATATCCTTCTCGCCCTTCACGCCCTCTTTCACCTGCCTTTTCGGTTACATTAGCAAGTACACGACAGATATGAGCACAAGCTCTAAAGGGGAACCCAACCAGGTAGCCGCTTGACGGCGACCCCTCGAAGCCCACCTTAAATTTCGGCTCGACAAATCTGGCATGTTCTCTAGGTTATCAAGAGTTTGCTCGAGCAGCACTGATAGCAGCCGGCAAGAGGTCATTAATTGTGCTTCAGCCGTAATATCAAGGTTGCTACTTACAATTTCCCGTGGTTTTCTCTAGCATAAAAGTACCAGCCCAGATTCTGTGTATGTACATTAAGAATGACAGAGGGCGATATACACCCCCTTCTCAACCTCTTCTTCCCATTCCATGCTCAACTTCTTCGCCCTTATATATTGCCAGTATTCTTGCACTTGACGAGGAGGCCCGGCTTCTATCTTTCTTTTCTACCTCCACTAGTCCGGTCGATCGTTCCCGCAGGTGTCTCAGGCCTCTCAATCTCCTCTTTCTCAAGCTTACGCTTCTTCGTGAAAGCTTGCCGAGCGAACTCAGTATCTTCGGCATTTTCCTTGTCGCGCTGAGTATCCTCCACAGTCTTCGAATTCTCAGCATCAACCTTCTTCTTATCGCCCTCTTTCTCTATACGCTCCCAACGGGCGTTGCGGCTGCGAATTTCATCAAGCGCATTCGCGACTGCCATGTTCGTCTTCTCATCATGAACCTTAGTCTCAAGTTCTTTGATAGTGTCGCGTTCCCCCTCCTCGCACTCAAGCCGATCTAGTCGCTCCTCGTCTCCCCTCAGCGAGCTTAGCCGCACGCCACGGCCTCAAAGTTACGCTCTGAGTGCCTTGTGTACCATTGGTCTTCTTGGTAGCGACCCGGAGAACCATGGTTGCGAAGCTCACGAGCGACATCACGTGACTTCCAGAATACCACGTATTAGAGTTCCGAGCGTTCCCAAGTCGTTCAAGATAGTACGGGTCCATCGCTTGCATAGGGAGCTAAAAGGGGGCCCCGTGGGGAACGTTAGGCTTGGCGAAAGACCGTGGTCTGGTTTCGTCGTCCCACAAAACAATCTCAACAGCTACTCGCTAGCAGCTTTCCCCACACGCGCCGTACGTTCGAGAGTAGACTGATGCCTGACCTCATTCACCCACTTCACGTAATGCTACAACCAATATCAAGCAGTGTCTCCAAGTTGGGTGATCCTGCTAACGTGGAAGTATGAGCTGTTCCAATGCCGGACGTACATAGCTCAATCCATGGTAGAGGTAAGAGATTTTGGAGTAATCCATGGATGGGCTAAAACCTGGGGAACGAGGGGCATCTTTCGTCATCTCCTTACTCATTACCTTTATAATTCACTTCCCCCTTCACTGTCCAAAATGTCACCAAGCATCAAACCCCTAAACATAACAATCTATCCATCTTACAACATTTCCTCCATATACCAATATACCGCGCTATGCTTCATCCCGCAGCACGCACACGCACCCTCTCCCTCTCCCTCGCCCACGGCATCTCCCTCCAAACATCCGACCTGCCCGCCTCCCCGCCTTCCACCACTACAACAACTCCCACCACCCCGCGCACGCCCCGCTGGTCGCATCGCTTCTCCTTCGGCCGCCTGACCGCCGAGATCGCAGCAGTGCCGCTCGCGCCTCCCTTAATATACCCAAGCTCAGACGCCGTCGCCGTACCCTCCCGCCCATCACCACATACAACAACCCCACTCACATTCGCCCACATGGACTGGGCGCTACCAACCTATGGCGAGCACTACTCGCCACCCGACAACAGTAGAGTAAGAAGGCGGGAGAGCGACTGGCCCACCCGCCGGGAGATTGAAGCGGAGGCCGGTTGTGTGATTGCGTATCCGGGTGAGGCATCGCGGGGTTCGCGAGTGCGGTATCGGGAGGTGTTGGGGGAGGCAGAGGAGAGCGGTGACGAGGTTGGGACGGTGGAGGATGTGGAGCGGAAGAGGAGAAGGAGTAGTGTGGTGGATGGACTGAAGAAGGGGTTGGGGTGGGTGAGGAGGTTGAGTGCGGGGAGTGGGAGGAAGGGGAGTGTTGATGCGGTGGAGTGAGGGTTGGGGCGACTATGGATTTCGAGGGCGAGGGATGCCACTCGCGACGTCGTTCGCTTGAGCCGGCTGTTAGTCTATTCACGGTCGTTCACCACCGGGAAGTGTGCTTCGGTTATGTGTCCAACCCCTAGACAGAACCCAGGATGAAAGTGGTCGATTGATGGCAACTTTGATATTTTGCTAGCCTAGACGAATGACGAAATCAGATTACCTTATGACACTGTGGCAATACTTTACAAGTCCTTCAACAACCAGTGCATATCCTCTCCATCACTCTACTCGGTCTTCGGCTCGCTGTACATGCCCTTGAAATCCCAGTTGTTCAGATAGCCACAGCCAGCCTGCACGAGAACGTCAGTACTGTAAAGACAACCACCTTAACCAGAGCATTAGGCTTACACTGAGGTAGGTGGCAAATCCAAGCCATCCTAGATAGGGCGCGAGCAGCCAGCCACACACGGGGTCGACCTGGCCCCAGACGTAGGCCAGGTAGCCAGTAACGCCCGTGAGAGCAACGATATCGACGGTGGCTTCAATTGGGCGACGGAGGCCGAAGAACAGAGGCATCCATAGTAGATTCAAGCCGAGTTGGATTGTGTAGAGGGTGGCTCCTTGCTGAGAGGTATCAGCATTGGTCGAATCTCGAACATGAAGCAAGAAAGCAAACGAGAGGCATCTGTCCTCCAGTTCAAGCTGACAGCAGTAGGACGAGTTTGGCCTCGACGCGTGACCCCAAATAAAGCTGAGTGAATAGAGAGAAGCAAACTACGAACCTTGGCGAGGAGCAACTTGTTAGGGTCAAACGAGGCGATGCCAGCGTTCCACGCGCGGTAGGCCGTGTAGCCCATGGTGGCATACAACGCCGTCCATACCGGGCCGAACACCTGCGGAGGAGGGTCGTATGGCGGCTGTTTCAGAGCGAGGTGCTCATGATGCTTCTTGTCCGCTGGATCACCATGCATCAGTTAATATTTAAACTTGCAGGCAGAACAACATACGGCGGGTCGAGAAGCCAATGCCAGTGCCCAGAGCTACCGGCAGCAAGATTGACGCAGCTGGGTGCTCGAAGATGAAGGCCGGCAGCGTCAGGGACGGCACGTAGGATGTCATGATGCAAACGCGGTGGGTGTTCTTAGACGCTTTTCGGGTACCTGCGCAAGAACAGATAATAGGCTTGTAGTGTTTTGAGCTAAGATTGTATAAGATTAAGTGAATCAGCAATAAGACTGCACTTCAGCAGACACCCGCTCTTTTATGTCTTCCAAGGTTGCTCTTTGTCAAGGTTGTCTTGTCTCCTCATCGCCTGGTGGTCCGACCTGCCGTGACGCGCTCGCTCGCCAGAGTCACGGGAACGGATAAACCGAGCGCCAAGCCCCCGCGCCAAGCCGGGCCGAGCGTGGCTGCCGCGCAACAGCCTCATCAGCTCCAGCTCGTCCAGCCGCCTTCCAAACCTCAACACCAACCTGGACTCTCGTCAGGCCAGGCCACCAGCACGTCCTCGTGAGTGCAGACAATACTTGTTAGGCCTCCACCTTATTGTTCGTCTCCCGCCCCGTACAAGCCCTACCTTACGCTGCCCTTGCCCTTGTTCGCGGATTCATGCCGCCCCCTCCCAGCTTCTTCTCTTCCCCATCACCTACTGCGGACACTTATGTCGCTGCGAATGCCACCGCTAAGCGGCCGACGTCCTCTTATCGTCTTCACTTAACTAGCCCGCCCGCTTACCCCTCGTCACGTCCCTTATCCGTTATTATGACGACCTTCTCTAACGCGCCGTCATGGCAAACAGTCTCCCGGACGATTGTCGCCATCGCCGTCGCCCTACCGCCTACCGCCTGCCGTCGCAATCGCATGCCGCCCGTGCGCCGAGACAGCTATAATTGCTTGTCTAGCCGGGGGTTCTCTCGTGCTAATCAGCAATCCGACACAGGTTCAGCATCTACCTCCATCGATAGCACGATCATTCTTCGGCGCATGTTAAAGAGCCCTGCCTCTCTTTGAGCAGCGAAAGCCAGCCATGGATTCATACCCGTATGTCGTTTGAAAGTCAGGACAACGTATCCTGCTGATTCAATCCATCTTTAGCAACCGTGAAGCCGGTGTCGACTCGTACCGCCGCCGTTCGCCTGGTAAGAAAAGACATTCTCGATACTCGTTATCATGCTCGCCTACACGTCGTCCTACTCTCCAGTATCCATGAACGTGACCCTCCCTACTCCACATCCGATCCCACTCGTTTCCATCATTTCAGACTCAACTCGTCCCCTCTTCTTTCAGACTCGTACTCACTCTTATCTTCTTCAGCAGGCAATGATCGCCGACCTCGCGGCAGCCGTGGACGATCAAGATCTCCGCAACCAATCGACCGATACCAGCCTTCACGAGATCGGGATGACTATTACCCTGGAGGAGGTCGCGACGAGCGCGAACACCATCCTCGTCGACGCCGCTCATCGCCCCACGCCGTCCCGCCGACAATCGACAGATACGTCCCCGGCCAAGAGTCACCGTTCACGCCTACGCTCACGACGAACCCCGTCCCGAACCCGATGACCCTCGAGTTCCAAGTTGGATTCAATTACTTCGCGGAGTGGTGGCGCATGGAACAGCTCATGAAGGAGGAGAAAGAGCGCGCGAAGAATGGTGGCAGAAAGCCCGTGTTGAAGGGTGAAAAAGAGGCTCGGGAGGAGCGAGGGAAGGAGCGGGAGCAGATCCAGATCGCGTACGACGAGTACAAGGAACAGCTGCAAATTCAGATGGCCCGCACTTTTGTTCGTCTCCACAAGAATGAGGAGTGGTTCAGGGAACGCTACGACCCTGAGTGCAAGGCCAAATTCCGCGCAAAGCTGGCAGAATTTCGTCAAGCCGCATATGCGCAATGGGAAGTGGATTTGGATTCGGGTGTTTTCGACGAATTCACTCTTGAGGGAATCTACAAGAACGAGAGCAACGGCGCCGGCGGTCTTGTCGAGAAAGAGGAGGGTGAGACCACTGCGGCTAATGAGGTCCTCGGTGTTGGAGATCTCCTGCCCTCAAGAGGTGGCGATCTTCGCGACGAAAACGCCCTCAACCAGCCAACGCTTCTCATAAAGACCATATCTCCTTCAGTTAGTCGCGACAAGATGGAGGCCTTCTGCAAAGAGCACCTCGATGAAGGTCCAGGTGGTTTCAAGTGGCTCAGTCTGAGCGACCCTAATCCCCTCAAGAAATGCCATCGAATTGGTTGGGTAATCTTGAATCCTGAAGAGGATGAGCCAATGGAAGAGGACCGGGGCGATGGCCGCGACGCTGAAGAACTCGAAGACAATGGTATCAAGCTTGAGTCGGAGTCCTCCGCACCCGTGGGCACTGCTAGTAAGGCGCTCGCTGCAATCAACGGCAAGACCATCATGGATGAAGAGCGTGGGAACTTTACCTGCCATGTCGGAATTCACGAACCACCCCAGGTCCCGCGAAAGAAGGCTCTTTGGGACCTCTTCTCTGCACCCGAGAGAATAGAGCGAGATCTACAGTTAGCCGAGCGATTGGTTGCTAAGATGGATGCCGAACTTGGACCTGAATACGATGGCGTCGGCAAGATCGAACAACGTGTGGATGAGCTTCGTACTAAGGGCTGGCTACAACCTCCGGTCAATGCCCCTGCCAAGAAAGTGAAGGTGGAGGAAGAATTGGAGGAAGGAGAGGATGCCACCATGGATGACGAAGATGAAGAAGGAGCTTATGAAGACGAGGTCGACGACGAGGAGCTGCTTGCCAAGAAGAAGAAGCTTGATCTTCTGATTGAATATCTTCGTCGCGTGTTCAACTTCTGTTTCTTTTGCGTCTTCGAGAGTGACTCTGTTCACGAGCTTACTCGCAAATGTCCTGGAGGCCATCTTCGTCGACCTCGGTCCAGTCTGACCACCGCGGCGAAAGCAACTGCAAAGGCTACAGCAGAGGGTGTCCCGTTTCCGTACAAGAAGCAGGAGTCAAGCGCAGACGCCGAAATGGCCTTGTCGCCAGTTGAGCAGAAGAAGACCCCCCAGCTTGGTGTCAAGACTCAACAGCAGCTCCAGCGAGCTTACAATTGGGTCAAGACATACGAAGACAAGCTGCTCCAAATCCTCGAGCCAGATAGCGTGGATATCAAGAAGCTGGGTGGTAAGCCACTGGAAGAGGCCGTCGAGGACGAGCTCACCAAGCACGTGAGGCAAGAAGACGAGTCCAAATGGCGCTGCAAGGTGCCAGAATGCACGAAGCTCTTCAAAGGCAGGGCTTTCTGGCGAAAGCATGTTGAGAAGCGCCACCCAGAGTGGTTCGAAAAGATGCAGCAAGATGTAAGCAAACATTTTGGATTCGTTATGCTCAGAAGTACTAACTAATAGGTGCTAGGTGAACTTGGTGAATGTCTACGTGTTGGACCCTGCGCACATCGCACCTTCGCGTAGTGATGCCAACAGCAACGGACATTTCCCCATGAACAATCATCTCACTGCCGGCACGCCGCGCGGATTCAACCTCTCCACCATGCCCTTCATCCCGGGTGGCGTTGGCAACGGCTTCCCAGGCTCCATGGGCATACAAGGATTCATGAACCCTGGAGGCATGAACATGAGCAGCTGGAACGGCATGGGGGATGACGATCGACACCAGTCAGGACCTCGACGAAACGGCGGCAATAGATTCAACAATCGGGCGCCGGGCCCATACGAGCGACAGCAGCGAGACGGCCGTAATCAGCGCTGGAACTCTGGTCGTTTGACGCCTCCGCGAGGAAGCGGGGGTCGTCCTAGCAGCGGCCGGAATCTGGAAGGTGGTCCTGGCACGTTCCAATCGCGCGATGTGATCCCGGAGCGTAAGTTGCGGAGCTATGAGGACCTCGATGCTGTTGGTGGAAGCAGCGCTGAGCTCAACTACTAGCTCTGTGTACACAGGCTTGACATGTTCTGGCTGTCTTCGATGCACTTTCAGGATAGCTGGTTTGCGTGATGCTGTCCTTTCCAGGCGGTCTTTTCCAGGCGCGTGGGCCATGTCGTGTTGGGTTGCATATGATGAGAGTTTGGAATGAGCTTGCTCATATCTGGCTTGCACTTTGTAAGAATATTTGGGGGCTGGGTTTATCCAATTTTGAGCTTCGGAATGCTGAGAGGCCATCGTGCCATCTTCGGCCTTTCGTATGCTTTCTTCCCTTTCTGGTTCTCCGTTTGCGGACAACTATTTGCTCCTCGGGCATTTGCTTCTCGGGCAGCTAGATAAAACCGTAGGGAATTGAGGGAATTGAGAAAATTGACACATGCTCTTCTTCTATGATGTGCGGCTTGACTGATTATGAACGTCGGGCGTATTCGCCCAGCCTTATTGCAGGGAAGTTATTCCACATTGCCTATGCTAAGAGACACCTAGGACTGTGCACACTTGCCTGGCACCGCTTGAGGTCCTCGAACTGTAAAGCCACCATTCTGGCAAGTCTGATAGCTCTCAGGGCCACCCCAGACAGCTTTGAATTGCCCCTTGTATTCAACTTCAGCCAAGCTTGTCTGGGCAGCCTAGAATAGTAGTCCATAGGTCCATGGTGGGGTATAGGCCAAGCTTTGCTGCGGGGCTGATTCCAAGATGCAACTTCGCATCACTTCCCAGTTGAGAGCCCCCGTTGCGGCGGCGCCGGTGAGCCCTCTGACGGCAGCACCGTCCTTTTGAACCCTGGCCATGCCGTATTTGCCGTGAGGATTGCAGTGGATATTCAGGGCGGCTTCCTTCTTTTGTGCTGGGACGCGCTTTGTCACATTATTGACAACCTCAGCCCTAGAGCAGCCCGAGCGTCATCCGCGATCCAGCTGCGCCATTCCCCGGTGACGGAGCAGGCCTTGGCACAGCCTCAATCTTCAAGAAGTCGACCATCTGCCCAGGTGCACATGGCCTCTCTACGGTCCCCTCCACACCCCCAAAAGCTGACGGCTGCAGCTGCCCTCTTACTCACATCCCGGCCGCGACACTCAGGCTTTGTGCGGCTGACTTGACCTTCTGCCGCTTCGGGTTCGTCCCACCATTCGCACTGCTTCCTGGCCTATTTCACTACCTCTCGGCTGCTCAGGGGGATAGACGAGCAACGCCTTCGCTGCTACTCGCCATTGACACGCGTCGATACCTCACGCTTCCCCTAGACCCTATCTACGCCTCCATCGCCGTCCCGGCCAACCTGCACAGCGCCGCGAAGATACAGCATGGTGGCCATCGACCACACCTCCCCGCAGCGTCAAACTCCGGCCCTCAAGCTAAACGGCGCAGTTGAGCCAACCACAATGGATACCGTCCCGCCCCTTCAGAGTTCCGGGACGCCAGACCCATCGAAAGTCAAAAGGCCGGTACCAGCCAGAGCAGGCACCTCGAATTTCTCGAAGCTATCTACAAACACTGTGCCGCCGGAGGGTTCCATTCTTACCGGGAAGCAGGAACATTGTGAGTCGCAGTAACCGACTTGCAGGAAAACAAATAGTAACCATGATTCGTAGATCTAAAGCGACAGTTACTTTCAAAACAAACAAACTACGAGATTTCAGAGCTCAACTCACCCACCGCGCTCCAGCGATTTGGCGCCCCGTTCCGCTCAGACGCCGGAGAGGTCCCCCCAGAAGATTCCGAACTGCCTATCCTCCGCTATATCTTCGTGCACCATGTTCGAAACTTTCCGTTTCTCAACAAGGCCAAGGAGAAGGAATTTTGGCAGGACAAGCTGCAAGTTGTAGGTTATGCGACTGGACAAAGCACAAGAATGGCTACTAACGGAGCTATTGCAATGTTCTAGTTCCTAGAATCATTTGCGAACAAGCACATCTCGTCTTCGGAAGATCGGTTAGAGGAAACAAAGCGGAAAAAGCTGGCCGGGAAGGCTGAGAAGCTGGTGGAACTGATGATGGTGTCTGGCATACCCACAGCCTCAGGATATGAGGAGCGTATCCGGTTTTCGGAGCTTGAGGTTGTGGAGCGAGGCGCCAGTGAGAATGGCCTTGTCGTCAATGTTCCTAGCGGCCATGAAATAAATGGCTGGGACGTCAACGTAGCAGGAGTGCGAACCATGTCTGTCAAAAAGCACCTTCGATACCATACACATGCAGTAAGTAACGACAGGTCTACCAATCTTGTGGACGCATTGGAGTCGGAAATCGCTAATTCAATGGCAGGAATACCTCCTACGAGTCAAAAAAGCCGGGCAACCAGAGATCTATGTTGGTCGCCGTTATGCTGATTTCGTACAAGTCCACAAACGAATACGACTAGAGCTACCTGGAAAGGTCTTGTCTCCTCTCCCAAGGAAGAACAAGAAGAACTCGTTGTTGCGATCAGACGCAGATGATGATGCAGACTCCATTTCCTCAGGATCAACGCAAGAAGCCCCAGAACCTTATGATACAGGAAACAATGGCGGTGGCTTACGAAGCTACATATTTAGTAACCACCGTCGGAACGCATCCACTTCCTCTTTGAGAAGCGGCAAATCCCCACGAAGATCTGTTGATAATGTTGCTTTCAAAGAGCCACGAGTTCTGTACCGAGAAGAGCAACGAGTGTCTCTCCGAGCTTTCTTACGCACCTTTCTGCAAAACGAAATCATCTCTCAGTCTAGCGCAATGGTAGAGTTCTTGACCGGAAATCCGATCGAACTCAACGAGGAAGAACTGGAGGATATCGAGAGGCGGAAGGAGATGGATGAGAAGCGCATGGAAGAACAGAGGCAGTTCTACGAGATTGCTAGAAAGCGAGCAGCGGAGCTAGATGTTCATATGGAGAAGTTCCGGCGAGACATTGTAGAACGCAGTGAGTGTGGTGACCTTCAAATCAATCGAGCGTACACTAATTTGGTATAGATGGTTTGTCACACTTGTTCCGGGAAATCCGCGAGAAAAACACGATAGCAGGACTCAAACCTGAGTATCAGAAGTTTGCCGAATGGCTTCGAATAGAGTAGGTCTTCTAATTTCATGGCAGACACCAATACTGATATAATTTCAGAGTCGCTGCCACTCTGTATCATCTTTTCCTTGCCGAGGACAACTCGCCAGAGCTCTTTGCTCAAGCGAAGAGGATTCACTCTCTCGTACCATATACACTTTTGAAAAACGTCATTCGAATAGCCAACCCAGCGGCCGTCATGAATGGAGTTCTAGATCTTTTCCTAGCGCAACCCTTAGGCGCTCGTTCCCTCATGCAGCGCATGTTTGGAATGGCCATCAACGATGGAGTAAGATCTGTTCAAAAATCTATCGATACCCTCGCCTCGACCAAGATTCAGGATCCTGTGCTCGTCGAAAAGATCAAAGCTTTCACCCAGGCGAATGAGGATATCAAAGAGGCGATCAGGCTTGAGGCGCAAGAGGAAGGCGTCGATGTTGTTGTGACTATTCTTCGCTCCGAGCACATCTCGCCAGAGCTCACAGCGGAGCAAATAACCAAAGTCTTCAACGCTTACGTCGCGTGGAACAGCGCAGTAGAAAACACTCGCAGCCGTTCGATGAGCCGAAAGTCGAGTAGCTTTAGTGTGCTTAGCACCATCAGCAACAGCGCGGACAAGTTTGTTGACGAGGAGATGCGAAGCGGAGCGGAGCTGTTTGCACATTTGAAACAGCTTCTCAAGCTGTGTATGAGGCAGCGCGATAAGTTGATGATGATGCAGATTATCGAAGAGGTAAAATACTCCTTTCCCGCTACAAAGATGGCACATTCACTAATGCTCAACAGCCGACAACCCTACACCTATTCCGCGACCTGTTCTCGATCTTCTACGAACCCCTCGTCCGCGTCTACAAATCTGCGAATGTTTACAACAGCATCACAGACTTTGCCATGTTCGTCGACGACACCATCAAAACCATCGAAGCCGCCCAACGTCAAGACGTCTCAGCAGACCCCAATCAAACCGTGCAATCGTTCATCGACCTTTGCGCACGCCACGAGAATGACTTCTACAAATTCGTACACGAGGTTCACATTCACGATAATGGGCTCTTTGACCAGCTCATGGGCTGGTTGGAGGGAATCCTCGAGTTCCTCCGCAAAGGACCTGGGGGCGGGGGAAAGCTGGATATGAACGCGCTATTCCAGGGTGCCACGGATTCAGGACTCATCGACAAGCAACTAGCAGTCCGTGAGATCAACTCCTTGATCCGATGGCAAACGGCGCGCAAGAAGTGGCATCAGGACAAGACGAGGCAGAAAATGGCTTCTAGCGGAGGCGATGAAACGGATGGTATGATGGGTGGGATTGCTGGGTTCAAGAGCAGTGATTTTGGTCTTAACGAGGTGACTTCCCGCTTCTCAACCATTGAGGAGCAGAGCAGATACTAACCCAACCCTTCAGCTCGACCTCCAAGACCTCGAACTCGATGAAGAAGACGACTTCTACGAGAGCGACAGCGAAGACGACATGGACGACGAGGAAATCGCCAACCCCATCGCGGCTGAACGCAAGCGACGAGCGCGCGCGCAAGAGCGGCTCCGGAGAACGGCGGGCGAGCCGAAGAAGCCGCCGATCGTCGAGCTCGACAAGATGCACCCGAGCTTCCTAGCCATGCTGAGATCGGTGTTGGCAGAGTAGACATAACCAACGATGGGTTGTTGATACTTGCGTGTAGATGTGTCGAAGAAACGATGAGATACCTATGCGATGCGGCGTTTATGATAATTGAGGACGGGAAAGGAGGATGGTAGATAACGGTGGGCCTGGGAGTGGAGGACCTACATATCGTTACCCTTATCCTGTGGATAGCGTGAGATAGTTGGGCTGGTGGCCGTTTAATACGTGATGCTGACGCCTGGAGAGGGTGTTGGTTCTTGGTACACACCTGCTTCTGGCTGTTCATGTGTGATATGACTCCTCTGCGTGTGGAGAGAGGCTCGAAACGGCGGGAACCTACCTTCTCGGCGGCGGCAGAACAAAGTTGCGAACGTCTTCTTCTGGCAACTCTTGGCAGCCGTGAGGAGCTCAATAAGTGTTGAGTCCTGCACACCCGCCTCTATGTCAACGATCCGAGGTGCCCGTCCCTTCAAAAGTTCTTTAAAAATACTATCAGACCGTGCGATTCACGTCCCGGTGTCAAATTCGTGATCCGGGGTGTGGTTGTGGAGCTATTCGTCGAAAGGGTGCGGGCGGCTCGATATCGTGGAAATCTGCCTTCTCGGCGGCGGCAGAATGAAATTGCGAAAATTCTCCTCTGGCAACTCTTGGCAAGCAGCCAGGACGAGGGCCGGAAGTAAGCTCTGGACAATGACATGGCAAAAGAGAGTGGAAATCGCACGGAGTGGCTCCGCTTTATGCATCTTGATGTACTGTAATTTGACCTATATCGCTAACTTGATCTGGGGTGTCGCGGATTTGAGATGCTAAAAGAGACTGGCAACCGAGTCCGAGGAAGTATGGAAAAGTAAAAGACGCGAGATTGGACCTGAGGAGGTTGAGAACGAGACAGGCATACCCAGCCAGAAGTGCTTCGAAGGGCTTTCCGAGTAAGAAAAGAAGACGAGCACATGGCATTGTGGGGAGGCACCCTTCGTACTTTGTTCCGGTCGATCTGACGCAAGTTTTGACACGAGGAGGCGTACATGCGGGTGTGCTTTGGCGAACAGTATAGTACATTTCTCGCATATGACACACTTCAGCTCCCATGCTTCACATACTCCAACTCTTGCTCAGCTAAGAGCAGTATCCATATACACAGCTTTTATACATTCGTCCAACCCACAGCCCCAACAAAGGTATCTTCTCTAGCCCATCGTCTTCAAGAAATTGCCCTCCTTAATGGTACCACGTCGCTTCACGCGCATCGCCTTCTGCAACTCCTTGCGCGCAGCCGCGGCCTGCACCGCTCCCTGCACCGTACCGTTGCCAGCCGGCAAATCAATCGACTGCTCGTAGATCGGGATCTTAGGCGCCAGCGCGTCCGGGTCGCGGAGTTCCTGCTTGCGCATGCGCTTTGCGGCGAGTCGACGTTGTTTCTTTGATTTAGCTATTCGCATATAATTAGCATTCATACTTCCCCAGTTCTCATCTCGTCCAAGCAAATATATTCTACTCCCAATTCTAAAGGGAACGTTGTACTAATCGTGGAATTAAGATAGTCAAGTGAGGGTTAAGCATACAGAACAGATCTCCCTCGCCGACCCCATCCCCTTTCGTTTCCTGCTTCTTCAGAATATCCCATAACCAGCTTGGATACTCGGAATCCTCTAGTGCCACGGGATCCTGCGCGTTTTTTAGGAAGTTTAGGCCTTTGAGCGGCGTTCCTGCTGGCACGGAGGAAAGCGTGACGACGGATGCGGCGGGCGCGGGCTTGGTGGGTGTGCCTTCGGCGGCTGGGGAGGGCGTTAGGGGTGTGGTGAAGGGTTGAGCAGCAGAGGAAGAGGTCGCGGCCGGTGGAGGGGCGGATTGGGGTTGTGTAGGTTGTGTTTGCTGTGGGCTGGTGGTGGAGAAGGGGTGGTGAGGTATGCGGAGCAGCGGCGCGGGATTAAGAGCACTGGTTGAGGGAGCAATATTCGAAGAGCGATGGGGAGGCCGTAGGCGAGAAGAGGCCCGTAGGCACCGTTGGCAAATCATTGTTTGGGTAGATTGGATGGGTTGATGTGATGGATGCTGTTGAGGACTTTTGGAGATGGAGATGGAATATGGTTTCTCCGGCGTCCGGCACGTGATCATGAACAACAACCTTCACTTCGAACATTCTCATCTGTAAACACTACAGCTAGAAGAGTATGAATCTTGAAAAGCCCCCCAATGGCCGCTTGTAACTATCTGAGAAAATGATATATGTTAGTAAAGCTGGTGTCTGTCGGAAGGAGGATTGTCCGAGCGCCTATGATGTACCCCGGGAGGCTTACTCGGCTTCAGCGTTTGCACTCTTGCGTCCACAATAACTCGAGATCATTGCCTAAAAAGCAAAAGTTCCAGAACCAAAGCATTAACTCGTCCGGGAATCGGAAGCCTTGAAACCCAGGGCCGATCAAAATGAGTGGCGATCACGAGCTTTCCCCTTTATGAAGTCGAAACTGACAGCCCTCCGCCCGTCGCGCAACTGGTCGGCTCAAAAGAGAAGGACTTCACGGAATGGTTCAAAGAATATACCACGGCGGATGGCAATGATCTCACCGAAGACTCCGATATCATCCAGGCTGTCAATTCCGACGACCTGGATGCGGACTTTGTTGAACAACAAATACGGGACTCAGCACCCAAAGGCCCTATCACGAAAGGGTTCTGCGCCAAATGTGAAGATCTGTTCAACGACTGGCCAACGTTAGGTGGTTCATCGACTAGAGAATACAGCTCGAAGCCTGACCCAGACGCGGAAGGCTGGGAGCACGGTGTCGCGCGTTCATGGAGCACTTATGAATTGGAAGCCTCGACACGCGCTGGATGCAAGTTCTGCACATTCCTACTGCAGCAACTTAAAGACAGTAACCTACTTGACACCTTTTGCAAGATTGAAGCCCGTTTATACGATCTCAATGACAACCCAGTGTCATCTTCGTCCGTCCAAAACTGGGGGACGAATCCAATACAGCTCTTGTGGCTCAATTTACCGGGCAAGGTCTGCACTTCTTGTAATTCCGGCATCGCTAGGGAATAAAATTCGAGTCGTCTTTCCTTCCAGTATCGGGTATGTCATGTTTCACCAGTATAGCACTCTTTCATTGCTGACAATTTCAGCTGATTGCTATGACGAGCTGCCTGATGTACTTGACACCGCGAACAAGTGGTTGTCAACTTGCTCTGAAGGCCATGAACTATGTACAAGCAACGATGACGGCGCATTGCCTTCCAGACTGGTCTCAATAGCTGGCGAATCGCCGCGATTGATACTGACTTCGAAATATCAAAAAAGGCCGCGATACTCCACGTTGTCACATAGCTGGGGGTCTCATGATGTCGTAAAGCTCACTTCAAAGGATCTAGATGCGTTCATGAAGGCAATACCAGTGGACATACTTCCGGCTATCTTCCAGGACGCTATTAAAATAACACGAAGATTAGGGCTCGATCACATATGGATAGACTCTCTATGCACATATTCCGATCGATCTAGCATCAAGAACCTCAGAAATCTGAGGTCTTTCATTGAGCATGCTCAGGAGCCAAATCGGGACCTTCGGAGTACGGGAAATCTTTCGTCCGGGAATATACGATTAAGTTAGCCTGCATCACGTGTGGAGGAGACATTATTCCCATCGATCCACATATCAAACACCGCAGAAACTTGAGGTGTTTGATTTCGCACATTTAGCGTGCCGGATTAGGAAATCTCCCCCTCCGCGTTTTTGAAATGGAAACGTATTAATACATCGCTTTCTACCTTCATGCAATAATGCCACCCTTTGAATTGCCTTATCCATTTTATCTTAGCATGACAACCTGTCCTTGTTTTGAAACAGCGCAAATTTCGCTTCCGCCGGCGTCACCGATCGTAGGCGGCAAAAGCATAGAAAAGTAATGAGATGTACTTGGCGTTTTTGCTCTACTTGCTAGCTTGGGGAGCATTGAGATGAGCAGCGGTGATGGGTGAGGCCGGTAGTAGGTGAGTTGTAGGTGAGCGCCGGGTGAGTAGTGGGGTGAGAAGTGGGTGAGCGCTGGGTGAGTAGCAGGCTGGTTCCTGGACAGGGATCTCAGTCCGTCTTCTGGGCCTAAAACAGCCCTTCCGAAATAGCCTCTAAGAGCCCATTTCGACCATGGATTTAATATGAACCAAGCCTATCATAACAGCGTGCAATGACAAGAACAACATCCCAATGTGCACATAGAGTACTTGAGTAGGTTATTGTATATGAGGGTGTTATTGTAACGTGTTCTACATGCATGTGGTGGTTACAAGCGAGTGGTGGCGCTTAATTTTTGGTGCGATTTGGACGTTTTGACACCCCAGCAACCTCAACAACTATAAAAGATTTGAATCTATAACTTAGAATAAAGATATGCATAGCTGTTTCAATATTATAAGACAAATTTTTAGGGTCTCTTGATGGCCACATTTAGTTATAGTAGAGTTTTGGCCCCTGTCACGATAGCGCTACACGCGAGAGGTCGAGGGCTCAAAGAGGAGCGTTGATTAGGTGCTATGTACAATGCTACGTGGAGAATCAAGACGTTGTGTAAGGAACAGGAAGACGGGAGACGGGCCACCGGATATAAGGGCGTGGCCGAGCGCGTGGCGTACGGCCTCTATGCCGTTTCGGCGCGTGGCACGCGTGTACGCGAGGTCCTTACCAGATCAGGTGATAGGAAAAGGGGGCAGCCGGTAGGTGGCTGGAGCGGGACAGGATAGGAAGCGGAAGCGAGACGGGAGCGGAGCAGGGCAGGCAGGGCAGGAGGCCGGCCAACGGTAGTAGGCCGGTGCAGATTGCTGGAGTTGTAGCAATCTGCGGCAGAATTTCGGTAGGTAGGGTGTCGCGGTCGATACCGTGACAGCCCCCTAGCATTGGGTAAGATCTACGATATAATAGAATTACAGAGACACATCACTCCAAACTATTGCCTAGCCATTGAAATGAGCTAAATACTATATGCATTCATATAATCTTATTTAATACTTTATGGTTGTTGAGATTGCTGGGGTGTCAAAACGTCCAAATCGCACCAAAAATTAAGCGCCACCACTCGCTTGTAACCACCACATGCATGTAGAACACGTTACAATAACACCCTCATATACAATAACCTACTCAAGTACTCTAAGCAATTTTCTTTCCTGATTAGGGATCTGAGCTGCTTATGCTCCAGCCTAAGCTCTGGCAGTACTGAGGTGAGCGCATCCTAAGCCGAGACTGAGCGGCTTGCACCTGCATTTGACAGCGAGGGTTAAGACCGGGTCTTCACCCTGCCTCGGAAGGCCCGGTTCTGGGCCCTCTCTCGGCATTCGCTGTCTTTGGTGTCGGACTTCTGCGCTTCCGACCTGCGGTTCTGCATCGTCTTGTTGCTCGAAGTCGCTAGTCGCTTGCCTACCGGCGAAAATGCAACGGCTCTAACAAACTCATTGTGCCTATGTATTTGGAGTACCGCTCCTGAATCGGTCTCCTATTGCATGGCCGTTCTGCCATTCGATGCAGACACTAGCCGCTTGCCATCTGGCGAAGGCGATGGCTCTCACGTAGCCACCGTGGCCTTTGAGCTCCTGCAGCACTGCTCCTGAGTCGTCATCCCACTGCAACCTCCTACCAGCCAGCCACACTAAGATGGTGTCTCGCCTGCGATTCAGGCTGCTCGACTTTGATCAAGCCCTCAGAGGGGAGCGCAGCAGCGATACAAAGGGTACTAGGGTTAGGGTTAGGGCTATATATTGGAGTCAAATCGGGCTCTAAAGATCTATTTTTAGCCGGAAGATCCCAAAATAAACTTCATGTAAGAGGAAAGTCACGGTAGGGGGCTTGCATACGGAATTGATGATGTAGTCGTATATATAGGAGGGAAAAAGAGACAAATCCTTGAGGGGTTAAGGATTCGGGCTCTCCAGGCTATATGTGAGCTCGCCTTAGCCGAGCACGTGATGCGCCTGCGGCGCGCACGGAAAGCGCAGCCTAATAGCTAGACTACCAGCCTAGAGAGTATCCATATACTTGTAGGTGATTCGTCACCTTACATCTAGCTATTATGCTGCGCTTTCCGTGCGCGCCGCAGGCGTGTAACCTCTTTATTAAGGACTAAACGCTCTAAAATACCGTAGAATACCTTTCCACTTTTCCTTACTAGAACTCTTATATTACTACTAGCTAACTACTTTTAGGCCTTAAGATCTTTGACTTTTTTCCCATCCTTATACAAGCCATCGACTAAGTGAGGCCGTGAAGTCCTTCCCTCGTACGGTAGTTCATTTAAAAATCCCCAATGTAAAGCTTCCTTCCAACCTTCCTTCTGCCAAGCATTCATCGTACCGTTCGGGAAAAACGTAAATACATCCAAGGAGGTAGGATCATGTGCTATAGCAACTAGAACATTCGGATCCGCGTCAAACTCCTCCATGGCTCCAATCGACTGCTGTGCCAAAGCTGGATCCGCATACCAAGTTGAGGCTCCCGTAGCCACTTTGTAGAAAGAGCTGGTGCGGCTGTTTTCTTGGTCTGGGTGGCAGGATGTGAAGGCGTGGCAAGGACAGGGTCGCGCAATATGCGGGTCGAGTATTGTCTCTTCCGGGATCTGGTCAGGAAGCGGTACGTACTTGGTTGGTCTATAGCTGCCACCAAAATGGCACACATCACCGCCCAGAAAGATAAATGTATCCGCAGTGGTTCGCACAAGAGCTGAAATATGCCCGATCGCGTGGCCAGGTGTGTTGAGGATATAAAAACTGCCGTCCTGGAAGAAATCATGTGCTTCGAAGCGCCCAATCTTGAAATTGCTGGTGAATGGCACTTCGATAATTTGCCGCCCTAGGAAAACCTCTTCTGCGAAAGGCGATGTGCTCTTCGATGGCCAACCCGGTAGAAATGCACCTTTGAAACCAGGCCCAACAACCAAATCAACTGTTTGAGGTAGGACGGCTATGTCTCCACAATGGTCAAAATGCCAATGACTTAGGACGAGCACGTCAATATCCTTGATATAGACACCACCTTCACGAATAATATCCGCCACATTCCTTTCAACTTTCAATCCGGGGACATGACATTTCAGAATGTCTGAGACACTGGGGCAGTGATTGTACCAATCTGTACGCGCCCCGAGGTCGAAGAGGATCTGTTTTCCGCTCCTTTCATGCTTGATGAGAAATGAGTATGTCGGGAGGTTCATCCAGTCATGGCCTTCTATTGCTGGTTCGACCAAGAGTGATGGGGGGACGGTAATATCGCATGTTGTGTTGATTATTGAAATTTGACACGACTCGGATCCTTTGGGGAGGCCCAAAGGAGGGACGTCCTTGGACTTAATCTGAGAGACCATCATATGTTTTTGCGTAATAGGGCAGACAGGCTGCGGGGTCCAAAGTCAGAGCAAAGTAGTAGACTGATAATTGCCAAACAAAGTGCTTTTGATTTGTTGAAGTTCGCATTGTACGGCGAGGAAGATGAAGTGCTTGCAGCCCCGCTTTATATTGCTTGGAAATCATGACTTACATACCATAGGCCTTAGGCTGTCTGAATAAAACTAATAGTAATTGATAATACCTATTTCATTTAGACATTTCAATAGCTCTCATTCTTTGTACGTCGGTTAAAGGACACGCATGTATTAGTTCAATAGGCGAGTATCGGCTAAACTTAGGTGGTAGGCTAATTTCTGCCCCGCATTCGGTAAAGACCAGGTCCCCGAAATGGAGGGGTACATTGTCATGATCGCAAACTGAACGACAAAGCTGAACCTCGGCCTCACAAGCCGTTGTTTACCATTTGACTATTCAGTTCAAGCTTTCTGAAGTCTCGTGGACAAGTCTAACACTCAGTCATTTTCACTATCTCGAATTCCAACCGTAAAAATGGGCAAAATATCTCCTCTCGAGCCAAAAGACTTCATTAAATTATATCTCAATGGAGAATTCGTTGATTCTAAATCCAAAGAGAAATTCTCTCTCAGAAACCCAAAAGACAACACTCTGGTAGTTGAAGGAATTCCGATTGCAGATTCCGAAGATGTCGACCTTGCTGTCGAACACGCTGACGAAGCCTTCAAAGCATACAGCAAGTTCACAGCAGGGCAGAAAACCCAATGTTTTCATAAACTGGCAGCCATTCTAGAAGAACAGCTGATCGATATTTTAACGCTGGATTCACTCACCTCAGGAAACCCTGTGTCCATTATCCCAACTCGCGAGAAGGATTATATCAAGAATACTATACTGTATTATTCGGGATGGACAGACAAACAAAAAGGAGACTACCTCCCAGCAGACGATGGTAAGCGGCCTTTGAAGTTGTAGCAATAGTGACTGATCAACGGGCTCAGGGTTTACCAAAATAGTGCGCCATGAACCTTTGGGAGTGTGCGCTGCTATCAATCCATTTAATGCACCTGTGGCTACCATGATAATCAAAGCCGCGCCGGCTTTGGCAACAGGAAATGTGATGATAGTCAAACCGTCCGAGAAAACTCCCTTGGGAACCCTAGCTATCGCACCTCTATTTGAGCAAGCTGGATTTCCAAAGGGATGTATTCAGGTCATAACGGGGAATGGCCAAACTGGAGCTTTATTATCGAACCACATGAAGATTCGAAAGATAAGCTTCACAGGTAGTGTTTCAACTGGCAAGAAAGTCCAAGCCGCCGCTGCTCAAAGTAATTTGAAACGCGTGACTCTGGAACTGGGCGGCAAGAGTCCTGCTGTGGTGTTCGAAGATTGCAATCTGGATAACGCAATTAACTGGACCGTCCACGCCATCCTCGCTCGCTCAGGCCAAGTGTGCGTAGCCGCAACAAGAGTCTACGTTCAGAAATCTATATCAAAAAAATTCATTGACAGATATATCGAGAGGATGAAAGCAGCAGCTTCAGATTTTGGCGATCCTCAGGATTCCTCGGTCAAGATGGGCCCATTGGTTGACACGGACCAACTCAGAAGGGTAAAAGCCATGGTTGACCGCGGCAAGGGGGAGGCGGAACTTGTTGTTGGTGGGGTGCAGCATGGCGAGACGGGATGCTACATGGAACCTACTGTGTTCCTGAACCCCAAGGTCAACGCTGAAATATATCAGAAAGAGATATTTGGCCCAGTCTCAGTTCTGAAGACGTTCGAGACTGAGGAGGAGGTTTTGAAGATGGCGAATGATACGGAATACGGCTTGATGTCAGGTGTGTTCACGAGGGATATCTCACGCGCGCTCAGGATGTCCGCAGGTTTGGAAACTGGTGTTGTGGGTGTCAACTGCGTAAGCTATGTAAGTTGTCTCCAGAATCAGACATGAGCATGAACTAAGAGGACAGATGAATGCACAAGTACCGTTCGGTGGGATGAAGCAGTCCGGGCACGGCAGAGAATTTGGTGAATACGTAAGGAGCCCTCTGTTATCATTGGGAATACTGAATCCTTACCTTATCTGGTAGGCTTTACGCGCATATACTGAACCTAAGACAATTTTGATCAAGTGAGTCCTATTAATTCAATGTTTCCTAGTTCTTGTAACTGATGTTTGATCAGTATGAACGCTTGATGAATGCCGTAAGCACCTTGTGGCAGCCAGTTATATGCTCCTACGTACATCTATCTACGCGCCTCAGCTTGTCAAGGTTCACTTCTCAGCTTGCAATGTACAGCTGAAGACTCAGCTCGCTCGAACTCAGCTGAATGCTCAGCTCGCTTGTTGCTTGCCACCGTTGCCACCTGCAACTCCTATTCTCTCTTCACTATATAGCCACTCGTTAGCACTTCAATACAACTCATGCTTTCCTCACTGATCCTTTGCCCTTCCTACGCCAGCTGCCACCTTGAATGGTAGCATGACTGGAGTAGATCAACTACCCGTAGACGAATCAAATGAATCTAGAATTTTTTCAGACTTGTAGCATTATTGCAGATGAAATTGATGTATCAACGTGGCGTTACTATTGGCCACAAAAGAATAGATAATAATATCTCCTCTCGTTGTATAACTTCTTAACCCTGAGCATCTGATATGTCACATGTATAACCTTGAAAAGTAAGGAAATTATTTACAAACCTTAAGAGATTTTGGTGCAACACTTTTGACATTTACAGGTGATTTGTATATATATGACTACTCCCAAATATAACATGATCAATAGGTACCTGCCACCTAGTAACTCCTCGGTAACCCAAGCACTTTCTCGCCAATGTAATTGTATATCATTTCCCTGCTTACTGGTGCAATTCGAGGGAGCATTGCTTCCCTGAAGTACCTTTCAATATGATATTCCTTCGCATATCCCATACCTCCATGGGCAAGAACAGCTCTCTCGCACGCTTCAAAAGCAGCTTCAGCAGCGAGGTATTTCCCTGCATTGGCATATTCCCCAGTTGCATACCCCTCATCGTACATGCGAGCGGCTTGATAGACGACTAATCTAGCTGCCTCAAGCTTCATCCAAGAATCCGCAAGCGGGTGCTGGATTCCCTGATTCTGTCCAATAGGCCTCCCGAAAACGACGCGATCTTTTGCGTATTGTGCTGTCCGGCGGAGAGCCGCATATCCCAACCCCAATGCTTCTGCACCAAGGAGGATGCGCTCCGCGTTCATGCCTTGCATGACCATCTTGAAGCCATTCCCTTCTTTGCCTAACAAGTCTGTGGCGGGTACCTTCCAACCGTCGAAGAAGAGCATGTTCGAGTCTACTGCTGCTCGGCCCATCTTGGGAATCTCGGTCACTTCAACTTGTGAGCGGTCCATATCGGTATAGAAAAGGGACAGTCCATGTGAAGGTTTGTTAACTTTGCCTAAGGGTGTCGTTCGGACGAGAATAAGGATTTTGTCTGCGCTCTTGGCTGTGGATATCCAAATCTTTGAACCCTTTAGGATATAGTAATCTCCGTCCCGTCTAGCAAAAGATTGCAATTTTAGGGTATCAAGACCTGTATTTGGCTCTGTTACGCCAAAGCATGCCCTTTCTTCTCCTTTGATCAATGGCACCAGCCATCTCTCCTTTTGCTCTTCCGTTCCAAACTTCACAACCGGCTCCAAGCCAAAGATATTCATGTGTACGGATGACGCTCCATTCATGCCTGCACCAGACTCGGAAATAGTCTGCATCATCACCGCTGCTTCTGAAATTCCAAGTTCTGAGCCGCCGTATTCTTGTGGCATGCAGATACCCAGCCAGCCATCTCTCGCGAGGTCGCCATGCAGATCTAAGGGGAACTCGTGGGTTTCGTCCTTACGGGCCCAATATTCGTCGGGGTATTTGGAACATATTTTCGCAATTGCTTCTCGGACCGTTCGTTGGGACTCAGTCATGTCCGGATCCTTGGCCTGGAGATATTCCGTCGCTCGCGTGTGGATACATTTTGTAGGGTGGGACCTGAGAGCTCCATATCTGTATCCAATTCTCTTGGTCAGGCTGTAATTTGAGATTTTTGAAATCTGGGAGAGGGTCAGATTGTCAATGAGCGTATGTTCAGCATGAAAGTGGTAATAAAACATACCTGATGCCTTCCTTGTCGGAAACCAGAAAACATCCTGACAAACAAAAAGAGATACGCAATGTAGGACAACTAGCTAGAACATGCGAGTTTGGCCAGGATAAGTACGTTCAAGTGCGCGAAGGTGATAGGAGGAGCGGGTACTTATCTACTCTCTCACAATAGAGTTCGGGGAAGAAGGCTAACTATAGAGCCTCGGTAATAGGTACCCGTTGATCCCTGGTGGCCATTTAAGGCGACAACATTCAAGTAGAGAGTGCCATGCTGTACTACAGATCAAATAACCCTTAATACGTAAGTAATATACGTCGTGTCGGGCGTGCCTAAACGGTCATACCCGAATTTCGAGCAATATTGTTCAAAGCATAGAGATCGAAAAGAGACTGTATGCACCAAACTCTTACGTCCTTTCGACAACTCAAATCGGTTAGGGCTAAACCTAGAAATCTCGAAACAACTAGAAGTCCAAGCTTCCACACGCTATCCCATATTATCCTATTCTCTGCGTCAACATGGCGAACGCTGCCAAGTTATCTGAGGACACAGCAAACCCACCCAGCCCTGGATCCCTTCGACAACTACTGACCAGTACGGCTCTTCCATTCGTCATTGGCGGTTTCTCTGGTATGGTTGCGACCACTTTTACTCAACCGATAGATATGGTCAAAGTGCGAATGCAGCTTGCCGGCGAAGGAGTGAGAGACGCTCCCCGCCCAAATCCTTTCTCAGTGGCGAGGACTATCGTTGCCCAAGGAAAGATTCTAGATCTCTATTCAGGTCTATCAGCTGGTCTACTGCGGCAATCCATATACGCAACTTCGCGTCTTGGATTCTTTGATACTTTCATAAACATTCTCAAAGAACGGACAAAAAAAAAGGGAACCGAGATAGGGTTTGGGGAACGCGCTCTTGCTGGTATTGCTGCTGGGGGTCTGGGGGCTATGATTGGGAATCCCGCTGATCTCGTTCTTATTCGTATGCAATCTGATGGATCGAAACCCAAGGAACAGCGTGCAAATTATCGTTCTGTGTTTGATGCTTTAGCCCGCATCAGCAAGAATGAAGGAATCTCTGCCCTGTGGAAGGGTGCCTATCCCACAGTTGTCCGTGCTATGTCCACAAACTTTGGGCAGCTCGCTTTCTTCTCTGAATCAAAGAACCAAATTCAACAACATACAACTCTATCCCCTCGGACGCAGACCTTCGCGGCCTCTGCTATTGCTGGCTTCTTCGCTGCCTTCTGCAGTTTGCCATTCGATTTTGTAAAGACAAGATTACAAAAACAAAGAAGAGCGCCAGATGGGTCGGCTCCTTATAAAGGCATGATGGACTGTTTCGTCAAGGCCGCTAAGAATGAGGGCTTGCTTCGATTTTACAGAGGCTTTGGGACGTACCTTTTCAGAATTGTACCGCATTCGTAAGTCATGTTATTCTTTCTATGCAATAAATTCAGTCAACTGACTTTTTTGATACAGTGTAGTCACACTTATTGTTGCCGATTATATTTGGTCGTTCGTGGGATGAGAACTGTTAGTCATGTTGCAATCACGGTGATGAGAGAAGCCGCTGAACGTCGAATAGAATTAGGTGAATGTATATCTTCAAGATCAGAAATTCGGCTACCTCGGGTTTGAAAAGTCATAAACATGTGAAGTGCAAGGATGGTGTCAAATTTCTATCGGACAAACAACGGCAACCTTATTGCAAATCAGAACGCCGCCAAATACCGCCATACTGCTGCATCCCCAGCTCCCTACTAAGTGAGGAAAAATTCATTTTTGGTTTTGGGGGAAGAAGGGGTGGCACCTGGATCTAGGCTCAGTGCACTACTCCAAACTCTGCTTGAGGAATTTTCCGAGCACTATGGTGGCTAATAGCCAACCTGAACTTTTGGAACGCTTCAAAATCATTGGATAACTTGGACAAAAGGATCTATCGGTTATCTCCTGAACTTGTTTCAAAATTTGTGCCACGACAGATCATCTTAGGGGATGTTCTCTTCCATATATCTATACTTATGCAGCATTTTCCTTTCCTTGAATTTTAATACATATCCACAGAGAGCCAAGTGGCTATTATTGCGGAGGAGTACACGTGAGGTTATTCACAGAGCAATACCAAGCAGCTAAGAGAGCATTTTGATTGGGGACATGAAGCTATAATAAAGCTACAAGTTGAAATCGACAATGCTTCTCCCCACCGTCTCACCTTTCCTAATTTTTTCCACAGCTTCGGGTAGTCTATCGATAGGATACACAACACTGTGGATTGGCTTTAACACACCTCTCTTCGCAAAATCCAGCGTTCGTGCTATGTCCGCACGAGAAGCAACGAGAGTTCCCTTTATCCCCATATTTTGGATCACGAACTTCTCAGGCTCTGCGCCTAGTGTCATGGTGCCGGCAGATGCTGCATGATAATTAGTCTGGTATAGAAATGAGAAGAAGAGAATGGGGTACGAACGAATGCCGACACACATCACACTTGATCCAACTCTGCTTCCAACATAGGCAATAGCAGTGGGATATGCGGCAGGGGCAGTGACAAAAACACCGTGCGCGCCAATCCCATCACACAATCGTATGACCTCGGCAGCTGTATCTTTGACATCCCTAAAGTCGATGAATGACTCACCACCCCCTTTGAGACATAGTTCTTTCTTTTCCGTCCCAGAGTCCACGACGATGGCGCGGATGCCCATAGCGGTAGCTAGTTGAACTCCTTGTATACCCACACCTCCGCCTCCACCGGGGAAGACAGCAAATTCGCCTGCCTTAAGGCCAGATTCAACCAATGAGCGGTACATAGTCGATGCAGAACACATGATCGGGCCGGCGGTATAGTCATCAACACCATCAGGAATTGCCTGTGTATATGATGCGGGCGATGTAACTGAAAAGAGTCAGTACATTTTTAATAACATAGAATAGGTATGGGAGGTCATGAACGAGAAATGACTCCGCCTACCGTATTGCTGAAATGATCCTATTGCCAAGGATTAGCGTTTGCAGTCAAATAACGACCACTCATCAACCAATCCCTGATTCAACATTTCTCCATAATTTATTGCTCACTTACCAGTAACTTTTGACCCAGCCATCAAAACCTTTGAACAATGCTGCTCCCTGCCCGTCCAGCACTGCTCGCAATTCTGGCAGGTAATCCACACAGGCTTAATCCCCGCTCTATCCCCCACCTTCCAATTCTTCACATTGGCACCCAACTTCACAACCACTCCCGCCCCTTCATGACCCGCTGATTTGACACCGAAGTGGCTCATGGGCGGTCTTCCCAGGTCACCTGTCATGTAGTGTATATCGGAGCCGCAAACTCCTGTGCAGTTGAGTTTGATTAGAACTTCGTCAGGAGCTTTGCATAATCATATCAGCGCAATTCTAAAAAATGAAATTCGATAGGGGGAAGGATTGCAAACCAGGTTCTGGAACCGGTACCATTCGTACCTCGACACTGAAATCCGGCCCTTCGTTGACTACTATACCGGCTTTGCAGGTTTTAGGAATCACGAATGCGTTGGGCGCTGTGTCGGTGGTGGTTGACGCCATGCTATACCAGGTAAGTATTGAAACCAGGTATAAGTCATCAAAATTAATTCAGAATTCTCAGAAGTAGTTCTGGAGAGAGACTAGTGGAAGAGAGTATAGAAGAAAAGGATGCTCATTGCAAACTTCCAGGCTAATCTAGAGCTCGAGGAATATGGATGTAATATCGCTATAGAGACATTTCTGAAAATGACCTGGGCTATTACCTCGGTTCCTAGTAAGCGGTAATCTATGAGACAAAGCAACTAATTTGAGTATAATCTAGTCAAAATATACCTCTGTATTTCTTATCAAAGCATTACCTTCAAGAACCAAGTCTCTAAAGCTTTGTGCGGGGAAGTAGGGAAGCAGGGTCGGGTTGCCGCGGGGAAGGTTGATCGGGTAGCCTTACAGTAGCCGACAAACGAGGTAATTAGGCTACCAATGTACCCAGGCTAAGAGCATTATGCATAATTCGATCTCATACAATAATTCTATCTATTATTCTGCTTGCTATGCATCTTTGGCTCCCGGGCATGGCCGTCGAATGAGTTTTGCCGATTGGAAGTATTATATACTCAGAATTTCAAGCTTGAAAGTGTACGTACTGTAGCATCTGGCAGACTTTTGGGCTTGTGCTTTCTTATATTGGCTATCATGACATGGCCCTTTTCGCAGCCCAGAAATGACCCCAGTTAATCTCCCTCGTCTTCTTCTGAAACTCCTCAATCCCAAACACCCCTTCTGAGCCAGGCGCCATCATACAATCAAACGTTTTCATAACGAGCTCATCCTGAGACTTACCTCCAGGATTAGTCCATCCTATTCTGACCAAATTCTTGCAAGCTGCTGCCGATTGAGGCGCGCACTTAATCAACCTATCTAAGCAATCTTCCGTCAATCGATCCAGTGCAGTTGAACCGTCGGCAATTCCATGAACCGCGCCTATTCGCTGTAATTCTGAAGGCATCACCTCCCGGCCGGTTAACATAGCCTCTCTCAGAAACGGTATACCCCATTCTCGTATCATGTATCGAGATATTACGGCAGGGCTCAGCCCGAGCTTGATCTCACTAAGGGTAAAGCGGGCTCGTGACGACACCAGGCGAATATCGCAGGCAAACGCGAGTCCAACCCCACCGCCAAAACATGGGCCATCAATCTTGGCGATCGTTGTCTGCGGGGCCATGTCAATGGCGGAGAAGAGCGCGGTAAGTTTGGAAAAATCGTTGGATTTGGCGGAGTTGTCTGAAGTTATCGTGGTCGCAGTAGAAGTAAGGTCCATGCCGGTGCAGAAGAACTTGCCTTCTGTTTCGATGACAACGTGGAAGACAGATGGATCACTGGCTAGGTTTGTAAATATTTGTGTTAAACCTTTTACCATCTCGCTAGTCATAGCATTTCCATTTTGCGGTCGGGTCAGGCGGATTTTGACGACGTTTCTGGCGCGAAAGACGGAATAGTCTCCCTTATCCTCGATTTTCTCCCACTCCCTGGAAATTTTTGGTTGAGATGGCTGCACCGAAGAAACCGTTGCTGATTCTTTTTTGGCAGATAGTGCTGAACCTGCTCGACTTCCATTTTGCTGGCCTAGATATTGGGAGATCCATTCGCCGACCGCAACCAGCTTCTCCAAGTCGATTCCAGTAGAAACTCCTAACTTCTCAAATGTATATGCAATGTCCTCCGTAGCCAGATTTCCTTTCGCGCCCTTGGCATACGGACATCCTCCTAGACCAGCCACACTACTGTCGAAAGTCTGAAGCCCCATATCATATGCTTTGATCACATTTGCAACAGCTTGACCGTATGTGTCGTGAAAATGACCCGCCAGCATGTTTGCTGGGATTTCCTTCAGGAGAAGCTCCAACAGTGTCTGAACTTGCTTGGGCGTGCCGACTCCGATGGTATCCCCAAGACTGACTTCGTAGCAACCCATATCCAATAGACTCTTCACGACGTCTAAGACGCTTGCTGGGGCTGTTGGACCATCATAGGGACAAGCAAAGATGCAGGATACGGCTCTGAAAGACACATTTAGCAAATATTTCCCAAGCTCGTGCATTTTACTTACCCTCGGATTGCAATACCATGTTTCAGTGCACTCGCTGCCACGTCCCGGGCCCTTTTCACTGCTTCCTCAATCGTACAATTCGTATTTTTCACACTAAACCCCTCTGTCGCCGAAACAAAAACAGTAACCTCTTTTGCTCCACTCTGAATAGCTCTCTCGAGACCCTTGATATTAGGTACTAGAACAGGCGTGTTGATATTTTTCTGTTGGGTAAAGGGCAACACCTGGCTCATGACCTCTGGGCCATCTGCCAACTGGGGAATCCATTTGGGCGAAACAAATGACGTGGCTTCGATGGCATTGAGACCAGTTGAGGCTAACCGTTTAATCAACTCAACCTTGATTGCAGTTGGGACTGTCTTTTTGATATTCTGGAGGCCATCTCGAGGTCCGACTTCGAGGATGCGAACTGCGGGTGGTTTTTTAAAAGGAGGAGACGTGCTCCACGAACGGGATTGGACTTGCGTCTGGAATATTGAAAAGAATGGCTTTGATCTGTGTCTAATGGGCTGTTTCCAGATCCTCGTAATTGAGATAGCAGAGCCTCGGTGTACGGTGTGGATTTCCATCATACTGTGCTGTTGGTCAAAACGAGGAATTGTGGTCTATGGTTCATATCGAGATGAAATAAAATGCGTATTGAATCAACAGGTACCTAACAGCTCGACTCAGCCAAGTACATAGCACCTTCGTGTTCGTTCAGCCGAGGTTGTTAGTGCATTAGCCTAGGTTGTTAGCCTTGCACTAGAATTCAGGGATTGATAGGGAACTAGTCAATGTACGTGCTTCATCCACATAAAAGATTATGAGACAATTCTCAATTCTTTTTCGTATTGAGAGTATTCCAATCCCCAAGATAAACAACCATGGAGCACTTTGTTCAGGGCAGTTTGAGGTACCTCTCAACCAAAATCGAATGTCGAGTCCCGCCTTTAGTTCTTCAGCATTGGTTACGGCGTCCAAGAAGCCAAACTCTTAAGAGATATTCCACGACATCGGAAATCGCGGCGAACTGCTCAGAGGGGGCATTGAAAGGGGTCAAAATCCTAGATTTGTCTCGAGTTCTAGCAGTGCGTATTTAGTTTTAGACCTCCCTTATGATGCAATAGAATACAGCAGCATAATAACGAAAACGTATAGGCCCCTTATTGCACTCAAATACTGGCAGATTACGGTGCCGATGTTATAAAAGTCGAGGATCCTAGTAAGGGAGTAGGTTGCTTTGTCTCGCCTTCTAATGCAATCATTTGTTCGAGAAGTTGTACAGATTTAAGACTAGACTCTAGGACGACACGAGACACTGGAAGATATCCGGAGAAGAGAGTGCGTGGAATAAGGAGGATGGACCTATGTCGAATTATTTCGCTGCCGTCAATCGGAATAAGCGGTCTCTAACCTTGAATCTTAAACATGAAAAAGGTCAGGAGATCTTGTTGGAACTGGTCAAGAGATCTGATGTTGTGTAAGTGAGCTTGAAGAAGAAAATATTTTGCCACAGTTTAATGTTTTATTAGCATTGACAACTTCCGCCCTGGAAAGATGGAAGAATTTGGCTTGGGGTATGACACGCTTTCTACCGTGAACCCCTCAATTATTCATGCCAGTGTTTCCGGTAAAGTGACCTATTCTCTGTAAGGGGTTTCCGTGCCCTATACTAACATAGTGCAGGATACGGTCCTTCAGGTCCCTTTGCAAAGCGAGCAGGCTACGATATGATCGCAGGTGCAGAGGCAGGCCTCCTGCACATCACCGGCGAGCGCGACGGGCCTCCAGTGCGGCCCGGGTTAGGGTTGACAGACATGTGCACGGGTCTATACATGCATGGAGCCATTGTGGCAGCATTATACTCGCGTCAGCAAACCGGTAGAGGCCAGAAGGTCGACACTTCTTTATTCGAAACTCAGATTTCACTGCTCACTAATGTCGCCATGTCTTGGTTGAATCTCGGGCAGGAAGCAGAGAGGTGGGGAACCGCTCATCCAGTTGTTGTGCCGTATGATGCCTTCAAGACGGAGGATACGTATTTTGTCATCGGTGCTACCAATGATAGACAGTTCGCTACCTTATGTACGCGGTTAGGACAACCATCCTTGGCGGGAGACGCAAGATTCGCCACCAACGGAGATCGAGTTAAGAATCGTGAGGAACTGAAGCCTATCATCAATCGGTTATTTGCCGCCAAAACAACTCAAGAGTGGATCGAGATCTTTGAGGGAAGCGGAATGCCATATGGACCAATCAATAACATGGAGAAGGTATTTGCTCACCCGCAAACAGAGGCTAGGAATATGGTAGAGAAAGTGGTTTTCAATGCTGCGAAGTCTGGAAATATCTCTCTTCTAGGTAGGTTCTTGAATATCGTACGAGATCAGGCTAATCGTTTGACAGGAGCTCCAGTCAAGTTTAGTGATACCAAGGCGAAAATCCGACAAAGACCGCCCCTTCTTGGAGAGCACACAGAGGAGGTCCTCAAGGAGATTGGTCTCACAACACAGGATGTGGGTAAACTTCAACAACTTAAGGTGATATGAATCTTGGCTGTTTCAATATGACTCGAATGTTTCACTCGGGTTGCAGCAACCTAGGATCAGCAACTCATACGGTTCACTAGGTATCCCTTACTCTCCCTTTCTCTTCCTTACGGAGTTGTGGTGCTTCCTTGCTGTCAAGACAGCAAGGAAAGGGAGTGCCTTTCCTTGGCGCCTTCCTTGGCGCCTTCCTTGCCGCCAAGGGAACGACCAAGGGAGCGCCCTAAGGGATAGTTCATCTCGTTCCTCTATATAGTCCGCCTTTACGGCATCTACAATACAACAGAGTTCACATCAATTTCAACCTGAGTGTTTCATAGTGTCGGAGTAGAGGATCCAGTCCTGGTTTGACACATGTTTGTTCTGTTTGCTTGCTTAGTCAGACACAATTAGCATAGTTAGTGAAGAGAATATGGCCTGAAGAAGCCGTTAACAGCGGAAGAACACAAGCTGGAGTATTGGTAATTATTAGCAAACCTAAATCGAAACAAAGGTGTAATATATTCTAGTGATTGAACTCGGCAAACTGAATTTCCCCTTTGGCGTGGCCAGTAGTAATTATATTATCTTACTTCTTGAATCTAGACCAAAGTGACGAGTATTTACAGAAATTCTCTATATACAAACTACTTCAATGCTTTATATCTTCGCCCTCATTCCCTTCCTTGCCTGCTCTCTCAAAATCCTCCTCAGAATCTTCCCACTGGCATTTCTCGGAATAGAATCAACGAATGCCACTCCTCCATCCAGCCTCTTATACTTCGCCAATCTTTTTCCCCCATAATTCTTCACATCCTTCTCATCCAGCTTGTCCGCCTCAGGGCCAGGCATGCGCACAACGTAGGCTCGAAGTAACTCGCCTTCGCTCGCTGATGCCGGTACACCAATGACGGCCGCATCAGCAATGTGAGGATGGCTCAACAGCACACCTTCGAGCTCTGATGGTGCGACTTGAAAGCCTCGAACCTTGATCAATTCTTTCTTGCGGTCTACTATGTACCATTTTTTGGACGCGCCTTCACAGTACGCAATATCGCCGGTGTGGAACCAGCCGTTCTGGAAGGATTCGACGTTTGCCTGCGGGTTTTGAAAGTATCCTTCAATCACCAGTGGAACACGGACGCAGAGCTCTCCTCTGACGTCATATTGGCTGATGTCTTTGCCGTTATGATCGATGAGCCTGCTTTGTCGTAAGTTGTGAGAAGGTGAAGAAGTCGGAAGGTAGAGCTTACTTTGCTTCCATGTTCGGAACAAGTCTGCCTACACTACCGAGAAAGTCATGCTCATCCCAAGGAAAGCTCATAGCAACACAGGTGATTTCTGTCATTCCCCACACTTGGGTAAATCTTGCATCCGGATGCATGAGGAGTAGAAACTGTTGCTGTGGTTCTTTGTCCAGTGGTGCGGCGCCACATGTCGCATATATGGCCTTCTTGAGCGAGTATTTCTTGCTCAGCGGCGACATAATTGTTGCTGTGACGAGAGGTGGTACTAGAGATATCTCGGGTATTTCCCACTTCTCGAGATTCTGTAAGTAGCTTTCGAGTTCAAATCGCCGCATCACATAAGTTACGTGACCAGCTCGCAAAGGAGTCGTGTGAACGCCAGACACGGAAGCTGCGCGGAAGAATGGCACACAGATCAAACGTTTGACCTGCGCTCATTGGGGAAACCTCGGTACATATATGGATCAAGGGGTTGGCTCACCTCCCATAACTTTGGGTATGCTTCATGCACAACAGTATGCTCAGCTATCAGGTTGTAATGAGACAAAAGCGCAGCTTTTGGCAATCCAGTCGTTCCTGAACTGAAAAGTCTCGCAGCTGTCGTAGTCTTACATGTCCCTAAATCATTGAACCCAGTCCTGCTCGCCGTGATTGAGCCAAGTTTTCCACGACTTATAACCGGTGGGAACCTTTTCCGTGTCCTTGGTATCAGAAATGAAGATATTCTTCTTCGGAATGTTGCACATCTCAGCAGTGCGTAAAATATTATTGAACAGCGCTAGGTCTAGCTCTGAGATGATGAAGCTGGCTTGAGAGGTTTTGATATGGTGTTCAAGTTCGAAGGAGATATATCCTGGGTTGGTACCAGTCCATACTTCATCAGCTGCAATAACGGAGAGAAAGATGATGGGATAGTAGATCTGAAGACGATATTAGCTGGTAGCAATTACAATCAATCGGGGACGTGTTCTACATCATTGAATGAGTGAAGGTAGACGCAGTCCTCCTTTTGTAAACCCGCAGCGCGAAGACCAGCGACCATTTTGCGAATTAAGGTGCGCGCTTCTCGCGCAGTTATTGACCGTGATGGATTGACAGCATCTATGTATATCTAAGAGAGCCTTGGCTTGGAAGACATCTTTGCTGGAATATGTTTACCCACTTTCTTGTCTTGATCAAATTGCGGATTGTCGAAGGTCCATGAAAGAATGTCCTTGGTCGGTATCGACATAGTCCTATCCGCCTTGTCCTCCTTTTGCGCCATGGCTAATTTCTTCTGTTTCCTTTTTGAATTGACTGGCAAACCTCTTCGACCGAAATGCCAAAGTAAGAATGTGTAAGCTTGTGGGGGCACAGGATGGGTGCACACGATATGGAGAGGTTGTGAATTGTGTTGTATTGTATGAGCTGAGGAGGAATATATATAGATGTGTTGGACGCCAAGTCCTGTGCTGATTGGAGCCTTCTCGGCTTACAGAATGTAAATAATTTGAACGAGTTTTGATAGATTTGTTCTTAAGCCGAGGTAGGGCGTGAAGTAGCTTGAAAGCATGGATGAGAGCTATCAATCGGGTATTCAGAAAGAGCTAAGCGAGAAGGGGACTCTCAATTTGCTACCCGAACCGAGGACAATTTTAAGGGCCGGTTTCTGTTCCCGTTAAACTGTTACGAACAGTCTCCAGAAGGTGAACCAAGGCCAAGGATGGGCAGATAAGGCATACTGAACCAATCTGCCTAGCAGGAAGTTCCATGGGAAAACACGTGACCAGGGAATCACGTGAGGCGTGCTCTGTGTGCTCTGAGTGCTCTGGCTTGGCACGAGGGAGCAGAGGGAGCAGCGAGAGCAGGACCAAATTGTATGAAGGAAGGAAGGATATATAATCTGGAGGACTCGGGTTGTAACAGCTACAACCTAGGATCAACAACTCATACGGTTCACGGTCACCTACGTACAGGCACTCCCCCCCTTTTCTCTCTCCTTGATTCTCGGTCTTTGATTGGTTGCTACTAGCACGCACTCAGCGTGGCGAGGCCCTCTGTTCAGCTACACCAGGGTCCTCTCAGCTGTGTCCATTCCTTTCAGCTGGCCTCTATTCAGCTGAGCTGATAAGACCTAGGGGGTGGGCCATTTCCTATTAGTATATATTCGGCCCGTACGGCCACTACAATACAAGCAGAGTTCACATCAATTTTCAACCTGAGTGGAGGATTTCCTATGTTGCTTCTCTCCCTCGTACTTAACTTAAGTTACGAAGCTTATTCCTAAGCTTCACGGCAACCCTTATGTTATCTATTTGAACGAACCCAGATTGATACAAGTCTATTTCTTACACATACTCCGAACTATTGAAGCCACCTTGAACCCTTCCAACGTCTACTTTGATATCCGCGATCCTCACGTCTTGAGTTAGCCTCAAGCGTAGTTACCTGCCGGTTAAGTAGAAACCCCCATTGTGATAAAACCTAACCGTACGGGTCTCCCTCTTGGAACCCCTCAGTCGAGGTATCTTTAGGCATCACATGTCGGTTGAACGGTCAGTTCATAACATAAACCTCCATTTGACGCTAATTTGTTTTACGGAGTGGAAACGGTGGTAATAGTCAATGTACATTTGGATTAAAGAGATATTCCTTCTCAAATTCATATTGAGAATACCTCTAGTTCACTCCTCTTTCAATATTTTCGTCTCTTGGCTCCAGAAAACGTGATAAATTACCTGTTAGAAGCCGTATAATTGCGATTCAAACTCGAAAACAGGTGGTTTTTGATATGAATCAAGAAACTACATGGGTATGAAGTATTCACAATTATGAACTTCACAGTTAAGTGCTCGCAAGCCCATCTACCAGTCTAATGATTTTATTCTAGAGTCCAGATAATTCTGCTTTCCGTGATCCTACATAGCCAAATAGATATGCCGCTACTTTGCGCATCTGAATCTCCTCGCTCCCTTCTGTGATCCGATATCGTCTATGGTGGCGATATATATGTTCAAACTGCTTGTGCCGACTATATCCAATGGCGCCATGTACCTATGAATCGTGAGCAAGGCCAAACTTGGTCGGAGTCGAATAGCATACCTGCATAGCTTGGTCTGCAGCCTGTGTACAAAGTCGGTTTGCCCAATAGTTGCACATACTGACCTTGTCACTTAGAACAGACTCGATTTCCTGGCGCCTCATTTTGTCCATCCTATTCGCTGTCTGCCGAATTAGAAGTCGGAGCATTTCCACCTGTGTTGCCAGTTCTACTATGGGAAACTGGATTCCTTGGTTTTTGGCTAGATCGGTGCCGAATGGTTTGCGCTGTCTAGCATATTTTATTGACTCTCTAATGCAATAATCGGCTGCGCCAAGAGATGAAGCAGCTTGACGGATCCGGTTCTCGTGGACGAATGCTTGGGCGAGGGAAAGGCCTCCACCGATGGGACCCAAGACAGCGGATACGGGAATGAAGACATTCGTGAATGAGACTGTCGCATGATCGGTGGGCATATTGAAAGTCCTAAGGGCGCTTTATTAGTTTTCAAATCGCCGTACATAGACAGAGTGAGGGGCTGCTTACCACTCATACGATTCGATCTTGACCCCATCTGCCATTGCAGGTACAATAAACGCTGTGATGCCCTTCGCATCTCCATTTTTTCCAGCTGTTCTGGCAAAGATGATGCAGTGCGTCGCCTTATGCATGCCAGTCTGCCATGCCTTCACTCCATCAAGGCGCCAGCCTTCGACTCCATTCCTGGTCTCTGTAACGGCCCGCGTACTCATATGTGTTGCATCACTCCCATGCTCAGGCTCTGTAAGACCAAAGGTAGTGCTCCTTGTCCCATTCAATCTTCCCCATATAAACTCTTCCTTTTGTGCTTGGTTTCCAAAAGTGTCGAGCACAATGAGGTCAGGAAAGTTACCCACGATACTGTGCTCATTTTGTAAGTCGTTAAATAGGCCCAATCCGCGAGCCGCTAGATGCTCACGTATCACGGCCATCCATAGATTGCTACTATCCTTACCGCCGTATTTGGCGGGTAGGCTGAAGCGATAGAAACCAGCTTTGTCTGCACGCCTTTGGGCCTCGGCTAAGAGATCCTCCCAGTCCTCACTTGGAAGCCCGGCGTGCGGGGTAGAGTTCCAATTCGTGCGAGCAGCCTCACGACGATGATCAAAAAATCGGTTGTTGTCATTTGATTGTTGTAGTGGTGTGATTTCCTTCGCTATGAAATTATCAATATCAATGAGGTATTGTTGGAGGGCGGGGTCGATAGAAGTATCCATCGTTGTAAAATGAGAGGTTGTTGCTAAAGAGAGAAAATGATGCGACTTCTATAAGAGCAACTATCTCGCTGAAGTCACAAAGCCACCATTGGATTTCTCGGAAGGTAGACTGAGGTGTAGCAGTTATTACCGAGGCTACAACTAGCCTACCTACCTACCCTAAGATCTAGCAGGGATGAGTATTTCAGGTCACTCCTGTGATAGTGAACATAAGAAATCTAACAAGAGAAAACAGCAATATATGGGAATCTGTATAGAGTATTTATTATGGCGTCCACGCAGTCATCCTGTCAATTTCCTTTAACTACGCGCCATCGATATCTACAATCTAGGACTTGCATCTTTCTGTAGCGCTTCAATCTTATTCTTGTAGTTCTTTACCAGCTGTCTAACTGACAAATCCAAAAGCACGTCCTCACTACCTCCGGGGATACGAGTCCCGGGCACCTCGCGATAGGCCTTTCAAAATAAGCATCCATGATAAAGGTGGAAGATTCGAAAATACCTACGTTCAACTAACTCTCCCTGCCCCGTCCTTGTGTAGCCCTTCCCCCCAAAAAGCAATACTGCACACTGCGCGCATTCACTCAAAATGTGGCCTGTCTGGGCTTTCACCAGAGCCGTAAGGCCTCCAAGTTCCTGATCTGCCTGCAGCAAGGATCGCAATGGTCAGTGGATATCTTTACGTTGGGGAAGTAAACAATTCACCTCCACTTTCTCCATCTTGCTCATCATGTATGTCATCTGCTCAATCCAGCTCCATTGTGCCTCAACCATACCACCACAGATCGCCAAACGATGTCTCACAGCCGGCTGGTCAACTAGAGTCTTCCCAAATGCTTCTCTCTGCATCACGTATTCCATAGCCGCTCCTAGCGCCACTCTTGCTTGTCTTGTACCTCCAATACATATTGAGAGCCGTTCATGATCGAAATTGGTCATGATATATCTCATTCCCTGATTTCTTCGCCAATCAAATTGGACGCCGGAACCTTGACCTCGTCAAGGTCGATGAATGTCGTGCCCGCTGCAACATGTCCCGCTACTTTGAACCGCCGCATTGTGACGCCTTCAGCATCTTTCAGAGGAACGAGAAGAAGTGACAAGCCATTTGCGCCAGAGCCAGGTCCACCCGTGCGTACTGCCATGGTCACGCAGTCGCACCAAATCCCATTCGTAATCCTATTGGCCGATTCTGTTATTGAAAGTATACTTGGTGAGAGATCCTAGAAAGGTACCATTTCTTTTGCCCAGTAACGACGTAAAATGTCCCACATTTACTTTTCTGTCAGGCAAGCAATATTGGCAACGTCCGACCCAACCCTCTCCGTGAAGAAGGCGTCGACGATAGGAAGTGTGAGGTGTATATTAGGCTGGCGGTAAGGGAAGAAAAGCTTTGAGGGTGAAGAGGTGGAGAAGTGACGACGTTGGCAGATATCACAAAACGAAGCGAGTGGAAGAACATGAGTGCTTGAATTATTTCTCTGCTACAACTGTTTGTTCTCATTGATACATGACTGGCTACGCTATCCTGTGCTATGCTGCTGGGTAAATGGTGGTAATATATGACGCTCCGCCCCATGACATTTACTAAAGAGAGTCGAACCGGAAACTCTCCGCAAGCTTTGTCAGGGCATCCGTCAATGTACTGGAAGCCCTACAGACCTGTGCTGTCTGACACGTGCGGTTGGGGTATAAAATGCCGAGAATGGAATCGAAAAGAAGTAAAGGAAGTCGTGAGAGTCCTAGTATCCCAACAATGCTAACGCCAATGCTGGAAATCACGTCCAAGTCTCCAAAACTCGATCGCTGAATCCAACGGAATAAGACAGAAAAAAGTCCAGGTGGCCAGCCGTATGGAAAAGCCTCTTTCTCTTGGGAAACCGATGGTTGTACGGTCGTCCGTGCCCTCTTCGGCCTAAAAGTCGTCGGCGATATCGAAGGTATTCAGGCCGTTCCAGGAGAGTAGAAAGATTTAGACCATCCGATCTCCAGCTCCAACCTCCTTCTTCTCTACGCAGCGAACACACCAAGCGTCGCCATCATTGCCCACCTCCTTACAGCACGCGCTGCACACCAGCTTCGCACACCCGCCCTCGCACATTCGGGTGCAGATCTGGCACGCCCGTTCTCCACACGCCTGGCACGATATGTAGGTCTCCAGATCGCGATTCCGAGTTGGTGCTTTGTGGCAAATCTTGCAGGAACGAAGGTCGTGTGAAGATGGTTTTGAGGTTGCTGGGTTGGCCGTTGTAGTGGCGAGGGGGGCGACACGGGAGGCTTTCGGTGGGAGGATTTTGCGGCGATGTTTAGGATTTGGCGGGCCGTCCAAGTCTAGACGTGGCGGCTGATAGCTGCTACTGCCGGCGAGTGGCATATCGTGTGAGAAGAGGGAGCGAGGACCCGGGGGCAGGTGGGCCGTGTGAAAGATGCGGATGTCGTTGTGCGAGACTGGCAACGAGCGGGTTCGCAAAAGGGTCTGGCGTGGATTTAACGCTGCCTCGAGGTTGTAATTGTAGGGGCTTCCGTTGGCCTGGTTCGAGTACGAAGAGAATGCGTTCTCCGTGTACCCATCTGTGTTCCTCTTCCTCTTGCCCAGACTGGCCGGGAAGAGAGAGTTCTCAGGCCAGTCTGACATGGCGTTCCAGTCCGTGGAGGAAGACTGGTTTGAAGAGGCAGGTTCGGTCGTGAACAGCTCGGAGGTTATGTACATGGCTGCGGGATTCCGGCGAGACGGGGGTGGTTGTCGTTGGAAGCGAGTGTCGAGGTCGAGTCTACACGCACGCGTACAAGACTGCAGAAGCGCAGCACGTGTCTACTCAGCAGTCAGGAGTGGCGGCGGCCATGGTGTAGTGTGGATTGAGTGGAGGCAAGGAGGAGGATGGGCGAGGTTGGGGGTTGGAAGCAGAGTCGGCTCGGATGGAGGCCGTGTTTGGCATGTTTGGTGAATCTCGTCGGCGATTCGCTCGGCCACTTCTAGAACAGGCAGAAGACGCCAGAGACGATGAAACAGCGTCACTTCATGCATCAACCTTGCGACCAACAGCAATAAATCAGGCTCCAGCCCGCCACTGTAGCCTTCAATGAAGGCAGATATCCCTTCCATTAGCCTGTGGTCTTCAGCTAGTGTCACTGTCACGTGCTCTCTTTAAACTCACTGCTCATGCTAAGATTGAATGTCAAGATGTAGAATAGTCGTCGGCAGCTGATGAGAGATCAAATTGCGTATAAGCGATATTCCACATTATATTATGTCCGGCATCTACTTCATCAAGCCCAGGGCCAAAAGTATTGCCGCTGGCGCGACTGGGTATTCAAAAATCCAACCACACCAAGCCTGAGAAACAAGAAAAGTCTCGGCGAGAAAGAAACCCAGCAAACATTACCCTTTTTCCATTTATAGCTGATTCATTAAATCCAATCCCAAAACAGTTCTAGAAAACCCCGGAACCGCACCTCGTCGGCATATTCGTTGAAGTACGTCTGATGCGCCTGCAAAGCGCCCTGCGGAAAAATCATAACCCTGGGCTCATTTCCATCGTCTTTCACGTGAATATCAATCAAGCTGCGCTCTTCCCAAACAGACTCAGCCTGTTCCGCTTACTATTCTTTCTGTCCGCCGCATCCCGCTCGCCAAGCCCCATCTCCCAGGGCAGCACGTCGTTCTTTTTGATTCTACCTCCGAGCCCAAGCCGCTCGCGCGGCGACTGAAACCATCGCGCGCTCATCTCAGATGGCGCGATGGAGCTAGCGGCCACGGAATCTGCTATTGATGCCGTGTCATCGATGCTGTACTGTCGGAAGTGGTTGTTCCGGTTCGACGGGGCGACGTTAACAACAGCTTCATCCGTTGTAGTGGCTTCTAGAATAGTAGGTGTATCCAAAGACGAGGTCGGCAGGATAGTCCTAGCGCTCGAGGGCCGTGAAGGGACTTTCGTTTCTAGAGGTGGCTGGTAAGAGAGCGGGCGGCTGAAGTTGGTGCGCGTGCTTGCTGGCGATGTGGGCGAGGAGTAGCGATTTGGATTCTTTGTCGGGATTGCTGGTGTATCTGCGACCGGAGAATCTTTTGATTCTGATCGAGAATCCTTTAACTTAGATAATTCTAGTCCTGGCTCTATTGCTTCAAGCACCGTCTCTAGTTCGCCTGTTGGGGCCGGTTCATTCGTTAATAGCAGATATCCTGCTGTGGGCTCCATTCCAGTTGTAGACTCGGGGTTCAGCAGCGGCTCTGCGTTCACTTCACTGGCTGTATCATCCACCACTGATGGCGGCCCCAGAACTGATTCATCGTCTTCGTCTGGTAAAACCACTTCTTGTGCTTCTCCTGCAAGGAAGCCCTGATTCAATGATATTCTCTTCATAATGGTTTGCGTGTCCACAATCTTTGAGTCAGTACTGAAGTCAACCAACGTCGGCGATCGCGCCACCCAGGCAACATCATCAACACTGGTGGATACGACCTTCGAATCCTTGGAGGTTGTGTCTAGTGACAGATCTTTGGGTGTCATTGGTTGATTATCGGGTGGAGTTCCTTCAGTAGCTCCACTAGGTCCATGCGCATCGCTCGGAAAGAAGTAGGAAATCTCGGGCAAAGAGGACATGGATGGCGATGTCAAAGACGCCCTAGTTTTGAGTCCAGCTGCTGCGGGGTCAAATATACCGACAGGTCGATTTGCATAGCGCAGTACGAGGTCTCTCTGTCCGCTTCCTGAACTGGAAACACTCGGAGTGAGGGATGGCGGCCTTTGTGCGTTCTTTAGAGAGCCAGCTGATGATGCGAGCGAGTGGGGAGGGTTGAAACTGCCATTCGAGTGGTTCATGAACCTGGTGCTATATGTGCCTTCTAGTGTTTGGCTGCCTCGTTTAGACATGGATATGCTTTTGCGTTGTGCCGCCTCTTTAGCCTTGACGGACTCTGGGATTCCATCCCATTTTGAATTGACCTTGGGAACCGTTGGTGGCAGTTTTTGGGTAGACACGCCGGGTAGTCCCACGGCGCTGATGCGGCCCATATTGTGTGATCCAGCCTTTTCAGCGGCTTGCTGGCGTGTCCTCTCAGCGAACTGCTCAAGCGCCGTTTGTGAGGGTTCTTTCAATGTCAAAAAGCCAAATACAGAGGGGCCCTTTTTCTTTCCTTTCTTCGGGCTTTTCGATACAGAGCTGGAGACATTGCTAGCAAGAGTCGTAGTTGCGGATGGTTTGCGTTCCAAGTTTAGACGTGAAGATGAGCTCCCGGTAGAGTGACGAAGAGGATTCTCGTCTCGTGGGACTATTGAAGTGATGGCGTCGGGGTCTTCGCTTTCTTTCGGCTCTCCGCTCGAGGTTGTCAATATTGATGCCTGGTCCAACGGTGTGCGATTTCTGACTTGAAGTTTTGGAATTCGCGGGGAAGCGAGACTATTGATGTCAACTCGAGACATGTTGGACCACTTGTAACGAACGGACGAGATGGACTAGCAGCCGGTGAGTTAGCGCGCCGCCGACGAGAGTCATTGATTTCTTACTTGGCTAAAGATGCCGATATCTCAACTCACGCAAAACACCATTGAAAAGGATCAAAGCAAAGTCAGAAATGTGGCAGTGGGAAGCAGGAAAAGTGAGACAGCGGAAGAGGCTGCGGAGGATGGCGACTGGGACACGAAGAACACGGACGCGAAAGGGACGAGGAAGGAAAACGGGGGGAGGGATAACAAGGATGCAGCTTGCAAGAATACGGACGGGCTGCTGCCAGCTGCTTCGCGGAGTTTAAGCCTGCACGGCACACCTGGTAGCTGGCAGGTGGCAGCTCGCATTTACGGCATGTTAGGTTACCAGCAGTCCGTCACGGTGGTCTCCGGCATTCTGGTGGAACGAATGAGAGCTTCTGATACGGGATCTGCTCTGGGAACCTAGGCGTTTCCCTCGCACAAAAGCCCACAAGCTGCGACAGATCCCTTGCTAGGACTGCCAACGGAGGCTTACGACTTTGATCGATACAGGTGACAAGGAAGGTGCGAGATCTGGACCCGCAGATACTCGGATCACAGAGCTTACCGGGTGCTGGGACAGTGGTTGCGGTAGTCGATAATCGAAGCTGATGGGTTCCCCTTGTGCCATCAGCTATCACAGGCAAGCGCTGGCAAGCGCTTTGCCAAGTTAGCCTGTTTTTATGACACGGCTTCGAGGGATGCAGCTCCCTGTGCGGCGCGCCGTCATTATTTTCATGGCTTGGGAAATGATAGCGGCGCGGCGATCTTGCACAGGAGAGGGAAGTGGAGAAGACGTCCAGCTGTGCGGGAAGCAAGCCACACGGCACTGACTGGCAGCGCGGCACGGCATGGTGGAGCTGGAGACGCGCCTGGAAGCCGCGACTCGGGAGAAGCTGGTTCGTTACCTGGCAGCATCGGTGATGTGCGGGAGTGAGGCTCCTCGCGCTGGTCACCGCCCTCGACCAACTCTGGGCAGCGTGGATGAGGGGCAGCGTGGATGAGAGGCACGGCAGCCCAACGTGTCGCCCACACGCCTGCTGCAGTGGCTCTCGGCGCCCCGAGTGTGGACCGTATCGCCATGACGTTTTCCTTTGGCGGAGAGGCTTGCGCCGCGCGAGAGGCCACGGTCAATCAGGACAGTCCAATAGGAGCGGCCCAAGCAGCCAGCTTTCTATGGTGCGTGACCAATCGAGAAATCGCCGGGCGACGGTCCAGGAACGCAGAATCTCGGGTTGCTAGCGGGAGAAGTGTGCCGCACATGATGGAGTTGACGTGACGTTCACGGGTCGGGAAGTCGTCGTGGGACAGCAGCCGGGTCGTGCGCGACGTCTTCCCAGGTTCTCGGCCCGTTTGCCTAGCGTGTTCCCGCCCGATTCACGATTGCGCACTGCCGATTGCTGTCTCTGCGCGCGGGGAGGCCTCTCGCAGCAACACAGCACCTACAGCACCTACAGCACCTACAGCACCTACAGCACCTACAGCACCTCACGAAGCCAGCTCGCTAGGCGACCGTGGGCCAAGGGCTAGGCGAGCAATTCGTTGCCACGCCAAATGATACCCTGTGTTCAGAGACAACTAGCTCGACAGCGGGAGGAGACCTATTTCGCAAAACTGAGATCCAGATTCCCAGAGTAAATTTCTATCTGGCCTGGAGTTATAGAGCAAGCCTTTTGTTTGCCGTTGAGATATTCGTTGTTGAAGTGGATGACTTTGGTGGGATCGGGAGATTTTGGTGTCTGGCGTGGCAACGAATTGCTTGCCTAGCCCTTGGGCCTTGTCTCTTCTCGTCCTCCGGCCGGACGCCACTGCTGCACCGTGACTCTCGAAGCCGCAGGTGCACGCTGGCCCAACGTTGCACGCATACTCTAGGCGAGGCCAATCTCAACCTCGCAACGCCATCGCTAGCCCTCTCGTGGACACCTCATCTCGCGCTGCCGGCCAGCATCGTGCGTGTCCCTCGTCTTCACCAGCCTCGCCGCGTGGCGTCTCGGAGCTGCGCTAAGCCCTGGCCATCCGCGTCGTGACCCGCTGGCTGTGAGGCCCGCCACTCCTCCTCCACCATGCCCGCCGTGACGATTCCGTCGCCCACCCCCGACGAGACGCCCGCTCGCGACGACGGCTACGACGACTACTACAACTCTGGCGAGAGCTCGCCCCGGAGGCCGCCCGTCTCGCCCCTCACGCCCGTTGCGACCCTCGCCCAGCTGGCGACTGTGCCTGCAGACGCCGATGGCGAAGAGCGTGTGCTCCCCCCGCAACCCGCGACCTTCATGAAGCAGCCCGCGCCGGTGCCTATATCAGAGAGCGAGAACCCCGATGTCATTGCCATGCGGTCCGCCATATCACTGCTCCAACTACAGCGCGAGAAGAGCAAGCGCGACCTCGTGACGCTCGAGAAACTGAAGACGGCCGCCGTGGCCGAGCCCGAGGCCTTTGTGCGCGAGTTGCGTGCCGGGCGACTACAGTCTGCAAACCCGGCCTCGAATATCCTGGCGCCTACGCTCGCTGACCCTGACACTGGCGGAATGTCGAATGGAACCGGCGGGCGGCATGAAACCCGAAAGGACTCTGCGGATACGTTGCCACCCGAGCTGAAGTCGAAATTCGCTCCAGTGCCTGCCCCGCAAAATATATTCCGCACTCCACCAGTCAACTGGGCAAAATACCACATCGTGGGCGAATCACTCGACAAGCTGCATGAAGAGCAGAGGCAGCGACCGAGCTCGGGCGAGCCTTCTCGAGATCAGAGAGCACCCCTCCATGTCATTGCGGCGCCCTACTCACCTTTCACGGATAGGGTCGGCGAGATACATCCTATGCAGACACGGAGAGGATCTAAGAAACCTTCACCATAAGAGAGGAGCGCCGGAGACGACAAACCCGATAGGAGATATTTACGATTTATGTTTTACGGTAGAGACGGGTATAGAAAAAACATTCCTATCCTCATGGGAGCATGCATCAGCTGGGATGCCGGTCAGGTGGTTTTCTGAGCGTTGATTCAAATGTAATAATCGTGTGGCCGTCACTCTCAATCAAAGACTTCTCCACCTCCTCAGTCGGGACCTGAATTCGTGAAGAGCCTCTGTCTGATACGTACGAAATGAGTCAAATCAACGCGCTCGATCGGAAACTCTATCTGCCTGTCTCATCTCATTAACTTCGCTCCCTATACACACGCGCGTCTGTCATGAATTCACGTGCTCTGTCTTCTAGCGCCTTGGCGAGGACCACTTTCAGTATAAACCTCTCACCCTACTCCCATTACCGTCTCTTCTTTAGCACACATCTGCCCGGAGCGGGTTCAAAAGGCGCTTGCATAGAGTGCCATGTGGCAGTCGGTGTGTAAGACTCAACTCTTCACCAAAAGTGGAAAATGGTTGGAGTCGGGAGGGTTGGGAAGTGTGTTCAGAACCGGACGAGATACGCTTTTCTGGAGTTCGCGGCGTGGTCACCCTCGGAACTAGTGATAATGCCCACCATCTCTACGTCACAACAACCTGTGTCCCTCCCCAGGCAGTATTCGCAACTCCAGTATTAAAGAAACCCACAGTCCCCCAGCCTGCCCGAAAGATCCTGATCAACAGAACGGAACACTGCTGACGCGACTCCAGATGCCCAACCGCCGCACCCCCATGATCGTCCAGCTCTGCCTGTGATTCCGCGAGAGTCCCACCGTCCAGTCCATTGCGCAATAAGATGGAGAGTTTGCACCCCCACCCACCCAGCACAACAACGCCATTATGCAGAATCACGGCGGCTTTTGCGCCTCCACGAGCCGCACACCGACTCCATAGGTCTCTGGCATGCACGATGCTAATACCGCAAGTCCCACACGGCAAAGCCATGAAGTAACATCTCTCGCCAGTTTGTTCACCCCCCAATCCCGACCTCCTCCTCGCTGAAGAAACGAAAGCTTGCGGGGCTGGACGGTGTTTTATACCCTCAGATTTCTCGAGTCACATGACTTCGCCGCTGGCCCCGTGATGGTAAGGGACCTCCGCGAGCTGCTGTATGGCTCGGGGTAACGGTGTGATGATGGGGTAGGAGGCGGACACGTGAAGCACGTGGGCTGAGCTGGCGGGAGGGTATAAAAGCTTCCACTCACTGGCGGAGGGGTTTTTCTTCATCGAAAGAGGAGGGAGTTTTAGGGGGCTAGCAAAACAATCTATCGCAGCAATTCATGGGTGGTAGTGTTCTGGTGGTTGTGCAAAACTGGAAAGTTCGTTCATGCTATGTTCCGGGAGCAAAAACTCTCCGCCAATTCATGATGTTGTGCTAGTTCAGCAGCGGGCGAGGCGGGTGAATGAGGCATCACCATAGCTCCTCAGCAAGCCATGTGGGACGAGCGTCGGGAAGAAGGGGAGGACAACCACCACACACGATGATTCGAGTGATTAATGTTAGAAGACGATGATGGCCTTCTAGCGTTACAGTACCGCAAGCAAACAACATCTCAGTGCAACGCTTTCTCAGAGTAATGTCCGCTACGAGATCAACTTTATGCTAACAACCAGCAGCATTCCAATGCCCGCCGAGCTCCACTTGCACCACCATAGCTCAGTGTCCATGCGGTTGTCGATTCCACGCGCGGATTCCCCCCATTACAGAGACATGATGCCAGATGGTCCATAACAAGTGCCATTGGAAGCCATGACACACGTTTTTCGATAACACTCCGGTCCCCTTTCTACTGAAGAACCAGAAGCTTGAGCTCCAAAGGGCTGCTTTATACCAAAAGATATCTCTAGTCACATGTTTTCGGCGCCGGGACCCGTGACTAGCAACCTCCGCAAGCGCGATATGCGCTTTCGTGACCCTGGAAAGCTCTGAGAAGCGGTGGACACGTGAACCACGTGCCTCGGAGCTGGGTATAAACTCTCCCCCTCCCTCCGCCGACGAAGACTTTCTTTTTCTTTAGTAACAACGAGGGTCCTTGGGTCGGCAACAACAACGACGATGTTGATATGTCGTGGGTGGGCCCGGTGTCTGCGGGGTCTTGCAAAAAGTTGAGTGAAAGCATACAATGTCTTGAGATCAACAATTCATCAAGAAAGCCCTTATGCTGCGGGGTTCCAGCAGCCATTTTCACAACCTGTGTGGGCTGCCAACTATGGAGGTGGCCGGGCAGAAGTGGGGGAGGTCTTCAAGGGCATCAGACACATCGAACCTTGCGGTGTTTGGTCCTCGGCAAAGTGAAGAAGGCAAAGATGGATGCGTGCTGCGCTGCCAGCATCTCTGTCTTCGTCTTTTAAGAATCCTGATGATACGAAGCATTAAATTAGGGGCAAAATAATAATAATAATAATAAAACACATAATGCTGATAATCAGCACTCAGTGGAAATGATAATCATCATAACAGCGTAGCGTAGCCTAGTTAGTACTTCGTCGAGCTCGAAGACAAGAACCAAGACTTCAGTCTCCAGCACAAGGCTAGAAAACCAATGTCCTAGTCAGTAAAAGAAGGTCGCTGGGTGAAAGCTTGTCGAAGATCTACCTAGTTAGCAGGAGCTCGTCAAGGAAAGAAGTTGGGGCGGGGGGTGAGGGTGCTTAAGTAGTTGGAAATTCACTAGCGCCTTGGCGAGTGCAGGGGTCCTGGGTTTCAGGCAGGACTTCACTTCACCTTCCACTTCGTTCTTTTGGGTTCTATGAAGGACCGGGCCCTCTCTTTCCACCGCATCGAGAGCCGGCTTGTGATCCTGATAACGGGTATCGATGTTACCCACGAGGAGGGAGGGTTTTTCTATGGTGATGAGACGAGAATGAGAAAGCATTTATAAGAAGATAGCTCTGGATTCCAGCACGAGACGTGTAGAAAGCAGGTCTTCGTCTAGGAATCTGAGATTGGATGGTGTGGACAAGAACATTATTGGCGGTATACGAGCATTGAATCTTTATATACCTCCACTGACTGAACAATAACTCATCCGCTTGTAGAAGAAAGGAGAACCAATGACTGCCAGTACTTGCTTTCCATTTTGAACAGCTTTACTGTCATATTTGAACCGAGACATTTGCCAACTCCGCCCTTTGATGCAAAACAAAATCTCGTGAATGCCCCCATCCTCAAAACGCCCTACCTTCGTTTCATCGGCTCTTTTTACCCTCCTTCTTCGACTTCTTCGGCTTCTCATCACCCTTGGACTTCTTCGACTTGCCTTCCTTGGATGCCCCCATTGCCTCCTGATACGCTTCTTCAACTGCCTCGCCCGCTTTCCTCTTTGAAGACTTGCCAGTTTTGATACTGACCGTGATTTCCTTGCTGCCTTTAGCCTGCGCAGCGCGGACCTTGCGCTCAGCGTCCTCCCAATTGGCGTTCTCGCTGTCGATTGTGTACCTGTCGGAAACATGTTAGCGCTACTTCATTCTCAGTCAGTGTGAACTGGAACCGACGTACTGATCCAACGGGAGAGCATCAATCATACTCCTCACTCGTTCCCTCTCAGCCTGGTCAATCTCCTCGCCTCCTTCAGCAAGTTCGTCATCCAGCTTCTTGGCCAATGGTTTGAATCTTTGTACCTCCGCGCTCTTGAAACCGTTCTCGCCATGGACGCCGGTTTCATCGTCTACCTCCATTGCCTCGGGCATAGTCTCTGCAACGGCCCCCTCGACAAGACTTCGGAAGTGGGTTGAGACTTTTCGAACGACTTTGACGAACATGGCAAGCAGTTGCGAGTTGTTCAGACCTAGCTCTTTCTCCACATCCTCAAAGCCTTTCCGTTGTAGACCAATCGCAACTAATAGTGATGTTTGAACTCCAGAAAGCTTGACTGCAGACTTGAGGCGTCCGGTGAAGTGGAGAGTGGCAATAGTCGGAAGCATGTCGAGAATGACATGATAGTCCAGCATATTGTTAGCATAGCTGTCCAATCGCTTGAGATCGAAAGGCGAGAAGAGCTTATCAAGTTCCGATTTGGTTAGAGGAGGTGGCGCCGATGCCATATCCAATTTACTGCCAGCGGACGCTGACTCGTCAATCGAAAGAGCCATAACTGACGGGAAGGTTCGGAATTGGTATGAGAGGAGCGACAGGAACCTTCGGTGGAAGTCGCGAGCAAAGGAGCCTACCCATGAGCTTTCCTCGTTCGATGTTTCCAATGCTCGTATCATGACGCAGGTATGCTCTCCAGTAAGATCATTCGGAGTTTGGCGTAGGTATACCGGAACAAACGACGATCGCTTCCAGAATTTGTGAAGAGGTGCTGTGAGACCGTAGCTTACACCGACGTAGTCGAGCCCTGGAGCTTTCCGCTCCGAAAGCCTGGAGAACAGCGGCGGCATTTTGTTGATATCTCGAACCTTGACGTTATCTTGGAGGAGAGTAGAGGTTTCTAACTCTGCTTCGGTGACACGTTGCATCTCAAGCTCAGCGGTTGGCTCCACCTCCGAAAGGCTGGCGAACTTTCCGTCGTAGAAATCCAGAAGAAGTTGCAGAGCTCGAGATCCGTAACCCATGCTAATGTAGTCAGGATTTGTCGCAATCCTCACGACTCGGGCACCGGAAAGACCAGCGAAATTCTCGTCTTGGAATTGCTGGCTTACTATCCATGGGATTAAGTCTCCACCAGCTCTTTGACCTCTGCTGAGACTGTTCAGGACGCTTTCTCGGCTGATTTGGCCTTCCAAAGCAACTTGAATCACACAAAGTGGCTCCGGAAGTCGCTCGCTCTTTGGATCTACTGGTGGTGTCAAAACGAACAGTTGGTGGGCGGGAGCGTCTGACATGAGTTGGAGATCGTTGGGAGAGTTTTTGTAGTGACTGGCAACGTATAATGCCATCATCTGCTGAAGGAACTTTTCGGAAACTTTATGGAAAGAAAAAAGGGTATCTCGGTTGATTTGGAATAGTTCGCACTGTGAAGGATGGGGGCAGCCCAGTGTCTTGAGGCTTGACTTTGGTAATGTAGCATCAAGGCATAGAAGCTTGTTGAGCCATTTCTCAACGCCGTCTCCGGGAGCGTATCGAATGGGCTCCGAAAGGGTGATCTCTCTCAATGATCGGCCTCCGGATGAGGTCTCTGATGTGTCTTTCGACTCCTTGCCAGAGCTTCGGTCTATTACTTGATCGTCGCCGTTTGCTTTTGATTTCCCTCTTGACTGGTCTCGGAGCTGCTGTATCAGCTTGAGTGACAGTGACCGACCCGTTCCTTCATAACCATTGATAGTTGAAGCCATGAAGACTAAGTAAGGTCCCATGAGCTTCCTCACCAACGGAAGCGGAATAGCCGCAGCTTCGTCAATGACTAATAACTCTGCTTGACCCAGGGCATAGGCATCTTCTGGCCGAATGTACTGAATGGTCTGACGATGCTGCCGATGGACATTGACTCTGACAATAGCTTTGTTGAAGTCCGGGTTCGTGGATTGGATAATAGAGTAATCCACGTGGTCGAGGTAGTTCAACGCATCGAAGCCCTTGAACACGAACTCAAACAGGGTCTTCAAATTCTCCGGGCTCGGAGATGTGATGAAGATGTTGCTGTACCCATGAGCAATCGCAGCTGCGATCGCAACACCCAACGCCGCTGATTTACCACGTCCACGTGCTGCAGTTAATGTGACGGTGCTCTGTAAAGTTTTTTCAGCAATCGCATCTACGAAAGTAAGAAGTGCCCTTGCTTGATCGACGGTCTTCGCTAGTGGTATCAATGAACCTACTGGCGGCGAGTCTACAAGGCTTTCCTTGATCTCCTCTAGCTCCTTTGCGTTCGGCGATTTTCCTTCGTCTTCGGGGTCCGGTGGCGGTAACTGTTGTACGGTCTTGCCGCCTGATATGGGCAGGACATTGAGCTCATCATCCACTACGAGGCATGATTCGCAGCTGCCTAAGGATAGGATGAATCGCTCATTAAAACGAGCAACCACGTCGTTATGCGCTTCTGTCCGGTATCGGGAATGGATGTCCATGGACAAGGTGTATAGCTGTTTCAAACTGTTCATGCCTTTGAGAAGCAGTATCACCATTCCACCACCTTCCACAGTTTCTATTGTCCGCGCCAGCAGATTTGGCGTTATGGCCTCGAAGTCTTGCAATATGCATATGCCGTATGTGTTTCCCAGGATCTTCTCGGTCTCGTTGTAGTAGACATATCGTATGTTCTGGGTCGATATGAAAAGCTCGAAGGGATCGTCGGTGTCGACATCGCGTATTCCTCGTTTGATGTCGTTCTTGATTTTCTTTTCTCGTTTCTTCCGGTGACTGAAATATATCAATTAGCGCAGTTCTCCCCACTGAGATTACTAGATGTACCTTGAGAAGCCTATGAGTTTGTTTTTGTATGCCCAGAGCACGGACTTGTTCAACTTCACGTCCACGTTTAGCAAGATATGGTATAGGTTGACGATGACATCCTTCTGCCTGTCACCAACGACGACAAAAAAGCTTCGCTTCTTCTCCTACAGAATTGTATATTAGCGACCGAGAGAAAGGCTTTCTTAGGTTCTTAGGTTCTGAGCTTACTTGAGCTCCATTGCGGATCAATGCTGGAATCCGGGAGTCACTACGAAGTGAGATCAGCATACGAATAGTATTATATTGCTAAGTCTAGCTTACATGGCCTTTTTAACCATCTTGTCTCTCCAAGCTCCCCGCCTCCTCCAATTCAGCTCAAGTCGAATATAACTGTTCCTAACTGGCTCGTCGTTCCGAGAGGTAGGTCGCTGGTATCGGTATATTGCACGGAAGCAAGGGGCCGGTATTGCTTTGGGAGTTAGGGTGTTAAGGCTCTCCGGCGCAAAGCTGCTTTCGAGGTGAACAAATTCGCAGCAAAAAAAAGTTGTCGGCGTTTAGCGGATCATTCGCCGAGGTCACGTGCTGAGGTCACGCTACGTTCGCTGGGCTGAATGATTCTCCACTCTTCTCTCATCCAAATTCATCACTCTTGCCAAATTTCATCATGTAAAAGGCTATCGCAACTTTAATTTACTGTAGTGTATCTAATATGAATCTGTACTACTGCCTTAGGGCTCGGGTAAGCATTCCGACTATGATCCGGCATGTCATCTCCTAGATGCCATTATTGTCTAGGAATTCAAACATCAACTTCCCGATCTCCTCTGTCTCAGTCTCTCCTGCAAAATGTCCCGCATCTAGCAGCCTCACCTCCGCCTTAGGAAGATCCCCCTTAAACGCCTCCGCGCCCGGTGGTATGAAGAACACATCATGCTCGCCCCAAACAGCCAGCAACGGAACTTGACTCTCCCCAAAGAACTTCTGAAACTCTGGATAGAGCTTCACATTGTTCTCATAGTCCTTGAATAAATCCAACTGGATCTCCTTGTTCCCTGGCCTATCGAGCAGCGCTTGATCCAGGTAGTATGACTCTGGTGCGAGGACAGTAAGATCTCGAGTACCGTTTGTGTACTGCCCTTTTGTTCCCTCGAGGGTTAAAAAGGGCCTGAGTGCGTCTCGGTCTTCGATGCTGTTTGTCGCCCAGTACTTCTTGATCGGCTCCCATGCAGGACCGAGGCCCTCGACGTATGCGTTACCATTCTGGGTGACTATGGCCTGAATTGCCGAAGGCTTCGAGAGAGCTAGTCGTAACCCTACTGGGGCGCCGTAATCGAATATGTAGATGCTGTACTTCGCTGGCGGATTCGGGATTGTTTCAAGGAACGTCCCGATGGTAATCGCTAAATTATTGAAGGTATATTCGTAAGTGGAAGGCAGCTGTGTGAAGCCAAAACCTGGCAGGTCCGGCGCGATGACCCGGTACTTGGTAGCTAGCAACGGGATCAGGTTCCGATACTGGTGGGAAGAGGAGGGGAAGCCGTGGAGAAGGAGAACCGTAGGCGCCGAGTCGGGTCCTGCGCTACGATAGAAGACGTTCTCACCACTGGGAAGTGGGATGGTATTGAAAGTAACACTCGGAGACATCTTTAGATTCCAAGAGAGGATCTCTGCGTCAGAAGCTTCTGAGGTATGATATCGAGATTGTTGATGCGCCTGCTGCGAGTGATGAATTGATGGTAGTGTGCTGCCCCTTCTTATACCGTTCAGAGCCAGCATGTCAACTCTCCAGTTTTGGTGTTTCCTAATCTCGCATTACTCGAAAGCAGTGCTTACATCTCGTCTATGACGCTCTTCACCAATCAAATATCGTTATACTTTTGGTTTGGTAATCGCTGCTTAGCATTTCCTCGGTTCTTGGCTTAATCATCACCCTACATGATACACCTCCGCGGCCGAACAACAAATGCGTGGCCGGACCCAAGCACATAATTCATGAAGCAAGCAAAACGCCATACGGACGGCATCAACATTTGATTCCAAATTCAAGCGGACGTCATGGATCTTACTCTGGATCCTTCCAAACAGCATAATCCTTCTCCTTGACTATCTTCTACCCCTTCTCGTCCCACCACTGCAAACTCGCGGTAAGCAACGTCACGCGCTCTCCAGCTTTATATTTCATCATTGGAGACTCCTTGATTACCGTAAACCTCGATTCCGCCTCCCACACGGTAAAGGTTTTGTGGCCCTCGACGGACAGGGTCTTGCATTCCCAGTCGCCACAGTATTCCTAGAGGCCACCGAAGACGCCGCGCAGGGCAGCTTTGTCCATGTTAAGTTCCATGAGACCTATGAAGGGTCGACGTTAGACCCTGCTGGAAGGGTACCGACTTGATGAAGAGTATGGGTCCTGCAAAGTGAGAGGGGACGAACCATAGTCTGTGTAGTCCAATCCCTCGTCGACGAAATACGACATCATCTTTTCGAGGTCTCCGTCGAGGATAGCTAGTGTATATGGCGCCTGCCGTTGCTCAATAAACGACTGCTCGGAGTGCGGCATTATGAATGTGGATAGAGAATTCTATTTGGAGAAGAAATCGATAGGAAGAACGCTGAAGATGTGGAGAGGACAATGGAACGAGGTCTTGAGAGAGAATTGAGCTACTTATGAAGGAAACTTTTTATGGAATAGGCATTGCTGACATCGCCTAATCCAGGGAAGTTTCACCGCATCATGGTACCTAGGCGGCATTGGAGCCACAAGGGATGTCTCTCTTCGCAAATCAGTCGATTCTTCAGCTCTTCGAAATAGTTGTAGTTATGAAGCCGCCCCTTAGACGTGTAATTGACCCGCAAACCGATGAGCTGATAGGTTGAACACTGCAAGCGAAACCAACCCGCAACCGGGATTTCCTTATTCTTTAAGTGCTACGGTATATCTTCTGCGAGCTTCCAAGCGATTCAGTAAACCTACCCCACCTTTCGAGGAAAGGTTATGGTGTCTGAAGTATGTTGTTGTTATTGAGGCTCGCTGATTGGGCTTTCCGACCCTGATCGTAGATATCTCACCTCAGACCCGTTACTGAAGTACCGTGAAGGGACATAAGTTGCGAGATTCTCAGTTTTGCAACCCTGCTCCGAGCAAATTCACCAAATGTCCCAATTCAGCAACTGTTAGCACGGCTTCAAAGTGTGCAGTACCTGAAGTGAAGAAAGCACTGACTTTCACTCATCACATGATTTTCTTCACCCGAAGTCCACCTTTAATTTACCGTGTGCCCGATTCTCGACCCAGAACGGCAACGGTTGGCACGATCGAACGTGTGGAGTCGCTGCCAAGTATGTGTGTCTCGAGAGTCGCTAGGAAGGTCGTGAATGGAGTGTAACGTTTACCTATCTCTTTGAAAGAAAGGAAAGAAGCACGCGAGTCACATGATGTAGATTTTTGCCGGGTATAAAATCTACCAACTGGCTATTCGTGAAAGAAGACATGAGAATAGTTCGAGCTGGCGGGGGTTCAAACATTGAGAAGTCAATGCCTCAGGCTGTCGTTCAAAATAGGATGCAGCGACAGCCATGGGTGTTGGTGGGTGTTGGTATCGACAAACCTTTCTGGTCCTCTTCTTATGGAGCAGGGTTGTGATGGATTATGACGACTACCACGCCGGAGGCGTCTCCTCGCTGACGTGCCCTTACCAAAACAAAAACGAAAACTCGCTCCCCACATCGACTCCTCCATATATTTCGAGTAAAATGAACCCTCCTTGTACTAACCAGCAGGAACCTTGCCCTAATGGCGTCGGCCCCGTATCTCCCAACATGCTAATCCTAGGTCTTGTTTTTCTTTTTGTATTGCTTGGCTAGGTCCCGGTTCGATTCCCGCTTTCGTCAAGATTTTTTTTTTTTTTTTTTGGAATTTCTCTTCGGAGGCACGACTGTTGAGGGATGACAATCAGCTACGACGAGCACCTACAGCAATCACTGCAGGTAGCAATCAGGGCTTCATGTACATAATGTTCGCGTCCCACCAATGTTCAGATGCTATGGCCTGCAAACCAACAGGTTGGGATTCAACTTGCCTTGGCTCGATACTTCATGGGACGAGTTCCAGCGTGGGTAATTGGAACAGCGTGGAGCGTCAAATGGGACGACAGCGTCGGATAGCATACGGCACTATACCTCCAAACAATGATACTTATGGTCACCAAACCTGTTGAGGACGACCTTCCTTCCAAGAGACAGGTAACTCCCAACTGGAACGATAGATACCAACCACTACCACCGCCCCTCGGTAACGATCAGCACATTAGAGGAGTCCCTCCTCCACCATAACCCGCACACATAACCTAACCATCGTAAATACGGTATGCCAAACATGTTCACAGCCCACGACAGAACCATTGCTGTGTTGTCCTCCATTTTTCAATCCCACAAAGCCATCGGTCGAATCGATGTGGGGATTCAATGCCATGGGATATGTATGCACTCATTTGAACCCCGACGTGACTGATCCTTATTAGAAAGTCGAGGATGAGCTTCGGCGAAGACTTTTATACCCAAGGACGAGAGGTTTCGCCGGGAACGGAGGAACAAGGAGCCGAGGGCACGTGGCTCGGTGTGGTGAAGGCCGTGAGCGGTGAACAAATTTCTTGAGGCAGACTCGAATAGCTGATGTGATATCGTGTGGAAAAGGGATGGGATGAGAAAGACGGCATGGAGAGCCTAGGATCCAATTTGAGAGAACACATAGGACGTTACTTCGTGAAGCTTGAATTTCATGATGTGGAGATAGCATACTCAAGCTTGCGGATCGTGAATGTGCATGTCGTTTTACCCCGGGCATATCTAGTACTGAGTTCATCCTTTTGATAGTCATCATCGTATACAACCCCCCAACTTTTCCTTTCACAAGTCCGATTTTTTGATGTGATCCAACATTCCAGCGGTCCAGCGCTCGATCTACCAGAACCAACTCCTACGCCGATGCCCAGATGAAATCACGCAAGTTCTTTTGATTATCGATCCGCAAAAATGGGTATCAAAGAAAGAAGTGGACCAATCATATATCGTTGCCAATGACACAAACGCCAATCATTTCGCGTGATTGATGATCTGCTCATAGATATCTGGCGGAATCTTGGCGGCAAACGATGTCGCGACCTGAATGACCTTTGCCGCTTGCAGCGGAGGGAAAGAGCGGAGAATCTGGTTTGGACTGCAAGACGTCAGCAAGGTGACTGGGGAGCCAAGGTTGGTGGCGGGGTGTCTTCAAATATTGAATATACAAAAGTGGAAATGATCAGCGCTTACCTCGGACTGCCCAGGATCTGGTCTCTTATCAGGATTAGCTGCGCTACTATGCAGAGGATGTTGAGATGCGGGCCGTATGCGAAGAGGAAATCCCAGAGTTGCAAAACTTCTGGTAGCGGTGGCGTGCACGCGGACATGGTGAGAACAGAGGCAAAAGCGTACAGCTCGGCGTGCATACCCTTGCTCATGAGATGCGAGTACAATTTTGGGTCTACAATCTCCAGAACCGTGTCTACGAGCCTGAGGCCTTTGTGGACACCATCCATGGGACCGCGTACGTAAGCAGGGCACTCCTGCGTTATAAGTTTCTCGAACGCGACGAATGCTTCGACTTCGCTACGGGCCGCATACAGGAACGGCGCTGCCAGGACGTTCATGCCCTGCACGTAGCCCACTTGCTCCGCATCCGAGTTTGACACTTCTGTCCTTGTGCCGGTTGTAAACGACTGTCGCGAATTGAAGGTGGTTTCAGGGCTGCCCCCGAAGTCGGACAGCGTAGGCGGGGACTGCCATCCGTTGACGCGTGCCTCGTGCGCGTCGTTCAACTTCCACGCCACAGCATTGAGCACGCGCGTCAGGCTGTTTTCGGTGACGCGGCGTCGAAAGAGAGGGTCGGTCGCAAGTGTGCGAAACGTGTCGTTGCGGATCTTGGTGTATGCGGGTGATGCGCCTTGTCGGACGAGGTCGAGGTAGACGTCGGTGCGGACAGGCGGCGCATTCAGAAGGATGAGCCAGATGTATATGCGCAAGTCGGACTGCAGGATTCGTTGTTATTAAGGGAAGTCGCAAACCCCGAGGGCGCAATTAGAGGCGGGGCGATGCTCACCATGCCATCGCCGTTTGCTGGCATGCCCTTGGTCAGAATGGTGAAGCGCAGGTCATTGAGGCCTCCTGCGAGGTCGCCAGACGGAGGCCCTTTGAGGAGAAGGAGGTCCAGATTAGTCATGGTGTGGTGGAAAGACGAGCCGCGAGGATGGTTCAGAGTTTCCCCAGAAATGAAGCAGCTCACGATGTTCCTGCCGCTTGCGGCCAGTCACGTGGCATCTTGATTGACCCGCCAACTTACTTTCAACCGCGCTGACAACCACAACTAGTGGACGGTGCGAGCTATACGATACCCATGAAACACCCGCGCTCATTTTACTCCTCAATCTATGTCGAACGCTCTAAGGCAGCACGATACCTCTATCAAGGCGCCCTTGCAGCCCTGTTCCGCTGGGAGCATTCCGAAAGATTATCTACTTTCTAGGATGGAGGACCCTTGGAAAGATGAATGATGAGCACAAGACCAAACGCTGTCAGCGAACCTTCGACGAACGGCCAAGGTGCATAAGGTTTTACCGAGATGCCTCTTTTGCACCTGCAGCTCCGCCTGCCAGGCTCACATGGGCGATCCTGCTGGGTCATGCGGGAAGCTGCAGGGAGCGAGCTCCTCCAAGCTCGTCTTCGTATTCGTTTATGCGTTTCTCTGATCTGCCCTGTCAGAAACACCCACTCTCGCTGCTTGTTGCCAATACATGAAGACAAACAGTGAGGGATGTGTCCAGGGTCTCTGGACCCTTCAATCCTGCCTCCCGCGGTTGGTGAGGTAAGGACCCGGGCGGGCGGTTATACTGACTTGGAACAAAGTCCGCAGGCGACCGACTCCAAAAGACGACAACAGCCGACTCCAAAATCTGGCAGCCTCACGGCACGTCATGAGATGAGATGCAACATCGAGCAGATTCTCTCTGGTGGGCAATTGAGCGACATTGTATTTCCGCGGTCCGCAAAGACGCCATCGTGGTGTGATTCTGGGCGTTTGCACGCTGAGGCTCTCGTCGTGCCCACGCTGCCCGGGGCGTTTCTCTTTGTCCCGCGGACGTGGTGATACTGCTCATGCCAAGGCGTCGCGGTCCAAGGTACGGCTAGCTACCCCATAAAAGGTAGATTCGACATCTCTGTGCTCGAGCACGCCATTCGCGTGGGATCCGGCCCGATTGCGTTGCGTCGCTACCGCGCCCGCAATTGGGTGTAGACAGCCTACGCATTCACCGCGAGCCCTGTCCTCGCACGCCGTCGGTCGCTACGCATGCACCATCCCTGTCGCCTCACCCGCGCTGGCATGCCTCTCCCACGCTTGGGGTGTTCTCCTCCACCACCTCGATGCTCCGTGCGCTATCCCAGCCATACCATCACCAGTCAAGACCTCTACCGCCGCCGTCCGGACTTTTCCCGATGGTGTCATTTAGTCAAAGTCTGCACTCCACCCTGCGCAGACTCCCGTCATCTCTGGGTCAGATCCGATCTGAAAACTATTTGACATCTCAACCTGGATGCCGTCCGCCTACCATCCATTCTGCATCCCCCGCCGCCGTCCCTTCGCAGAGCACCAGTCCTTCACGCCTCTTGCGATTTGTGGCTGCCCTAACCCGTCACGCCATTCTCTTGCATTTTGACAACTTCAACACCATCTTTTCGCCGGCAGATCGACGCCCATTGCGGACTGCCCCAAAGCTCTAGCGCAATCCCCCACAAGCAGTTTCATTCAGTGGCTTAAGGCCCAACTCGATCTTGAGCTCCCGCTGGCCATCAAGCCCCCATATTGCACTATTGCTCATCACACACCCCAAAAGAAATCTTTTCCAGGCCTAGAGCTTCTGCTGCATCGATATAAATCCCGGCCACCAGGGCACGTTCGGGCCACTCACTAGCTGCAGCGGCACCCTGTGCCGAGATCTTGAGCCTGGGTTTGTTCATAATTAAGCTCCACCCTGCTCCTGGGATTCCCCCAAGCACTTCCAAGATCACTCGGTCTCATGGCATCTACCAGCACCAAGATCGGCCACGGCCTGGCCAAGGTCCTTGGTATCAAGCTGCACTACCGCAACGAGACCGGCTCTGAGAGAATTACGAGAGGCGAGTCTGTCTTCTCAGTTGCCAGCGCCGACACCTTTGTCGAAGAGGAACCCACGTCTCTCGAATGGCTACAGAGTATCACTCCCTCTGGCCACGATATTGCGCATTACTTCATCCGGCTGTTCCCATTCCTCCAGTGGATCACAAGATACAATTCTCAATGGCTTATCGGCGATCTCGTCGCAGGTGAGTCTATCATATCACTGTCGATATTTCAGCCGTCTAATATTTGGAAGGTATCACTGTCGGTGCTGTGGTTGTCCCACAGAGTATGGCCTATGCCAAACTTGCCAATCTCGCCCCTGAATTTGGACTATATTCGTCTTTTATGGGTGTCTTGATCTACTGGTTCTTTGCTACATCCAAAGATATCACCATTGGTGTAAGTGCAATATATTTGAGGCCTAGTCTTAAGCTAATTTTTTAATAGCCTGTCGCTGTTTTGTCCACTGTTACCGGGAATGTCGTTACCAGCGCCTCTAAAAAGCTAGGCCCTGGTGTACCCGCGGACATCATTGCTTCGTCCTTAGCGATCATTGCAGGTTCCATTGTATGCTTCCTCGGTCTTGCGCGCCTTGGATGGCTAGTTGAATTCATTTCGCTCACCTCAATTGCCGCCTTCATGACTGGTTCTGCACTCAACATTGCCGTCGGGCAAGTACCAGCTATGATGGGTATTACTGGATTCTCCACTCGAGATGCGACCTACAAAGTAGTGATCCACATCCTGAAGCATCTCGGACGATCGAATTTGAATGCCGCTATTGGACTGACCGCGCTTACTATGCTCTACCTCATTCGATTTGTATGCAACACGCTCGCGAAGAGATACCCGAACCGAAAGAAGACTTTCTTCTTCATTTCAACTTTGAGGACCGCCTTCGTCATCTTGCTCTACGTTCTCATCAGTTACCTGGTCAACAGGCACCACCGCAAGAAGCCAAAGTTCAGCGTCCTTGGCAAAGTTCCTCGAGGTAAGCTGTTTCGAACGTACTGTGAATAAGCTGTTCTCACACTTATCAGGTTTCAAACACGCTCGTGTTCCCCATATCACTACAGACATCATCAAGGCATTCGCGTCCGAGCTTCCATCTACGGTCATCGTTTTGTTGATTGAACATATCTCCATCTCGAAATCCTTTGGTCGAGTGAACAATTACACGATCGATCCCTCGCAGGAACTTGTAGCCATTGGAGTTACCAACCTACTGGGTCCGTTCCTAGGTGCCTATCCTGCTACTGGATCGTTCTCTCGGACTGCCATCAAATCAAAGGCTGGTGTGCGCACGCCGTTTGGGGGTGTTATTACCGCCATTGTCGTCCTCTTGGCTATCTATGCTCTTCCCGCTATGTTCTTCTACATTCCAAATGCTGCACTGTCAGCAGTCATCATTCATGCTGTAGGAGATCTAATTACGCCGCCCAACACTGTGTACCAATTCTGGCGAATCTCGCCGCTCGAGGTGCCTATTTTCTTCGCCGGTGTGCTCGTCACCGTGTTCAGCAGCATTGAAAATGGGATTTACACGACAATCTGTGTGTCGTTCGCCTTGTTCGTTTTCAGGGCATTCAAGGCCCGTGGCCGATTTGTCGGAAGAGTCAAGGTTCACTCTGTCGTCGGTGACCACTTGCTAGACCAAGAGGAGAGTAAAGAAGGCCGGACTCCGAAGGCCTCCAAGGGGATCCCTGACGACCCAGATTCCAACTCTAGGAACATCTTCCTACCGGTTGATCATCATGATGGATCCAACCCCACGATCGAAGTCGAAGACCCATATCCCGGTATCTTTATTTACCGTTTCTCCGAAGGATTCAACTATCCTAACGCCAACCACTATTTGGACTATCTCGTTCACGTTATTTTCGAGAAGACTCGTCGCACAAATCCTGCTACCTATGGAAAGCTAGGAGTAAGTCAACTTGCAGTCTCTTGTTTGAACCAATAGACTAATAATTCTTAGGACCGCCCGTGGAACAACCCTGGTCCCCGTCGTGGTAAAGAAGCAGACCCAATTGATCATCGACCTACTCTCAAAGCTATAATCCTCGACTTTTCTTCCGTCAATAATGTCGATGTCACCTCAATTCAGAATCTCATCGATGTCCGTAACCAACTTGATCGTTATGCCGCTCCTGATACTGTTGATTGGCACTTTGCAAACATCAACAATCGGTGGACAAAACGTGCACTTGCCGCAGCTGGATTCGGATACTACACTCCAGAATCTGATGTTGACTCTGGCCTAGAACGCTGGAAGCCAATCTTCAGCGTCGCCGAACTCGGAGGAACCTCTAGCGCTGCAGCAGCAGCTGAGGCGCATCAAAATAAGGCACAGCGTAGGGCCGCCGCCCAAGCAGAGGGCAAGACGGTCAACGATGATATCGAGGAAGGCCCAGACTCATCGGAAGACGCCGATAGCCTGAACAAGCCGAGTAGCCATCCCAAGGCATATGGCACGATCGGAGGCGGAAAGTCGCAGAAGATAGCAATTGTGCAAGGTCTCAACAGGCCGCTTTTCCATATCGATATCACGGCGGCAATGGAGAGCGCATTGGCGAACGCGCAGCGGAAGACGCATTAGACGTTGTACTATTTCTGTGTGAGAGAGTTTTGGGATATACCTCGTAGCTATCAGGTGGATTTGAATAATATATGGGTTGCTGATGGACATATGGCCATATAACGTGGAACTTCTTGTGAAAGCCGTTTGACACGTGACAGTATTATATAAGCCAGTATACCCCTGCCAGGAACGCTGGACTCTAGCGATTCGAGGCTCGCGCATCAGAATGCTAGCTGTCCTTTATTCTGCCCCGTCAGCCTCTTTACCCGCCCGTCTTGCCCTGCTGCTCAATTCCCTTCTCTTCCCGTGTATGTAATCGCAGTACACACTTTCGAGAGAAGTATTTCTCTTTGACGCTCCTTTCCTCCTTTTCTTCCAACCTCAATACCGGCATTGCGGAGAGTTGCAGCGGCTCCTCCTCCTTACCTAAAGTTATTCGGGTCCCGTAATCCACCCTCGAATCTCACGAACACGATACTTGGCGCATTGCGACACCCCCGAGATTAGCTTCTCGCCTGGCGACGGTTTCCGACCTTCTTCACTACCGACTTCGCCTGCGGCCTCGGATCTGGTTACGTGAGCTTCACCATGCCGGCAAAATCGCGCTTTACGCGCCTCGATGCGTTTACGAAGACTGTGGAGGATGCGCGAGTGCGGACGACGTCGGGCGGAATAGTCACGATAACGAGCCTGCTGGTGATACTGTGGTTGGTGTGGGGCGAGTGGGCAGATTACAGGAGGGTGGTCGTGAGGCCGGAGCTTGTGGTGGACAAGGGGAGAGGTTAGTTTTTGATTTCTTGGAACTATGGGAGAAGAGATGGTGTGCTAGGAAAAGAGAATGTTATACAATTGGGACAACGGAAAGGGTATGGGGTGATTTGACCAAGAGCTGGGCTAACAATATGCGCAGGAGAGAAGATGGAGATTCATATGAACATCACGTTCCCGCTGATGCCGTGCGAGCTGCTGACGCTGGATGTTATGGATGTGTCGGGGGAGATACAGAGTGGGGTGCAGCATGGAGTGAATAAAGTGAGGTTGGCGCCTGTGTCAGAGGGAAGCCATGATATTGAGAGTAAAGCGCTGGATCTGTAAGTTGCATATTTTCCTTGTGCTTCTGATTAGAAGAAGCTCCATACTCAATTTGAAGACGTTGAAGCATGATACTCCCAATTCGAACCACAGCTAACTTTCCAACAGCCACCCCGACGACCCGGCCTCCCACCTCGACCCCGAGTATTGCGGTCAATGTTACGGCGCTCCTCCCCCCACCGATGGTCGCAAAGCCGGCTGCTGTAATACCTGCGACGAAGTGCGCAACGCATACGCCAGCATATCATGGTCCTTCGGGCGCGGCGAGGGCGTTGAGCAGTGCGAGCGCGAACACTACGCCGAGCACCTCGACGAGCAGCGCAAGGAAGGCTGCCGCATTGAAGGCGGAATTCGCGTCAACAAAGTCATCGGCAACTTCCACATTGCTCCCGGAAAATCATACTCGAACGGCAACATGCACGTGCATGACCTCGAGAACTACTTCAAGGATGAAGCCGATCACTCTTTCACGCATACCATCCACACACTCCGCTTTGGCCCGCAACTCCCCGACGCGGTCATCGCGCGCATGGCGACGAGGGGATCCGCGTCAGGCGCTGGAGCGTGGACGAATCATCACCTCAACCCCCTCGATGGGACGGAGCAGAAGACGGGCGAGAAGGCGTTCAATTTCATGTACTTCATCAAGGTCGTTAGCACGGCGTACCTGCCCATCGGCTGGGAAAAGGAAGCCGCAGTGCAGAACAAGAACGATGTCATGGGTGGTGGTATTGATGCGGGCTACAAGGGCAGCATCGAGACGCATCAGTACAGCGTCACGTCGCACCAGCGGAATCTAGGTGGTGGCAACGATGCGCAGAGTGGGCACAAGGAGAGGATTCATGCGCGGGGTGGAATACCAGGTAAGATAATTGGGGAAATAGTCTATCGGATGATCTTGAGCTAATGGGTGATATAGGTGTCTTCTTCTCCTACGACATCTCCCCAATGAAAGTCATCAACCGCGAAGCGCGCAGCAAGACTTTCTCCGGCTTCCTCGTCGGCTTGTGCGCAGTCATCGGCGGCACCCTGACCGTTGCGGCAGCCGTGGACCGCGCGCTGTACGAAGGCGTGCAAAGGGTGAAGAAGCTGCACCAGGGATGATTTCTTATAGAACGTAGCATGGCTTGGCGGAGTTAGGGGGTTTATCTATTTTCAAGTCATAAAATCTCAGTCTTCATTATGTATTTTAAGACGCAACGAGTGGGGAGGCTTGAATATATGGAGATGTGAACTAAAGCTTAATGACGATGAATTTGCTCTGATATTGGAGGCGTACTGACGGAAAGAGGGCATAGCACTCTCGATCAGACTCAATCCATTCCCTATTTTCCAACCCCTGAAAAGGCTTTGAAGTACCCTAGCAAGTTGCAAACTTCTGTCTTATCAATTTCCTAAGTCTTGATTCAGAAACGTCGGCTTGTCCATCCTCTTCATGCCCATTTTCTACCTCGTTTTAGGATGTAAGCCCCCGGACGCCCTAAATCAGATCATGGGAAAAGGGATGATTTGGATGCTGCGAGATGTATGAAGTGGAGCTAGTCCGTGCGATTTGGGGTCGTTTTTGGCATATTATTGCGTCGCGCTCCAGATCGGGCTCTGGAATTGGGGTTGATTTCGGTAAGGTTTATTGTATCAACGGGAGCCAGTCCGGGTTCTAGCGGCACGTCAAGAACATCCCCTCCAAGGCATGATTCGAACAACGTGTTTTAAGTTGTTAATCAACGAATGACGACTCTCAGAATGTGATATTTGCTAGGGGTGTGCTTTTGAAAGCTATGTTGATGCACTAGTAGACGGGTTGAGGAACGCGGACACGGCCGCTAGTTTCTCGCAAAAATACCGTATGTAGAAGCTTTAGAACATAAGCAAACAGCTTCTCGACTCTAAATGTTGGTAAGAGCCCCGATGCACCTCAGACGCTGACAATTATTCAAAAAGTCCAGTTTCACGATGCAATATGATACCCCTCTGTCGTCATCACAGCATCTAGAACTGGCCGCGGGGCCTCGGTGTTTATCAAAGCATAGCTCCCAGCTTCATACAAAGGTAACCACAACGCCTCAATTCAACACCACCAAGCCCTCTTCTAGCTTCTAAAACATCCCACCCATCAACCATGGCTCTCGCTCCCAAATTCGCCGGCCAAAAGCTCGCCGCTAGCAGCATCGCGCCCAAAGCCGTCCACACGCTCGAGCTCTGTACGTGAACCATCCCAACACCTCTCCTCTACCCAAGCTAATTACCCTCACAGACCTCGACTATGTCTGTCCCTTCAGCGCCAAGTTGTTCAAGACGGTCTTTGGCCCCCTCAAATCCACCCTGACCTCCGCCCCCTACGACTCCAAGCTCGTCACCATCTTCCGCCAGCAAATCCAGCCCTGGCATCCGTCCTCGACGCTCACCCACGAGGCCGGCGCCGCCGTCCTCCGCCTCTCCCCTGACCTGTTCCTCCCCTTCAGCGCTGCCCTCTTCGAACAACAGACTGCCTTCTTCGACGTTAATGTTGTCAATGAGACGCGTAATCAGACATACGCTCGCCTTGCTAAGATCGCCGGCAGCGTCGGAGTTAATGAGAAAGAAGTGTATGATTTACTAGTTATCAGTGATAAGCCAGGGAAAGATGGAGCGCTGAACACGGGGAACAAGGTCACCGATGACGTGAAGCTGATGGTGAAAGCCAACCGCTTGACGGGAGTGCATGTCACGCCGACAGTGCTTTTCAATGGGGTTGTGGAGAATAGCATCTCAAGTGGTTGGACGAAGGAGCAGTGGGAGGAGTGGTTAGAGAAGAATGTGGTGTGACTAGAGACGCCGAAGCTGTGAGGTGTTCGATATGATGGCCCAGTGTCTGAATTAGGACAAGGGGTATAGTGGTTTGGCGTACAAACCAGACATCCGACTGGCTCCCGCTTAAGCTTTTCAACAATGTCAATCTTACCCTATTCCTGATCGAATTTTGTGAGTGAAGCAATAATGTGCCAAAAGCAACGGCAAATAGCACGGACTGGCTCCACGTCACACTTCTGACCATCTTGAAACAACGTTTTTGAATCGACCATGGAGGGTATACCTTTGGCCTATCGCTAAAAGCCAGACTGGCTCCCGGCCATACATCTCAACTTATCTAAATCAACCTCAACTCGGTGCAATGGCACCTGGTACAGGAGAACCACTAGATTCAAAAGTTAGGACTAAGGGTAATCGATAGTAGAATGGATCTATCCCTCTATTTTCGGGCGTCGGGCATGGAGAGGCTTCTAGGTTACCGTAATGGAGATCCGAAGCATAGCTATGCCCTTTACAGTTACCGCTTGAACCTAACCCCATCCGGCAGTATTACATCACGCGTCTGGACGTGTTGTTTACCCCGACATCATCTCTCTATTTCTCTACAAGTCCTCAAGTCCAGTACACCCAATCTTCGTCGCAAGACTAAATTCTCTCAAATTACTTATACTCACCATGCCAACCGCCACCACCACCAACGTGCTCGACCTCACCACTGACAACGAGATCAAGCCCGAGTTACTCAACGCCATCGAGTCCGTCAAAGCCTCCACACTCCGCAGCGTTCTCATGCAGCTATGCCAGAAGTCAACAATCTGCGCAAGTAACCTCGAAGAAATAATGCTAGTTCCGGACCCGCAGCTCCAAAGCACCACAACGAATGGATCGGCGACCAACGGCTCGAAAAAGCGGAAGCTCGAGACTAAAACCTCTCGGTATGCGCGTTGCGTCCAATGCAAAGAAGACTACGATATAGTCTTAAACGAGCAGTCGGGCGAAGAACAGTCCTGCAGAAGACACGAGGGTGTTCTGGAGATGAATGAGGACGCTTTCCCGGACGACGACGACGTTCAATACTATGGCCACAAGATCGATGTCGAAACCGATTGGCGAGTGGACGAGTTTCCAGAAGACTTCACGTGGACGTGCTGCGGGCAGCATGGGAAGGAGGCAGAACCGTGTCTTCGTAGCAGGCATTGCAAATCGAAGACCGGTGAAGGGCGGGGGAAGGTCTTTCGGCTCGTTGATGGAGATTTTCCGGCAGGCGATGGAGATGAGAGCGAGAGTGAGTGATGAGGATGACGGGGATAAGGCTGAGGATGATTAAGGGTGGTGTAGAAGAATCACAAGGGGCGAAAGAGATGAACGCTGCAATGGACTTGTTTAAGAACTAGGAAAAGCTTTCTCCCTATTTGGTCAAGCTCTTCGACGCTACTTTCTGTACAACTACATGTTTTCAAATAGTTTCAATCTGTCACGTGTGGAGCTTTCAGCATACAGGAACTCTACTAGCACGAGTTCTAGTATCTAGCAAATCGTGATGAGGACCTTCAATGTGGTCCGCCCATTCTTCGTGACCCTTGAACTCTAAAGCGCAACCTTGATGTGGACAAGCGTACTGGGTGTGAGCGCTGGTATGAAGACGAAGTTCGAGAAAGTTATTGAAACGCTGTACAAAAGGGTCAGCCATGAAGAACTATTCTGAGAAAGGGTACTTGCCTCATGGCAGCTAATCCAAGGACAGTGGAATGCGACTTCACGAAAGTGATCCTCCCCTACTTCCTCCATGGCGCTGCCCTGCCGAGCTTGCTGTCGACGCAATTGATGGCCGTTCGCTTGGTTCTGTACCAAGGTTCTTTCGCTATGGGTTAATGAATCGAACCTCTGAGCATTCGCTACGTGGCTCACCCTATAGTCATCCCTCTGAGCTTCATTCACATATGCGGCTTGATTCGTGCTAGTCCCAAGCTGTGCAATTCCACTCATAGCTCCGGACCTTTGCCCTTGCGCTTGCGATGAACCTGCCGTAGAGGGGGCCCGCAGGTTCAAGAGTGACGGATCTGCGCTCTGCACTACATGCCCAAGAATCATCTTCAGCCTCGTAATTGTAGTACTGTCCAGGCGTTCCGAACCCGCCTTAACCTCTTCGAGTTGAGATCTTGCTTCCTTTACGGCCGGTAACATGTTTCCCCAGACCTCGTCCGTATAGCCATTCAGTACACCATCCCATTCGGATGCGAGCTGTCGTCTTCGAGGAGTATTCATGCCCTCAATATTGCTGACTTCTTCGGAGTCTAGTTCTGATTGCATATGACTGATCAATGACTCGAAATCCGGTCTCAGATTCAAGGGGTTCTGCGATGAGACTTGTCCGTGTACTGGAGGAGCAGGTAGAGCACTTCTGATACGGTCTGCAGCTCGTTGTTCGTTAGGAGAGAAGTTCTCCCAAAAGAGGTCCATTGCCGGATCCTCGACAGGTGCGGCAGTCATGACCTCCGCCTCCTCCCAAGCTGGTTGGAAGGATGGATCTGCGAGGAGCATGCGTACTTCGGCTCCGTCATCAAAAGTTTGACCTTGGCTGCGATCCCTTTCCAATGCATCTGCTGGCTTTGCTAATCTATCCCAAGAATAATGGTTGAGGCCTGCTTGATTTTGGAAGTCCACGGCCCGGAGATTTGTGTGTTGTTGAGAAGCATGTCCGTCGGGATTGTTCAGGTTGCTACTATTAAGGAAATCGTTGAATTCCTGGTCGTTGGTCTGATTTGAAGTGCTTCGAAAGCTTTCGCCATTGTTATATGCGTATGCGTTCTCTGAAGAGCTATTTGAAAATTGCTGTGGAGGACGTGATGGAAAACCTTCACTCCACACCGACTGACTTGCGGAAGACGATGAGCCATTTGCGAGTTTGCTAGAAATCCCTGATGCAGAAGCAAGTTGACCCTGAAGTTCGTTGCCTCTAGGAGCTCCAATAAGGTTTCTGGCCAGGCCTGACGCTGAGGACGCTATTCTTGATGTTAGAGACGTAGGTTCTTCGTCCTTTTGATCTGCGGTTGCTCGAGCTTTGCCCTTGTCTGGCTGTTCTTTCTTAGGCTCCATGCTTCCACCTCATCCCCGAAGGAAGTGAACAACAGAACTGTACTGAATTCGGGCTATGCCTGATTGAGGTGGATGATGGATGACTAGTGACTTCTCGGCGATACTCTTTAAGTTACGATGAAGGTTTTGTAGGATGATTCTTACTAGGAGGGCTGAAGGTGTAGCTGAGTTAGTACAAGAAGATAAGGACAGCAGAGAGAGATGCAAGGATGGAAAAGAAAAGTTAGCAGTGATGGCCGTGCAGAGAAGGATGATGCCGGAGGAGAGGCAGTCAAAAACGGTTTACGCCGACAGCCGAGATCTCTCGGATGAGCGCGGCACTTTCATCAGCTCCATTGTCGTCTTCATCCCCATCTTTCGCATCTTCCCTTTCTTCTTCATGCGATTGTTTCAGATAGCACTTGTTTCTTTACTGCTTATTGAGCTCTCGTGTTCAAACGCTGCATCATCGCCCGACAATGACAGAAGCAGTCGATCCTCTACACCTGGCACCTGAGTTTCTCGACAGCATGCAGAGGCTTTAGTATTATCAGCGTACATGCCATTTTTGTAGAAGCTGAATACGCTGATGGCTTCCCGTGTTCCCATGAGCTTCGTCCGGGCTCTGTGGTTAGGCTTGCCAGGCAGTAACGCACTGCTCTAAAAGCAATACTATAAAGCAATACTATCGATCTCTAGGAAATTTTCATAAACTGCAAATCTTTTCAATTACTGCTACTATACACGAATCGAAGCCCTGTGGGCTCAGCCTTAAATTTGGTATCATGCCACATAAAACGCCTTGATCGAGACCTTTCTTTCGAAGCACACGCAACGCAGCTTGCCAGATTTCTTCACCGTCGTGGTATCCAGATCCCCGAGTATGTGTTCCTTCATCACCCTCCCTGCCCATGGTAGGGCTCTTCCCGCGTCGTCTCGTTAAGCCACCGATCCATACTCGATGAAAGTTTCGTTGAAGATATTTCACCCTTGGTTGTGGATTTCTTCGTCGTGCTCTTTTGGTCTTGCTTTATGGTTGTTGGCTCATACTTTCCGGCAAATACCCACGGTCAGCAATCGTGTTTGGCCACAAGAGCTGCTCTACATACCTGGTGCCCATCCACAATCTCTGTTTCGATGTACTGTGTCCACCTCGAAGGAAGATGGCCATTCCCGGGCAAGCCAACGGAATTCGTGTCTACAGCGTGCGGCATCGAACAGGTTGCCTAGGATTACGTCGTCAGCGACTTCACCGATAATTTGAGAGCCCCCATGGGATGGCTGCAGTAACATACTAAGTTTGAATCTGAGAGCTCGCTTTATAGGATCAAGAGCCACGGAACCTATGACAGGGTTTTCTAAGTTGAAGGTTGAATAGCAGAGACGCAACCGCTAGTTACTTATACTCGATGCGGCTCAAGGGACACATAACACGCTGACGAATAGAAATCGGATGGCCAGCGCCAAAGCGAACTTGCCCATGCTGTGCAAGCGATCATCTGGCGCCATGGCTGTGCCGGGACAGCGCGGCGTTCATGTCTTTCAAGCACCCTCACCCTCGGAACGCTTATCTTTTCCGTACACCATGGCTCGGAGGTATCCCCTCACAAGCCTACTGGTGCCTGTGCTGGTGCACTTACCAACCCATCGGCCGATTGATTAAGTCGATCGGAATTCAGTTGATAGAGATTGGCACTTGTCACTCCGACTACAGAGATATTGGAAGGTTGCACAGTCTTGCCACGCAACCCGACGGCAAAGTACAAGGACTGTGCTTGACGCGTTCGAATGAGCTTTCGCCATAAATTGCTGGAACGCCAGAGCCAGTGACCCGGGACAGCGTCGCAACAGCTTGCCAGATGCAGCGGTAGGCGAAGTGGCATGAGCCCGCCTCGAAGGTGCTCATTCGGCAAATTCACTACTTGCCTGGCGCTTACATGATACCGCTGCTCCGGGATTTTGTTATCACATGGATGGTCTATGAGAATGCCTGTGCGGGGAGCCTGATAAGAGTCACCAAGAAGGGTCGGTCGGGGGTTCTCACACTATCGTAACGCTGTCGATGTGGCTTGACACTGATGCTCCTACGAGTGGACATATCTAATGGGGCGAGAAGGCACAGACACGCTTTCATGTTAAAGACAGCGACACTAAAGCCTTCTCAGAACACCGCTTCTCCCCACCGAGTAATACTTCCACTGGCTTCTCGTCATAGCCCAGAAGCTGGACTCCCAAAGAACACTTTCAGGCCTTACATTAAAGAATACGACCTTTCTAAGATCAATGCGAGACCAGTGTGAGCGCCGCGGGGTGGAAACTACAAGACCCTTTCCGGGGGCTTGGAATTAATTGGATGAAAGCTATCTGTTCGGTCGAGACATGGATTGCAGACCGGTCAGAGGACAAGGGTAGCTAATTATCGTTGGTTAGAGCCACTCGCCCAGAGCCGTCCACCAAGAGTTTCCCATATGCAAGCAGCAGTCAGCAGCAGGGTTTAGCCCCACCATAACCTTCACCAGATCGAACTCGCCACTAAATCCTTCTGGAAGTTTTCCACACGCCTTCTAGGCGCCGATCATCAACCAACCAGCTAATCACTACATCTACAAGGCGAGCCTCCGAGCCGCTGTGACGTGGGTCGTGAGGCCAACGCTCTTGCTGAATACACAGGAGGGTTATGTCACTTCTTGGCGAGGTTGATGTCCAATGTAGTCTCGAGCTCGCTTGCACTTCTTCCTAATATTGCTGCCTGCCTCTTACTGGTCAATACCTCTCCTTAGTTAGATTCCACCAAGTGCTAAGTCACAAGTCTCAATATCTACTGGCAGTACCAGGTCAGAAAATGAGGCTTGCGAAGCTCACACCATGCGCAATGACCTCGTGCTGAACATAAAATACCTCAAGAGTCAAGTCTCCCCCGCGGCCTCAGCTCCACGGCCTCGTCACACCTCAGTGATTGTTCACCTTGAACATCAGAATCATAGCAAGGACTATCCTTGCTCGCCGGCCTCGCGCTAGAAAATGGCTAAAGGCTTCCATGCATGCCGCGTAACCCATGGCTGCGAGCTGAGCTGAGCCTCAGCGCACATACCCGTTCCCGCACCGTGCATTCACCCCCTCCAGCTTGGGCACATGCCACCTCCACCACAGCGCTGGGACCCAATCATTGTCGACATGGGGTGTCGGCATGTTTTCCGCGAGCGGTTGACTGCCGTGCCGTCATACGGCGCTGCAGCTGCGCAAATAGGGTACTTTGCGAGGCACTGTCAGACTTTCCATGAGGGCTTAGTTCTAAACCGTCGCCAATATATGCCAGACCTAGACTAGCAAGGCACAATCTCGATCCTTATCTTGGAAGAAATCTCAGTGTTAAGACGGCATGTTCATGTACGGGCGCACTGTATAGTCCCGGTTCCCGCCGCGGCGGAAGCTATCGTTGACGAGTTTCAACCGCGGCCATGCCTAGAACCTCAAGCGATCACTTCAGTCCACGGTCTTTCACGGTTCGGCGTCACATCACTATCACATCACTATCACAATGGCGCTTCTTTGTGCTCACTGTCCGACTGATGTTGCAAGCTGCCAGTAAAAGCTAGACCTTTACTTCAGATCACTTTGGTACGAGTTTTGACCAACGAATTTCGGATCCCAAGCCCACGAGATGTCCTTGTCCTCATCCCTCACCGCCGTCTCCAATTCCATCAGCTCGTCCCATTCGCGCCAGCGACAGAATCCGATTCCAAGCCAGCGCAGCACCTCGCCAGCCCATTCGATCGGGACTGTCGCTTCTCCGACTCCTTTGTAGACGAGCGTGACCGACTTGGTCGCCTTCGAGGTCGGCTCGACGACGGCGAACCAGTCGGAGTGGACGTTGAGGGTTTGGGCGACTTGAGTGTGAGCTTCGAGGAGGTCGTTGATGTGCTGGTGGTTTCCTCCGCCGTTGCCAGCGTTGACGCAGATGGGGGGCCCGTAGTCCTCACGCCTAGCACTGAGACCGATATTCATGGTGGCGAGGATGCTGGTGTGCTCTTCGTGCTTGTCGTCGTGGTTGTGGTTGTCGAGGCTGTAGCATGCGAACTTCGCTTCAGGCTTGTCGCTATAGTCGCGCATCTTCTTGTTGTCATGGCCCGCCGAGTTAAGATTTTACATACCAATCTATCTCGCCGTCGGTCTCGGTCACGTAACAAAATCCCATCGCGCAATCCAGATCCACTCGCATCGCGTCTGGGAATCCGTTGTAGCTGTTGACAGCGAGGAGAAGATCTTTGTTGTGCACAGAGTAGGCGCTCTTATACTTGTTGTGTCCTTCTAGAACTAGCTTTGAGAGTATATCAGTATGGAAATTCGAGTCAAGAAGTGAGGATGCTTACTTCGGGTGGAGGAGTGGGCCACTGAGGCCTATCGATGATGATGATGATGATGAGGACGGCGTCACTGGGTGTGTGTTAGAGGTTTATAAAGAGTACCGAAGCGTGGAAAAGATACTTACGGTTAGTAAGCGGGCGGATAGCACTTCCGAAGATGGCGAATAGTGGCAGCGACGGGACCTCCGATGAAGTTGCTTACGTTCTTGACGAGCTTGAACTCGCTAGCGACGTACTGGTCATCTTCTTCGCACTGCCCGGCGACCCTTCCCGCGACTCGGAAAGCCTCTGCGACAGCAACACGGTCTACCTCCACCGTTGCATAGATGGGGTAACTTCCCAGATCATCATCAGGACTCTCGGTCGCTATATTCATGTAGTGGTGAGAGTGGTTGCTGAGGAGGAAGGTGATAGGGTTTTTAGTTGATGAGGTTGAACCGAATCGAAGGTGGGACCTGGAGTTTGTGGAGCGTAGAAGGTCTTCAATACTTTCCTTCCAATTCACCAACCGGCTATAACCGGATTGCCATCGGAAGGTGAAGGTCAAGTCTGCTAGAGTGAAGAGCGGCCATTATATAAAGGCCAGATGCTAGATCTATAGGCCCTGGAAATGACATAGTGAGAGTTTAGAGGATGGATAGGCCTGAGAGACTACAGATAGTTATCCACATTATCAAAAACAACTTGAGACATCCGATTTCCGCTAGTAGGAGGATCATATTAGTATGGTGTGTAGACTCGTCGGTAAGAGGCCAGTCGCCTACTAACCGAATTGATCAATGGTCGTCTTCAACATCAATCCTTCCGCAGCTTCCAGTCTCCCCAGTCATACCCTAGTGCGCGGTGACGGTCGCAACACACCAAGACCTAGATGATGATAGCCTGAGCGACTGTCATTGACAACATCGCTGCACCTAGCCTTAGAGAGTTTGGCAGCCCGCATAGTCTGCCTAAGAAGTGAAAAGCAAGACGCGCTGATCAAGAAGACAAAGTATGTAGCCTGATGCACCTGGAGGCGGGGTGGACCAGACGAGAAGAAGCCAATCCAATCGGGGAGATGTAACGTCTGTGACTGGATGCGGTACCCAGTGGTCGCAATTGCAAGGTGAATAGGGTTGAGGCGGTTGACAATTTCACTAGCAAAGACACCCTTGCTAATCGCGAAAATGTTGTTGATAAGTTTGTAGAGCATGTTCGTGAAGTTCTTTCGATAACGTGTCGCTTGAAGGCCCTATGGGGAAAGGTAGGTTCTGCGTGTAGTACCTTTTGCCGTTGGGTAGATGAGGCGCCTTACTATCGGTATGATTAATGATGAGGCGTTGAAATGCGAGGCCGACCGATGCTTTCTGCCTCTCAAATCGGTAATGGTGAGAGTTTTCGGGACGTCGTTGTACAGGTATAAGGTTTATATGGAAGTGTTTGCGCGACTTCGGTTGGTTGGTTGAGCCACGTTGTGGTTCCATTATTTGATCTGACTAGTCGAATACGTAACAACATGAAACCCTCCAGCAAGTGAGGGGCAAACCTCAACTCTCTGAGGTGAAGTATGTACAGATCTGATCGGGTCAAAGAGATGTCGTCTCATTCATCTTTTCAAATTTTCGAAGAGCCCCGTGTAGACTCGGCGTGATCTGTAAGCTAATCTTGTCGCATTCAACCTCCATGTGGTATGTCGGCTTTTCTCAGACGAAAGACATGGCCTCATCTGAGACATCTCCCATTCAAACCTGATTGAGTCGGTCGACATTTAATCTCCTTGTCTTTCTCACCCGGTAAGAGCTCCTTTTACTATTTGGGTTGGTGGCTCAGCCGGACTCAAGAAGTGTACTTAGGCCTGGGACATGGCATTGCACAAATGTACATACGACGAACAAAAGTTACTTTCATTACAAGTGACAAGTAGTCGCGGGGTATCTTCAATATCATAACTCGTCAAACAAACGCAGTCTAGGGTCTACCGGTGACGGAGAAACAGGCAGAGCTGGCGCTGTTAGGCTGCTGGACGCCGGCGCGTGACAGCTGCTCAGCACCTCCTTCGCTGATGAGGGTATCGATGCTTCATGGAGGTCCCATGTTCCCTTGGATGTCGAGAAACCTTCTCCTGTGGCTTTGTGGGGTAATCTGAACTGCTGGACCAGAACAAATAGCACGAATAGCAGAGCAATCGTACCTAGAATGCCCCATAGAATCCTCAGTCGTCCTGTGAATCGTGATTAGCAGATGCCCTTCTATAAAATTGATGATACGACTGAAAGAAAGTACATACGATTGATCTTCGCTTCCCATTCCTGCTCCAACTTCTCCCGCATGTCAACACGGTTTCGTGCATCATTCAGCCTAGCATTTAGAGAGCGAGCTTTCTCTCTACCCACCTTGACCCGCTCTTCTAGCACATCCATCTGCTGCTCTTGCGGTTCAAATTCATGAAACCCGTCCATCTGCCCAATTATCTCCTCCTCCAATTCATCCGCATCATTCTGAAAGTCCTCATGCAGCTCTTTCGTCAGGTTCGACAGTTCCTGCAGCTCCCCAATAGTAGATCGAAGCACCGCAATCTTCTCCAGAATCGAGTAGTACGTATCGTCCGTGCGGCGAGTGCTGTTGAGAGAGTACTCGGAGAGAGTCTGCAGTTGGGCGCGGATTTCACTATCGCAGCATTAGCATAGTTGCTAGGCCAAATATACTTCTTACATTACACTTACTCTTCTCTCACTTTCGCCCTTGCCCGCTCTCTAGCTACATCCTCTGGCCCAATAATTATTTCCTGCAAAGGCTTCGACTCTATACTCCCATCAACCTTCACGACACTCCCGGACCGGCTCCCGGCGACGCTTTGTGCAGGCGACCCTGTAGAGCTGCGGCTGTTTTGTTTTAGGAGGTCGGCAAAGCTTGAGGGCGCGTGCAGCTGGATGGCGGATTGGACGACATCTTTGGTGTGGTGATGGCGGTGGTGGTGCCCGTGTCGGTGGAGCGAGGTGTGCTGCGTCTTCTTTGAGGTATGGGGAGCTGTGCTCACGCGCGCGGGAGCTGTGGGTTTGAAACTGTTGGAGCGCGAGAGCGGAGGTTTCGAAGAGCGGTCGAAGGGCGGGTTGTATGCTTCCATGGCATGGTGTTGCGTGGGTTAGGGGTTTGTTAGGACGATGGAGCTTGGAGTTGAGGTTGAGGTAGACGTCATGGTCCGCGCGACTAGAACACTGCCATGCCGAAACGGGATGCATTCATAAATTCGACGGCACTCAAGCAGAACTTATTCACTTAGGATATAATGTGTTGTATGATGAATTTCATTATCTAGGTATCCCCTCTAGCTTAGAGCTCTTGGTCCATATGCAACTTCCTGGCACCGTGAAGACTCATATGCAACTCTTCATCCCCATGCTAGAACTCTTCCCGAGTCTGTAGACAGTATGAGCAACTATACTGCATGTAGATCCGTCAGATCAGACCCGGTTGGATACAGCAATTCTGCCGGAAAGATTTCCGTTGATTGCTCCTTGTATCGCCATCATCCCAATATGGACAGCCCATGTTTCATAGCTCATGCATCCGTAAGCAAATGCCCCTCGAGAATAAAAGAAGTCCACACGCAATCTCTGGGGGGTATAGTTCATCAAGACTTCAGCATCTTATTCCGCTTCTCCCGCCTCTTTAGCCTCTCGACTCTCTTCTTGTGCATCTTCTCCTCCATCTGCGCGTATCGTTCCTTCTCTGCCTTAGCTGCTCTCCTGGTTTTGATAATCTCCGCGCGTCTCTATAAATTTGTTAGTCCTGTGCGTGTAGGTTGGCCGTAGTGGAGTATTACTAGTCGCTCGGCTTCCTTCTCATCCTTCATTTCCTTCTCCTTCGCCTTGATTGCGGCCAGAATTTTGGTGTCTTCGGCGCGCTTTTGGTACGAGGTCAAACCGGCATTCTTACGGAGGGGTGCCCTCTTTTCGTGCCATTGCTTGCCTATGTGGCGCAATATTAGAACCTGGTTCTCCGCGGGTAACGATGGATTATACATACCATTTATGCGGATTCCTTGAACCGCAGGCCTGGTGACAGGAGCCTCAACAGGCGCCGTGACGGCTTCGACAGACATAGCTTCGTTCGTAGGGGAGGTGGTGCTGGTGGAGAATTGAAGAACTTGGCGTGCTGGAGAAAACGTTCGGGCTGGGATTAAAATCTGATCTGATAAGATGAGACCCGCGATTGCGGGCAGGAAAGCCGATGGCTCGAAGGCAAGCTTCAAGAAAACTCCTCACGGCTAAAGAAAAACTCTGCCTCTGCACTGGCCCGTTCCGTCGACCTGCAGTCACGCCTGACTATGTCTCAATGAGCAAGCCGGTCTCGCTCCTGCGATTCACCGCCGCCCAGCAAATTCGCACATGTTATCCACTCCTGCGCCAACAAGGACAGCCCTTATTAGCCAGCCCACACCGCTTGGTGCACCTTCACACTCAGTCCTTGCCACTACTATTCACTATGCTCGCTCGATAACATTAGTTTGAAAGTTCGCTGCGGGAACAATCACTGTCGTTCTACTCCACTACTATGGATATCGTTGAAGCGATGCCGGAGCCGGTTATGGACCCACTACCAAGGACGGATCTTTCAGGGCACGGCGAGAGAGCAGTGCGGGACATAACTTGCGGTGCGATATCTGGCATCGTAGGGAAGTACATTGAGTACCCGTTCGACACTGTCAAGGTCCGCTTGCAGTCACAGCCAGGCCATCTCCCGCTTCGATACACAGGACCAGTGGATTGCTTCAAGCAGTCATTGCGAAGAGATGGATTCCTGGGGCTATACCGTGGGATTAGTGCTCCTCTGGTAGGAGCTGCTGTCGAGATGAGCAGCATGTTCCTGACCGTATGTGCTTTGTGGAGTTGACAGCATTTTTCATTCTAACTCACACCTCTTCTAGTATCAAATAGCTAAGGATGCTTTGAGAGCGACTATATACCATCCATCCGAGTACTCAGCTACGGAAGACCTCCCTCTCCCCGCTTTGCTTGCTTGTGGTGCTGCAGCAGGCGCCTTGACATCCTTCCTCCTCACGCCAATTGAACTCGTCAAGTGCAAAATGCAAGTCCCATTGGAGAGTTCTGCGATACATCTCAAGCGCCCCGGTCCACTTCAGATAATGGCATCCGTATACCGTCACCAAGGACTTCGGGGATACTGGCACGGCCAGCTGGGGACCCTCATCCGCGAAACTGGAGGCTCTTCAGCCTGGTTCGGCGCGAACGAAGGCATAAAGATCCTGTTTCGCAAATTTGGAAGCTCATCGAAACTAGGGAAGGACGAGGCGCTGCCAATTTGGCAACAGATGACAGCCGGTGCCTTCGCGGGGATGTCGTACAACTTTGTCTTCTACCCTGCCGACACCATCAAGTCGCAGATGCAAACAGAGGATGTCAGTAAAATGACGGGCGGAAGACGCACGTTCGGTGCAGTCGGTAAGACACTATGGGAGCAACACGGTATCAAAGGTCTTTACCGCGGCTGCGGGATTACTGTTGCGAGAGCCGCGCCAAGCTCGGCATTCATCTTCACGATATATGAGGGGTTGGTGCAGAGGTGGCCGTGATGATTTCTATTCGACGAGTCCTGCATTGCATTGGGCGGCGTTCAAGCGTAGAATGGTTCTCGATATTGGGTGGTCGGGTCAGCATTTCAGCATAGACATGATGAAAGAGGAGTCTGGGTTAGATTTGGGCGTAAACAAGAGGATAGAGCAATCAATACCAAAAAGGACGACCTCTAAATATAAGTAAATACGAGATACAGACCTGATGTTGTCATCCCGTCTCCTCTCCCGTGATTTCACATGCAAACCCCAGCCCATCCCAAAACCCCTCTAGCGCGCTGTGGGGAGAGCACCGCCAGGTGGGAGAAAGAGAGCCGAGGCCAACCACCTAGGTCATTCACTCCACGATCGCGTGCGGTTCCAGATCCAACCTCATCCCCCTCCAAACCCTCATTCCCCATGCAACACTCACAACAGCCTTCTCCCACCCACTGTTCCATCCCAACCCATCCGACCTCGCCGCCGCACCACCCTACCTAGCAGCCCGCTCCCTCGAACGACGCATTAAGCCGAGGTCCGCATCCGGACACCGATTGAGCAGCTCACGATACGATGGACAGTGTAAAGGGGATTGAGGTATGCCCATATCGGAGGAAGCTATAGAAGGCGGGAGAAGCTGACCACGCGCAGGCGGCTCTAGAGAAGATCGTACTAGACCCCAAATACCACGATGTCCTGACCCTCGTGAAAGGGATCCGGAACGGTATCGTGTACGGGTCAAAAGTGCGATTCCCACACGCGCTGGTGTATGTTCTATTCCCTTCATCTCCAGAAGAGTATAAGCAACCATCTGCTCTCTCCTACACGCGCTCCACAACACCGCAAGGCGCATTCCCCCAAACACAACCACCAAACATCCAATCCAAAACAAAGCTAATACATATGTCCCTCCAGCATGATCTTCCTCTTCCGCAGCGGCTCCCTGCGCCAAAAAACCCTCCTCGTCCTCCGCGCCACCCGCATGCACGCCCGCAACCTCGGCCTCTTCGCCCTCGTCTACAAAGCCACCATGCTGGCCCTGCGGCACACGTCGCCCACCGGCCGCGAGCGCCACTGGGACGCCTTCCTCGCGGGGCTGGTCGGCGGCTACACCGTCTTCGGGCGCACGATCCACAACTCCGTCTCGCAGCAGATCGTCATCTACGTGTTCGCTCGGGTGGTGCTCGCGATCGCGAAGAACCTGGTCGAGCCGGCGGGCAAAGGCAGGATCGCGGGCGGGGGAGGCGGGTGGGGGCTGATTAAGGACGAGGGGATGCGGCGGGAGGTGATGAGGCAGGGGTGGCCGGTGTTCGCGAGCGTGAGCTGGGCGGCCGTCATGTATATGTTTCGGTGGCATCCGGAGACGGTGCAGCCGAGTTTGCGGAATAGTATGCACTATATGTGGGTTATTCCTGAATATAGGTTGAAAACGGGGAGAGGAGCTAACGAGAAGGCAGATATGTGCAATCGGACCACTGGGATTCGCTGCGGAATTTTATTTGGCATAATAAATGAAAGAGGTGGATGTCGGGGCCCGAAGCAGTGTCTGGCACTCGAAGCTTGATGTTCACTTCTTGTGTATACCTTTTACGAGTTTTGTATGCATCGCATTGGCACATCACGGCTGGCGTTCTGGGCAATCGCTATTGCAGGCGTTCGAGGAGTTTAAGGAGCGTAAGAACGCATGTCTCGTATTATATGAGATATCTAGAGTACGAGTAGACAGAAGGAAAAAAAATCTACGACACAATTATCATGTTTCTCGCTGGTGCTCCTGTGGGGGATTAAGTCAAAGACTGCGTATGAGGGAACACTACTGTCAGGAGGAACCTCCATGGGAAGGAAGCCTGGGGCCATTCATGGGATAGATTGGATTTCGCTGTATGGAACCTAGTATTAAGCCTGGCTTTCTGAAACTGCTCGGGATAACTCCAAGCAGTGGTCAGCCAGTGTGCACTGACGAGGATACACCTCAGTCTTTCAAAATATGATCGACAAGGCATCCAGCTGCGCGTCACACCCCCGAACTAGAAAGTCCATGCAAGATCGCATGCCAGCAGTTCGCATGCCAGCAGCTCGTGGCGCCTCTGGGGTGCTGCGCGGAGATCACACCCGCAGCCGCTGAGGGTCACGCTTCTGCGCGCCCAGGTAGCCGGGACGCGACATAAAACGAGGCAATCAGTGAACAGCCCGATGCCCAAAGTTGCTTGGGTAGGCGTCCTTGAAAGACAGGTCGTCGGAGGCCGCCGCATCTCTTGGTTCTCAAGATGTTGCCCCACATTGCGGGGTAGATATAGGGTTCGCCGGCAGCGCGGCCCTGGCGGTCAACATGTACAGCTGGCGGCCTCGTTGGCGGCCGACTATACTTCGCGTACTGGAGACGTGTCGTATAGCAGTCGTCACTGGGGGCGTGCTATTGGCCAGGGCCTACGGTTAAGAGCGGCGGAGTCTGAGGATTTGCGATGTCGGAAGTCGATGTCCTGGAGTCATAGCCGTTCACCGGAGGATAGGAGCGGATACTGGGGGTGCTTTGAAAGCAGTGGAAGAGGGTCTGGAGGTCTATTGGTTCACTGAAAGCTTGATCGGTCGGGGAAGCAGGCAAAGGTTCCGCGGCAGGCTGGTGGATGCCTGAATCATTGCCTTAATTTGTGCAAGGCTCAATCCCAATATCGGTGAGCGCTATTCCCATGGAAGCGCGCAGTGAGTCTACGGTGTCTCGTGGCGATCGGTCACAGGGTAGGTGATGTCGTGCGGAGATGTGTGACATAGCGATGAGTCTGGTGAGTAATGTCCATATACCTGGCCAACTCCTACGCTTTCTTCATCAATACCTCAATTTCGGAGATTCAATTCGAAGTCGTTTTTGGCGTTTTGGTTCATCTCCACTCATAGCATATACCCTTGTTCTTGTCTTATACGCCAACCATTGAGTAGTCCCTTCAATTCATTAGCCGTTCCGAATTGATACCTTTGCATTGTGCTCTTTCTTGTGTCTCATACAACCGCAAACTTAGGCTCTTATTGAAGTATGATTTAATCTCTTGCTCTGGGTGAATGTCGTTGTATCCAGCATATGCTGACCCGTACTAGTCTTATTCGGGGAAAGACCAACATGCCACTCTTCGAAATGAATGAGCACTATTACCAGAGAACTCCCGATGGTCGACCACCTCAATTGAATATGACGGTCTGTGGCTGCCGGTGTGGTTGCGGATGCGCATTCAGCGGAGAAGGCGAGGGAGGAAACAGTGACGACGAGGGTGCAGCAGCTCGCACACAACAAAAGTTCGAGGAGGCTCCTAACATGAGTTCAGCAGATGAGGTCCTCCGGGAAAGATCTCGCGGACTAGACGATGTGGAACAAGGTCCTTCTCTCCCCTTTCATATCCAAGAAGAAATCCAACGCGTTGAAACTCGACACGGTGGATATATCATGAGTAGAGAAGGATTCCGACCTGACTACTTCGCTGTCGGTTCGGAAGAAATGCAACGGGCAATTTTGCCGGGACGACGGCTTGCTATCGGTCATGCTGAGAGTGACACAGTCACCTCTACGGCGAACGAACCGAATGGCACCGACGATCAGAGCTCAGCGAGCAGCGGTGAACTGTTGAGGATCCCCGATATACGTTACGGCTCCCCCGGGCCCGGGATTGGTGGCTGGGTGACTCTCGCAGATTACTACTTTGTGAAGAGTCCGCTGCGATTGACTGCTCAACGCCAATACTGCCGGGGATTGGTGACGGCACACCTCATTGTGCACGACGACACGACGGATCACCACCATGACAGCGTCTTTCCAAGGCGCGTGACGATTTGATTTGATTCTGGGACGGCTTTTCCATGGTCTCTTATATTTCAGGTGTCTTCTTCGATCAGGAATTCAGGTTTCGGCATTGCGGTGTTGTGCGGTCTCGGGGACGACTCTGTTTATCAAGACGAGGCTTTCGGGGCGATTCCTCGGGTCGGTCATTTGTGTGGAGTTCCAGGGTCGGCTTCGGGGAAGTGGTCTAACGGGTGTCAGCCACAGATCTACAATCCATGGATCCGGGCAGTAATAAGTTCTGTAGTCAGTCGAAACAACTTCATCATCTGGAAAGTCTGATGTGAATATTGAGGTGTGGTGTGCCGAGACAAAAGCCACGTCGGTCGCAGCCGGCCCTTAATGATCCTCTATCAGCATTACGCAGACCTGGGCCTGGAATAGACGCTTTGGCGGACAAGACAGGCCAATGGTAGGAGGGATGGTCAGGAACGCTGGCTGAGGTACTGGCATTGGCGTCTGGATGCATTAGTTCCATGCGGCATGCAAAGTCAGATATCAGTCGATGGTGTGGTTCAGCATCCGATCCCTGCCAACGTACGAGCATCGTGGGCGGCTGGTCCGAGACATCAGAAGTGTTGAGGTTTGATTATGCAGCTTTGTCACATGAGGACGCGGTGCGGGATGAGCGGTTTGTGATGGCGGAGGAGGAGGAATGTGAGTGAGGACAGGCTTCGTGTGGAGACTCAGCCCCTGCATTTCCGCGTGCGCTGGACTCGGCGCCCGCCGTGTTTGAAGCAGCAACAGCAAAGCGTGGAGGGCAGGGTGAGCGATTTACATGGTGTTTTGCTTCTTGCCATCGAGCATGTCGGCAGACGGCGCGTGACGGGAGTTCACGATGCACGAACGAGGTGAGGTGGCGGTGAGCGTGGGACGTTGACCAAGTCAATCTCCACTGCTTGACACGTACGAAGCCGCCGAACTACTGCACCGCCGGCAGAAGACTGCACCTCCAACAAAAAGACGCTGTTCGATTCTGTGGACATGCCAATTGCAAACGGGGGCAGCTCGTCATAGCCTCGTATCAACCCCACCCGAGTGCTTCTCCATGCCGCTGCAGATCTGGAGCCCTCCCCACTGGCCGTGAGTCTCTCGCGAAGGCACGGCAGCCAACAGTAAGCCATCGTCGGGGCTGCGGGAGTCGTTGCGTCCTCCGTGCGGTGCGTGGGCAAGCCACCGTCTGGAGCTGGGACGCTCCTTTAACTGCTCTTATCGGCGTCGTCCAGCACGACTCTTGACAGCTGCTCTGGTCCCTTCTCGTGCCCTTATTTCCCCCGTTGCCCTGCGCCGACTGGGAGCCAGCTGGGTCTACCCACGTCGAGAGGTTTGGACAGGCCGTGAGGCCGTACCAGGGTTAATTGGCCACTCGATCTGCGCTGGCCTGCTCTGGCTCTTCCAGAACGCCGCATCCCGACCTTCAACAACACCTCACCTTATTCCCATCCACCTAGTCCTCGGCGCCCCCAATTCCTCCACACTCCCTCCGTCCGTCCTCCTTCTCCCCTCTGGCCCGCTGCTGCTCTGTGTCGCGCGCTGCGTTGTGTTGTTGCTTTTTCTTTCCTTGACTCTGCCGTTTCACAGCCGACGTCACTCTCCCTAGGGCTGAATCTGCATTTGTTGCCGTTTTTCACATGCGAGCGCTGCGAGGTCACCACAACTGCAACTGGCGAGTTCTGTTTCGCGAGTGACACTTTGGACTACGGTATTATTGTTCGACTGGTGAGTTCCCCAGTCCGCCTGTTTCCTGATCGTACTCGACACGCGACTGACGCAAGGCACAGTTGAACCCACATTTTCTACATTTGCCCACAAACAAGCTTCCTAGGTGCATCACTTACCACTCTCCTCTCCTATCTTTCGTGTCGACATATCTTCGGGCATTGCCAGCCAATATTATACTTTTAATCGGAAACAATCGGAGACGGATCCCTCATACCTACTAGGAAGAGGCAGAGAATCCGGGAGACTGGGAACCACACACATAGTGCAGCCCAGGTGTGGACGAGAAAGCACTTGCTCTTTCCGAGAACACCCGTCTTCCTGTTCCCCGCAATCCAAACGACCGCCCACACCTTCACCCAACGAGATTGCCCGGGCAAGTCAGCGGACTGTAATACCGATTCATACTAGAGCGATCTGAACGTGGAAGCTGTTTTGATCGCTCTAGGCATGTGAATGTCCGCTTGGCTATGCACATAAACAGTTCCTCGGCCATCCGCATTCAGTAATCGACACTGCAACTCAGTCATGTCGTCCTCAGCACCCCCAAGACGTTTCAAGGCGGAACCTATCGAAACCACTGTCAAGTCTTCCAGAAATGCGGCACCAAAGCAGTCAGAGACAGCTGATTCCTCTAAGCCCGCTGAGGCATCACCTAAAGCTACTCGAAGGTTCGCTCCGCAGCCTGTCGAAACCACCACTAAGTCGAACCGAAAATTCGCCGCCGAACCATTTGAGTTCACCTCTCGAAGCTCAAAAGCCAAGCCGGAGGATGAGTCGAGCAGCAAAAAGCCACGAAAATTCAGCCCCGAGCCGATTGAGACTACGACAGCTTCAAGTCGGACCAAGGCCAGAGAAAAAGATGAAGCAAGTAACGCTAAAGCATTAGAAGCATCTTCTCCTGAGAACTCTGCAGCATCGCAAACGTCGGAGAAAAAGCCTAGGAGACGTTTCACTCCTCAACTAATAGAGACGGCGAAACGAACACGAAAGGCTGGCGATACAGGGCCAGCGATACTTCCATCTGATAAAACAGAAGCAACACCGGGCGATGGGCAAGAGAGTCCAAGGAAAGCGCGGATACGACCGCCTCCTGCACCGCCAGGGAACACTCCCACCGCCTCTGTCCACGTTCCCCACTTCCTTGACATTGATCGAGCCAGATCTCCATTGTCGCTGCGCTCCAGTTCGCGAGGTAGTGTCCGATCGCGACATTCGTTCCGGGTTCCTGACCTTGAACCTATCGAGTCATCTGAGTCAGAAGGCTCTATTCCACCATCTCTGTCAACCTCTCCTTCGGCCTCCTCCGACCAATCATATATGTATAAGGAGGCTACCAGAATGAGAGAAAGTGTAGATGACAGATTTTCGGGATACCTACTTGAGCTTGCTGCAAGAGCAGCTGAGAAGCAACTCCGGGATCAGGCTATGGCAGCCTTCCCCAACGACGATTACCATGAGCCTGTCGACCATTTCATAAACCAAGAGCTGGATGATACCAGTGTTATCATGTCCTCGGACGAAAGAGAATCATATGACGAGGCATATGGTCGCCGGGAATCATCATCATTCAAGACTGTGAACTGGGAGTTGCTAGCCATGCAGCAACACCGGGAACGGTTGGAGCAAGAGAGGGAGAGCGAGAGGCAGCGGGAGACCCAGGCCCAGGCTGGAAGGCCTGCTTTGGCACAGAGTCCTTGGGGGAACCCAGCATCAGCAATGTTCACAAACTCTTCAGCCAACAGGAACATCATTGGAGGCTGGCAGAAAGACGGCGAGCTCGAGCGGATGAGGAGCGGTGCGAAGCCGCCTATGCTTGGAAGCGACATCGAATTCCCCAGGTGTAGTTCACCTGAGCCAGCTCGATTCGATCCGACACAAGGCTCACACGCCCTCAAAAACTCCATGTGCTATCTTACAGAGCAGACCCAACAGGAATCTGAACCCGAGGGTCTGTGGCACTGCAAAGAAACCTCCAGCAACCGCGCCTCCCTTTGGTCCCAACCCAATAGCCGCACCCCGAGTGCTGGCGGTCTCTGGGGCGGGTTCTGCCAAGCAGGCACAGGAAACACACCCCCTCGAGGTCCATCAGGCCTCATGACCCCGATGGTCGAGGTTGGCAACCCCTTCGAGATATCTTCGCCCCCCTCATCCCCTGTCAAGAATGACCTGCCCCCTTCCCCACCCCCTTCCAACCCCGACATCACCAGCATCGACGACCGCCTCAGCAACGAAATAGCCCTTCAGAAGGAATTCAGCGATGACTTCGTCACGCAGGTCTACAACTACCTCTCACTCGGCTACCCTTCCATCGCCCGTAACTTCGACGGCGAACTCTCCAAGATCTCGCGAATTCCGATTCTAGAACTAAGGCAGGACGACCATCTCGCGACATCGCGCGGGTATATCCGTCTCGGCGAGGATGGCAATCTGAGGGATAGCGAGATCACCGAGGAGACGTGTGTGAGGTGGAAGGCGCTGCGGTCGTATATCCAAGAGTGGGCGAGGCAGCAACCCAAGATGAGCCCGGTGGATGGAACGATGGGAGTTGGTGTTGCCGTGAGGAGAGGCAGTTGGGCATTTTGAGAATGCGATTGAAGAGAGATTGAGTTATAGCGTTGTTTTTTTGATGGTTTGATTTGATTTTGGAGTGGCGTTTTCTAAGCTGGTAGCTTGTGGACTGGCGGCACTTGTGGGTGGTGGTACATGCAACAAGCGCTTTTGAGCGTTGGTTTGGTTTGGCAAGCGGGCGGGCGGGCATTCTAGGCGGTAAAAGGCGTTGTTGATTGCTTGTTGTTTGATGGGGACAGGGGAGCATGATACATTCTTCCTCTTGATTTCGCTTCTAGTACATACTTGTAGCTGGTGTGTTATTGCGGTCGGCAGACCGGCTAGGTTATTAAAATCATTTTGACCTTCATGTTCTCAGGCCAGCATGTGAGTTTGAGAGCTAATCATCGGGCTGAATGTGTACTAATCTACGAAGCTTGACTGTAACATGACTTGTTTTAAGATGACACCATTGAGAGTTACGTGGCTGTCACGTGGCTGTTAACCTCCATCCAACTCGCTTCTTTCAACCAGCACCACCCCACTTGATCTCCTCATGATACGACTTATACGGTATCCTACGACCCTCCAGATCCATCCGCCCGCGCGGTCCAGGCCGCATCTTATTCGCATCAACGTCGAAACAGCCACTCAAGACCTCCTTTGAGCACAGCGGCCATACCTGCTTCTTCTCCATATCGCAGAAGCCGCCCTCGGTCAGCGACACAACATCCGGTCCTTTCGAAGTCCTGCTACTACACAAATGCGTCGCATTGTGGTCCTCGTGGTGGCTCCTCACAACAGGGCCCGCCATGAACGGCGGTGCAGGATTGGCGTTCGAGGGCTTCGCCTCGCGTTTCGAAGGGGGAGTTGAGCTGCATCCGTCCTTGTTCTTGCTGTGCTTGACCTTGTAGCGCCACCGCTTCTTGTCGAGCACGGCCTTGGGGTCCTGGTCGCTGTTGTCGGCGTTGTGGTGGATGAGGTCGTAGAAGATGGGGATGGCCGTGTCTTTTGCGATTTTTGGGCCAGGGCTTGAAGCGTGCATCGCTTTTGCACATCGTGGCGGGCTGGTCGTGGTATCGCTGGGCGCGGTCGTCGGTGTCTGCGTTCTTTGAGGAGCTGAAGTCGAGGATGTGGTAGGAGAAGCCTTGGAAGCGGAGATTGTTGGAGGCGTTCTTTGTCAATCCAGATGCAGTTGGAGCTGCGGTTGAGTTGGGCTGGATCGGTGTTAGTGTTGGAAAAGGATGTTTTCGGGAGAAGGGAGCATTCGGCTTACTCTGTGGTGCTGAGGATGAAGAATCGAAGTTCGCCACGACGTTATTAGAATAGTACTAGTCTGCATTCAAACCAATATTGAAGCACTTAATGCAGTAGCAGTACGAAAATGTGCCTCCACTCTGCGGCCATCGCGGTCACTGCGCGAAGTAGTCTTGCACAACTTAAGCACCTCGGAGTAAGTGTCTTGGGGTTTCTTTTGGATACAGTGTCTGGACATGCGTCTGTGAATTCCTACTCATCACTGAGGCCCTCCGTTGCTTCATTAGAAATCCAGATGAGATGTAAAATTTAATACAGTGCAGTCCAGAGTGGCCCAGAACGCTTGTATTCGCCCTATGACGCTATTCCATTTGGGATAGCTAGACGTATTATTAGAAGTCTAGAATAAAGGTACACAGCTAAAGGTAAAAGAGAGCGTACAAACTCATATCCTGGTACTGTACCGGTAAATAATATCGTATGAAGCGGCCCAGGTATTCAGAGGCTTTTCAGATCGGGTGACTTTCATCCCATAGATACTCTAGAAAATATTTTGAAAGACTCTGAACCATGACTTCCAGATACACGGAACTTATGTCATAGAGCTGTAGCACTATACCGTAGTCGCTCCGCTCACCCTAGCCCAATATCCACCCATATACAATACACCTGGAGAGCCACTCGGACCTCAAGACATGTACTCGCACTATCTTCATAGAGGTGGTACGCGCTGTACATCATCTTCAAGTTCAACAGGTCGACTGGGCCCGCCCCGAGCTTGAAAAGGAGGTGTACTACATCAGGTTGACCACTATACAGGGCCTGGATCACCAAAGACGACGTATTCTTCGGCAGCCCAGTCCCCTCGACATTGAATTTGAGACCAACAATCAACCAATGGAGGAACTCCACTTTTCCATTGGACGCAGCATCTTTCATCGACTCGTTGCGCAAAGGCTCTGCCGAGGGAGAGTGTACGTCCAGCCCTCGGTCTATGAGGTACTGAGCGATATCGAAATTGCCACTACCGGCTGATTCGACAAAATCTCCGTATCCCTTGCTCCTATCATTAATGTTATCGCCATATTCCAGTAGTATGTCTGCAACGTCGAAGTGTTTCCGATTAATAGCGAGATTGAATGCATATATATATGCCTCTTAGGACACAGCGTAGTCGATGCACCACGCGCCAGGAGAGCGCGTACGATATCGCAATGACCGCGGCGACATGCGAATCGCAGAGGGGCGAATCCGGGATATAATTCGTCATTGGAATCCAATGGGGCACCGGCATCCAACATGCATCAACGCAGTACAGCCATAATCCGCAGCCACTCAGCAGATTTCGCGTTTCACCCGACTAGCCGCTGGCGCACGACCAGTGTATTTGTCAAAGAGCCTCATTGCAATATCAGAGTCTTTGGCACTGCCGCCACAGCTGCCCATCCAAATATACGAGTGGAAGTATCCAAGTCGTATCTTGGTTCCAAAAGTAGCTCGACAACGTCTGGGCGTCCACTAGCTGCTGCAATGTAGATTGAGGGTCTCTTTTCGTGCATAATTCTGGGGACTCGGTGGATGTCGGCGCCTTGGTCTAGGAGTAGCCGGACTGTGTCACTATGACCCGCATAGCATGCTGAATGAAGGGGGCTACCAAAGTACTTTGTTTCGAAGTCGATGTCTGCTATGCTCGACAACATGCTTTGTTGGACCTCATCATAGCGTGCGGCTATTGCAACGAGGAGGCTACACTGGCTTATGTCTATTCGACTCTCTTCATCGTCTCTCCAGTCGCGAGGAAGCATCTGGCGGTCGTAGTAGGTGTCAGCCATTAAACAGCTGAACATGTTTGTCGCCTCCAGATTGCCAAGTGCAGTGCGGCATACCGCTTTAAGCACTTCGTTTTTGGCCACAGATTTCTCGCATTCGGCAAATCGTGACATCAAATCTTCGACGACGGCATGAATAGTCGTTGCGAGCTCAGTTGTTGCTCGAGACCCACATGCTAGCCGTTCTACTGCGAGTTGGGCTCCGAATTCGGGATGTATCTTGCGCCATGATGGCTGAAACGCGTATACGACATCCTGCAACCGCTGTCTTGTAATAGTTTTCGTTACTTGAATGTCGAATTCACCTACATGGTAATATCATGAGCCAGGGCAAGGAAGCCAATAGATGTGAATAGTGCTGTACCTACTATTTACCAGGCGCAGACTTAAGGCTTCCAATATTGTTCCTTGTAGCGCTGCCTGGACAATGATGTCTCGGAAGAGGACTAGAGGTAACTCTGAGATATCCATAAGAAGAGAACTTGATAGAGTCGGCCTTCAACTTCAATTGAGGGTATGAAGGGACACGTGTGGCGTCTCACGCCTCATGAGGTACAACCAAACGGGCGCGCTACACTACGCCGCACACGCATGTGTTGTGATATCGGCTTCCACAATGTATCCTTGTAAGATGGAAAGAATGTGCCCTGATTCTGTCTACACTCTAATGAAGGAAAAGATGAAGGAGCTCTCAAAGTTGACGATAGAAGAATGTCCCAAGACTAGGTAAGAAGTATACAGTTAGTGCGAAGACTGGCTGAGTCATCCATAGCGATTTAAATTTCACTTGTTCTAGGTATTTGCTAGGTAGTGCGGAAATTAAGAGAGCGTATTATAACCTAACTAGACCTGGAACAGACTTGACAACCCTCTTTGAGACGGCTTGAGGGTACTTCTTTTGACTTTTGCTTCTCCTCAAATCCAAATTCAACCGTCACACTGTAGATATGCTACTCTATCGTGACGTCGTATCCAAGAAACAAAGTCCCTCCACCGTCCAATCGGCCTGTAATCTGCCATCCTGGAAGATTCATGATGACAAACTCGGCTTTCGATTTTCAGCGACGACTCTAAATCCCGCACAAGAAACGGCGGGAATGAAGCAAGCCAATAACGACATCTCGAAAGTCCTCTTTCTACGTTTCAGGGCCGATAGGAAGTGATAAAGGCAGTGCTAGCGTCCGATCTCTGCGGCTCGGCGGGTTGTCACTCCGCATTTCGAGGTGGTAAGACCGAAAAGGCGCCGCTGATTGGTCAAAGTGGAATGTGTATATATATCTGAGGTGGAACCTTCGCTCTTTCTTGCTGTCAATCTTGAAGACATCAACGGATCCTCCCTTCCAGAAACAATCGGACCTCCAAACCTCTTCACATCACCTCCAGCAACATGTCGTCAATCGCGAAATCCAACATCCTCGTCCTCGGCGCAACAGGTATTCCATCTCACTCACAAGGCCTCTTCCTTTTTCTAATAATACTAACAATATCTTATAGGCGCCACCGGCCTCATCTTCACCCGCCTCGCCCTCAAACAATCCCCATCACCAAGTCTAACCCTCTTCGCGCGCTCCGCCGCCCGCGTCCCCTCCGAATTCAGCGCCTCCTCCCACGTGCGCATCGTCGAAGGCGCGCTCACCGACCCCGCCGCCCTCTCAACCGCCATGAAAGACGTGACCACCGTCGTCTCCTTCCTCGGTGCCTACCCGACTCTCCGCGCGTTCATCTACCGCACCAAAACCACCCCCATCGCCGACGCCTTCCCAAACGTCTTCAATGCGATGCGAGACGCGGGGGTCAAGCGCATCTTCGCGCTGTCAACGCCCGCATTCGAGGTTCCGGGCGAGGTGAGAGGTTGGGGGTGGTATCTGAGTATGAAGCTGCCGCCGTTCATGGTGCCGCAGGGGCACGCGGAGATGAAGGGGATTGCGGAGCAGGTGGCGGCGCAGAAGGATCTGGATTGGACCGTGTTTCGGGTGCCGTTTTTGGAGAGCGAGAATGGGGGGCCGGAGAAGGAGGTTGTGGCGGGGACGTTGTCGCCGGAGTTTAAGGGGAAGACGGCGCTGTCGAGGGAGGGGTTGTGTAGGTGGTTGCTTGGGGAGATTGAGAAGAGGGAGTGGGTGAAGAAGGCGCCGATTTTGGGGAATGCGTGATCGAGGTCGGTTTGAGTTGGTGGCGGGTTAGTCGGGGTGGCGTTGGACGTGGCTGCGATGAAGTAGTCGGTACCGGAGGGTACTTTCCTATTGATGGCGATTGGTATGGTTTTCCGGAATTATACATTTTAGCGTTACTTCTCTCCTCAGTATACCTTTTTCAATATCAAATGGCTATTCCTATCAGTCCCTGCTAATACCTGGCAGTTAGTGGATTGTGGGGTACAAGGCTCGGAAGCGGGGAACCCATGATTCGAAGTTGCCGACAGGTCGTCCTACCTAGGCAGATCTCCTACTCAGAAATCATCCAGCACGATAATGCGAAAGCTTGGTTACGCAAAACGATATCCACTCTCGGGCTCAGAACGCTTGCGGGGTCCCGGGTGTTGCACAATATCCGGACTCGGTGGGCGAAGGGCGGTTGTTCATAAACGCATGCAGGAACCGCCGCATTCCCTTCGTAACATCATTGGAGCCAAATATCCCAGCCGCTACTCTTGGAGCCTGACTCATTGACAGGTTCTTCGTTAACAAGTCCATCATGTCTCGATCCACAGCACACGACGCGCGCAATGTCGAGCTTCGTAAAGCATTCGTGGATCCGTCTGTAGCACAATCAGTTTCCATTCCGACTGCTGTGATCATTGAGACTCGTTGCAAAAAGAACAATGTTGCTTGGAAAGTTGAAGACATATCCAATAGCTCGGGCGCACGCATACATTGGATTGGAGATCGTTCAGCGCAGAAAGCGATACTATGGTTTCATGGTAAGAGATAATCTGGTTGCAAAGACTGACATTCCCTAAGAATCGGCCGGGCTCAGCGAGCCTACGTGTCACATTCCCCATGAAAGCACATCGAGGCCGTGGTAATAGACTACTACCTCTGATACTAACCTTAAGTTAGGCGGCGGCTTTGGACTTCCCCTGTTCGATGGACATGTGATATTCCTGATCGAATGCCAAAAGCAACTGCAAACAAGAGGCGAAAACGTAGTAATAGCCTTGTTAGAGTACAGTTCGTACTTCCTTCACGCACCTAAAGCTTCGAGATTAAAACTGATGCTTAATCGCGTAGCTCTGACGACGGAAGCCAAATACCCAACGCAGTATCAGCAAGGCGCAGAAGCGCTGCGGCACGTACTTTCGAAAGGCTACACGGCTAGAAATGTGAGAATCGTCCGCAACGTTGCGACACACCGACTGATGGATCGCAGGTCGTAATGGGCGGTGACTCCGCTGGTGCCAATCTTGCGCTGGCAGTCATATCATCAATTATGCACCCTCACCCTGACATCAAACCTCTCTCTCTATCCGGCCCGTTAGCTGGTCTTCTACTCAACGGCCCTTGGGTGACCTTCTCGACTGATGCTAAGTCTTTTCAAGATAACGCTGCGAAAGATATCCATGGCGTTGACGGACTGCACTGGTTCACGCGCAAATTTGTGAACGACGATGAGAAGAACAACTACACCGAGCCTCTGGGTGCGGATATCTCATGGTGGAAAGACCTCCCCGCTAAGGAAACCATTGTTCTCGCAGGAGGACACGAGCTCTTCCTGACCGATGATAGAGAGTTTGCTTCGAAGCTGAAGGACGCGGGAGTGAGCGTCAAATACGTTGAATGTGAGAACGAGGTTCATATCGATTGCTTCCTCGATGCACAGTTTGGCACTGATCCCGGGATGATGACATTTGCGACTTGGGAGTGGTCAGTGGATGTGTTCTCCGGGGTTAAAGGCAAGCTTTGAGGTAGCCCAGAGCAAGATGTTTCCAGCTCCCCTAAATCTATGATCTGGAATTTCGTCTAAGGCCTGGGGAAATCATGGATATCATTTTTATGTATGTCGTGTTGAGAATATATTCTGTAGTCGCTATTTGTGGTTCCTTTGTGAGTCGGCCTATTTCTTTGACATACGATATATCGGTATTAGAACAATGAAGTGAAGCCAGGCTGTAGGCCAATCGCTGGGACGTCTTTAGATGATAAAACTATTGAGGATGGAGAAAAGGTTGATGGAGAAGACTGCAGGGTATGGTAACAGATTTAAAGGGACTTTCGCATAGTCAGCCCGACCTTGATAAGAGGACTCTCAAACAGAGTTGAAGGAGCTTAGGTAGCTATACTAGATTCTGTAGATTCTATGTTATCTTTGCTTTATTTAGGCTTAAAGTCTCTCCTATATATCGAGGACTTTGAGGATACATAGCACCCAATGCTCACACGTTGCCTCTAGAGAGATTTTCATGCAATTAATGCCCTCGCGTCTTTATACAAAACACGTACCCTGTGGGCGTAAATTTCAAGGCTAGAACCCAAGAATCGTTGCCACTTAGCTTTAGATGAGAATAGCAGCCTTCTCGTCTACTCGACCCTTTAATACCTGTCCTAGAATTACCACAATGCCTCCGCTAGGATTTTTTTTTTGAATAAGCCCGGCGATGATCTGGAGGCAAGGAGGGCAAGAGAAGAGAAGTCTCTTCACGAATATGCTCAACTAGAGCTTATACGAGTATTAGTGAAAGGGAGAGGTTTCTACCCATTAAAGAAGCCCTAAATAAGAGTAATGGCAGCTCTAGTGCCACCACTTTGCCAAGAGACAGTATTTTGTGTCCAAAATACACCAACACGCCTGTATCTTTTCCCATCCGCAGGTCGCAAAACCATTCCAAAATATACTTTCCTCTTCACACGCGCCAACCGGCCAAGTTTCATCAACAGAGTTCCGTCATTCCTCCCTCCGTCGTCCATCAACCGCATCTTAGCATTAGGCGTATCGTCCCACACAACCATGGCCATCGGGTCCTTGGGGAGAACATCAGCCTTCAAGATCAAGGTAGCACTTTTCAGACGTCCAAACCTGGCCTCTGGGGACAGGGGCTCAGCGACGGCAGAGACGACCTCCGCAGTCACGTCGGTCAGAAGCTCAAATTGAATTGGCTGCTTAGCAGCTATCCAGGACCAGCTCGGTGCTAAATACTCCTCTTCGTCGTCTTCTGGCGAAGCATCATCCTCTTCGTTTGGTTGCTTTATCCAAGCCAGCTGTATAGGCAGACACTCTACCCAATGTCCCGCAACGTAATCACCACCCCACAACCCTTTGAGATAGGTGGCGATACCGGCCAGCGCTGGCAGCCGATCTTATTGCACTGTGATGAATCGACTGCTGAACGCAACCATGACAGTGGTCCATAACTCGCGCTGTTTCGTTGTCATGGCCCACACGCTCAGAACGCCTCGTTCCTTTGTCCAAAACTCTGAATCATAGACTGGAGCGCTTATCAAAGGGACTCGCTTTGCTGGCCCACGATAGCGAGTCAGATTGGGGAACAACGGCTCTAGTTGTATCTCCTGGCACCGCCAGCGGACGTCGTCCGGGCCGAAGACGAGGAGGCGAGGAGAGAGCATGTGCTCTTGAAAGGCCCAAGCACGAGTGTCGAGAGGCCAAGGCCTCCCTAGCTCGGCGGGTCGTTGCCCTTCCGGGCTTTGGATAGCAAAATCAACTGCTAGCTGTTCCTGCCTCGTCCAGTCGCGATAGTCAACGGGATATGCCTTGATCTCCTTCATCTTACTGAACGCTATATCCTTCTGTTCCTGGCTGGGGACAGCTAGAACTTTGCCAAATTTGCCATCCGGAAGAAGGAAAGGAAGCTCGCAACCCTCAGGGGCACAGGGCTTGCGGAGGAACCCTTCGGTGGCAGCGGCGGAAGATGATGCTGAGATAGTGAGGGTAGCGTTCGAGTAGATTCTTCCCATTTGGCTGATTTCTTTGTTTTTTGAGGTTTCGTCATCTTGGACAATGCATAGAGCGTCCACCCATATATACCGAATGCCTAATTTGCGGGTTACAAGTATAGCATCTTGGATAGTCTGAGACAAGGTTTGTAGAGCGATACCGGTCATGTTTGCTTGTAGTGTGTCTTTGATGGTCATGACCTGTGGACCTCCCCAGCAGTAGCTGAGCGCAACGTAGTCGCCCCGCTCGTCGGGGGCGGACATGTGAACTTTCGGATTTTGATGGAAGATGTCAAGGACGGTAGTCGGGAGAGGGGGAATCTTCGTGTTTGGGCAGGACGCGTGTTTCGAAAGGCAGTCAAGTAGCTTACGTTTCGCCTCCTGTAAATGCCGTTCTCCGAACATGTCGTAGGATTGGGGCAAACATCCGGTGAGATACTTCGAAGAAGGGTCCCCTGGAATAAATCTCTGTCAGCATTGTGTTCATCTGGAAAGTATTGCCAAGCCTTACCTGGTAACTGGTAGATAGTCAGGTACCGTTCATCAAATGCCACGTTACTGAAAACAAACCCTATCGAGAGGATGCTCAATGGGTATCCTTTGACTTCGCTCTGTACGGAGGGTGGGGATTTCTGTGCGCAGACTGCTCTCACGACACAGTCCTCTTCAGGGTCAATCTCATTACCCGGATTTTTCGGCAAGGAACACCATGTCGGATAAAGCACCTTGCATAGCGGACAGCCATTCTTCATACCTGCCAGCATTGCATGCTTGCCATGATAGCGATAACCTTTCTTAGAGCCCAAGGCCTTCAAGCCTTCTACGGTCCCGAACATGGATATGCATGGGACACAGAACCGTTCCCGCGCAAAAATCGGATCGATCTCGACGGCTTTGCTGTCAGTATTGCCCATCGCCGCAGGTTTCAATGTAATAGAGAAGTCGAGGGTGTTACAATCCAACTTTGTGAAATGTCAAGTACTTTGAATAGCCAGCGAGCTGGCTATCGTTCGGGAACGCAATGATAAACGAAAATGTCAAAATCCTGATCGCGAAGTAATAAAGATAGGTGTACAAGTTAAACCCTCAAAAATGTGAGGTGCAAACCTCAAGATCCCGAAGTGTTTGATTGCGATTCGATAGGAATAGATACATACTGTAACGATCCATAGAGGTGCCACCAGGTCGACCTCCTGGCAGATCCTCAGGGACGACCGCGACGTTGGTACTCAGCCGTAAAGAAACATGACTAAGTGATGCACCGGGACCGGGCGCCCTTGAGGCCGAACCTCCGACTTCACTTTCCCCACTTCATCTCTTCTCCCACGTCTCTTCTCGCTTCTCGCTATCCATGCTACCACTACCTCCGTACCGCACTGCCGTTGACTTAGCGCTCTTACGCTGCTCGTCTCGCTATGATTTCAGCTGACTCAAGTATTTGAGGACCCCTATATTTCCATTACTGTCGTGGGCAGCTGGCACCCCGCCCAGGTGGTCATACCGCATTGACACATGAAAATAGCTACCAGGTGGACCTAAAGGCAGATCCTCGGGACCTTAATCCTTCTCTCACGAATTTCACTCGTTTTTCTGGTAGTGCGATCTCGCTAATGAGTCAGCATATTCCATCCTGTGCAGCTCAACCGGAAGGTAATTTAAACGATTAAGGTTACCGCAGCCCGGTTAAATTCGGAATTAAATGAGTCACCATAACTAGGATCTGTTACCTATGACACCGGCACACCGGACCCAAAGGACACCGGACCAGAAGCGAGTCTTATGTCCATCGGTGTTCGAGTGGACGAAAACAATATAAAGCGGGGTTTGATATTCCACTCCTGCCAGTAGTCTTCAAAGCATTTCTCTACCGATATTCTCTCTGTCCCTCTCTTCCACCAATCCAAGTTTAACTGGTCGCTCACCATGACCGACATCGAGACTAGCTTTCAGGCGGCCATCGACGCTGGCAAGATCAACGGGGTCGTCATCTGTGCCACCGACGCCGAGGGTCGCTTCGTCTACGACAAGGCGCTCGGGGAGCGCACCCTGCTATCTGGCGAGAAGCGGCCGCAGCAGCTCGACGACGTGCTGTATCTAGCCTCAGCCACCAAGCTGATCACCACCATCGCCGCCCTTCAGTGCGTCGACGACGGCCTACTGACCCTGAACGGCGACTTGTCCTCTGTCGCACCCGAGCTCGCCGCCAAGCAGGTCATCACTGGCTTTTCCGACGACGGCGAAACCCCCCTGCTTGAGCCGCCGGCCCGGCCCGTCACGCTCGAGATGCTGCTAACGCACAGCTCCGGCATCAGCTACGACTTCATGAACCCGCACGTCGCCAAGTGGTGCGAGAAGTTTGACTCTCTACAAGGAGACGGGCGCCGGCCGGTCGAGGAGGCGTTCAGCTACCCGCTTGGCTTTCAGCCTGGTACCAGCTGGATGTACGGCCCCGGGCTCGACTGGGCCGGCCGCGTAGTGGAGCGGGTGACGGGCCGCACATTGGGCGAGCACATACAACAACGCATCTGCGACCCGCTCGGTATCGACAGTGCACAATTCTACCCGGTCACGCGCGAGGGCTTGCGCGCCCGTCTCGTAGACCTCAACCCGCAAGACCCCGACGCCCTTGGCCGCGCCGTGCTGGGCGGCGGCGGCGACATGAACAAACGCAGTCGCGGAGACTTTGGCGGCCACGGCCTGTTCATGGCAGGTGCCGACTACGTCAAGGTTCTGCGCTCGCTGCTAGCCAACGACGGCAAGCTGCTCAAACCCGCCACTGTTGACGACATGTTTCAGCATCACCTCAGCCCTGAAGCGACCGCGGGGCACCAGGCTGCGCTGGCCAGTCCCATGGGAGTATTTTTCCGCGTGGGCACCGACCTCGGAATGAAGGCCGGCCACGGCCTGGGCGGCTTGCTGACGCTGCAGGACGTCGATGGCTGGTACGGCGAGCACACGCTGACCTGGGGCGGTGGCTTGACCCTCGCCTGGTTTATCGACCGCAAGAACGACCTGTGCGGCGTTGGGGCAGTCCAAGCCGCGCTGCCGGTTGACGGTGAAGCGGTGACCGCGCTAAAGCAGACATTTCGTCGCGATATCTACCGCAAGCACGCCACGTGGAAGCAGCAGCAGTAATAGCATTGGGAATTATGAGGATGAAAATGGGAAAGTATAAAACGACTTTTACTATTTCGTTCGTTCGGTAACCTTTTTAAAGACCTTGGGACGAATTAAGTAACCTCAAACTTGTGTGCACCCCTAGGAACGCAATTCCATGCCAAGCCTCATGCGCGTGTAATGATCTAAGAAAGACGTCACCAGATCGACCTCATGGCAGACTCTCTGCTCTGCCCCGAGCCAGCTCGGACTTCGAGGTGAATGCGACCACAGCAGCCATAGAGTAAGAAGATTAGCGGGTCGTAGCAAGTATAAGTACATGTCAAGTCCAAAGCTTGCGCGCTTCGTTCGCTGTATAATCACAACCTCTATTGGCTGAGATTCAACATACTGGCCATTCATGCCATCTGGCCATGATACATACTGGGAATACATCTCCAGTTTATCGGTTTCGCTACTACTGTTGATGAAAATCACCTCGGGCCGCTTCTTTGAGGGCAGCGGCTCCTCTAACAAACCCTCTTTCCCTCCTAAAACCATGTCGAAGAATGCGGTGGTAAAAGTCGTTTGAATACGACGCATACGTGAGCCGTTGATCGCACCCACCAAAGTTGCATTTACGCGTCCCCTCAAAACCAGTAGCTCATACCATAGGTCGACGTCAGAGAAGCCCAGGTGATGGGAGCCGTTGACCCCCAGTTCCTCCCACCATGCAGTCTGGTCTCCTTCAAACCAAGTCTAGCTATACCCATAGACAGTGTCATCATATTCGTGTTGGCCGTCGCAAAGACTGAAGAAGGGTTTCTTGACATCGACGGTCTCACCGAAGAGAATGTCAATGAAAGCACCGTCATAATTGATCCCGGGGATAACGTCGTCGTGTCGAGAGACGATATCGGTGTCAACACTTCCGCCCATGGAGAATCCAAAGTGCATGTAGGTGGATATGTTGAAGGGAGCACGGAACTCTTCGACGAGAGGCGGGTAGAGCTGGAGCAGGGCGTCGAAATCGGTCTTGCGATTTCTGTTGACTTTGTAGAGGAGAGTGTCAATGGCCCAGTCGTAGTCAATCGGAATTCCGTACACTCCGCCGCCTCCATACGGTATCTTCAAGTACGGTGGCCCGCCCGGATGATCGACGCACAGAACTGTGTAGCCTTATGAGGCCATGTCTGAGGTAACCATCGTGCCAGATGAGCAGGGCATGCCTGCGCCGGGAGAGAATAAGAGCGTTGGATACTTGTTCATTCTCATGGGACCAGGTAGGACGGGTGGCTGCCATTGGAGATGGAGTCCACAGCTTCTGCAACTCGCCGTCGGGGATCCTCCATCCTTTCTCAATCAGATGGGCTAGCTCGAAGTCCATATACTTCAAGGAGGTTTCTGCGGTCGGCGCTCTGGCCGCTGAGTACAAGATAGTCACCACGATGAATTCGCCAGTGTTATTTGACCTTAAAGCGCGACAGGATCGTCATGAGTGGTGTGATTGAATACGTGCTGTGTCTTCCCCACATGGTATCTGCCAGACGGCTTCGGGAAGAACACTTTGTCGCTCGCGGCGGCTACAACCGCCACGAAAATCGTTATAAGTGCCGAAGATATCATGTCGAGAGCTCAGGAAGATGATGAGAAAGAGCTCTGAAATTCTCAATGTGCCCATAATTCTGGGGTTGTTGGTAGCGCATCCTGCGGGCGGGCATGGTTACCTAGATAGTGACCTTCCCCATTGGCAGTGATCATCCAGCGGACTTGGCGGTCGATGCTTTGGCGAAGAGTCGTCGATTTGGAGTTTGAAGCGTCCTTGAGATGTCTTCATTCCTGAAGTTTTTTACGGAACTTGATCGATTATTATAAGGGGAGGGCTAATCGTACACCCCCTAACGAATAGTCGTACACCCCCTAACGACTAATCGTACACCCCCTACCCCCCTGTCACTTCACCGCCTTCTAATTGGCTCGGAGGCTTGCTCCGGAGCCTCCGATTGGCTCGCTTCACTTGTTCACTAATTCCAGATGCACTCTCCAAATACAGCGGCGAACAGAAGCAATTAACGCATGCTCCTCCATCTACACAATACACTCACCATGGCCCTCCAGCCGCCACCGCTGGCGTATTACAACTCCTTGGAGGAAGCTGAGGAAGCGCTTACACGGCATGCAAAAGAGCAAGGCTACGGGCTCACAAAATACCGTTTAAAAACGGATAAGACAATGGCGAAGGCCATGAGGAAGATATGGTTCCGATGCTGCTTTGGAGGCAGCTCACTGCCTACAAACCGCGTGCGTAGCATATCTACAATCAAGAAGGAATGTACAATGTACGGTACGCTCACTCGGCAGCCTATGAATATGGCAGGTGAACGTCTGTGGCTATGGGAGACGACAGAGGCAGCTCATTTAGGTCATACCAGCACCCTTAAAGCCACAGCAGTACCATGCAACAGGAAGCGCACGGCATTAGTAAACAAGACAATTCGAGATGATCTTTCTAGTGGAACAAGGCCTACGGAAACCTATACAAAGCTACTGAAAAGGGGGGTAACTATCACTGTTGTAGACATTAAAAATGAGCGACAGATATACCGGAACGAGCTTCTTGATGGCCGTGCGCCTATACAGGCCCTCCTCTATACACTGGAAACCTCTGTATTCCCTGTAGATAATGGCCACGGGAAGAAGTATGTATATAACTATACAACCGACCAAGAGAGCCGTATAGATCACCACTCAGGTTGCAGCACTACAACCTAGGATCAACAACTCATATGCCAGAAAGCTACTCTCCGAACATCAGCTGTAGAGAACCCAGCTGAAATCTCAGCTGTAGAGAACCGAGCTGAAGCCTCAGCTGTGCAGGGCTCATCTGAACTTACTAGCGCGCCACCCTGGGGGTGGCCCCCTTCCTTCCCCTAGTATATATACAACTAGCTAGACGTCTATAGAAATCAGAGTTCACATCAATTTCAACCTGAGTTCACCTCTTCTTTGCGCATCCAGATTCTATCGAGATTCTACAGTCTAACTACAATGTTATACTGATGGACTGCACATACAAAACCAACAAGTTCGGCATGCCCTTCTTGCATATAACCGGCGTTACGTGCACAGGCAACAACTTTAAGATTGCGTATTGTTTCATTCCGAGAGAGAAGGAGGCAAACTATAACTGGGCAGTACAGCAACTCTACGAGCTCTTTCAACGCTATTCTATCCGCCCACGTGTTTTTCTAACAGATAAGGAACAAGCTTTAAGAAACGCGCTATATAAACAATAGCCTAATGTCGCACGCCTCTTGTGCGTATGGCACATTGAGAAGAATATTAACACCAAGCTAGCTGAGGTATACAAGGATAAACCGACATTCCCTATAGGCCATGCTGATGCGCCGATGGAGAATAACACAGAAGAACAGAAGGCAGCCAAGGAAAAGAAGCAGCAAGAGAAAAAGAGTGAATTTATCATCCGTTGGAGCGCCATGCAGAAGCTAGAGGACCCTATTCAATTTAATAAGGCCTGGAACAAGCTAATAGATGATTACGAGGAGAGGCCTAGCCTTGTAGATTATATGGAAGAGGAGTGGAAGTCGTGTAAGTGGGCCTGGGCTACTTACTACACTCGACGAGCTCGGCATTTTGGAACAACGTAAGTGTCTGCTTATGTCCTATTTCTCAATCAATTTTTAAGCTATCTTCTTGTCCTCTTCAGCGCTAGTTATTCTGCATGCTAGCAAACCCCTTATAAAGTTTAGGCTTCAAATTCGCACGCTTTGGTGTTAAGATTTGGGTCCAGCAGATGCAAATTTAGGTGTATAATGCTAACCGAGTTTCTCGCAGTGTTACATCACGGAACGAGGGCGCGCACGGCCAGCTCAAAGGCTTCCTCCAGGTGTCAAATGGCCATCTATTCGACGTGCTACTCAACATCCAGAACCTCATTCTCAATAGCAAGGCTAAATTTGAGGACCACAAGGCAAAGTGGCACGCAAGGACTCCGCATAATGTCAAAGAGATTGAATTCCGTGATCTATTCCAGAAGATTACACCGCAGGCTCTTGCCATCCTCAAGAAGCAACTTAAGAAGGCCAAGTCATCTAAATACAATCCTCTTAACTGTACTCATACGTTCACAAATATATACGGCATGCCATGCGCTCATAAGCTACACAATTGTCTACATTAGGCGCTTGCAAACCATCTAGATCCCGTGCTCTATATACAACCGGAAGAGATAGACCACCATTGGTGGTTTGCTCGGCCAGGTATACAACAACCAATCATTCCGTTTGGTCCATTTGAAGAAGTACAAGATCCTGCTGTTGTTGAGCGTCGACGGGGCCGCCCTGCTGTTGAGAGGAGAGGCCACCATACGTATAATAGTACACAGAGAGAGCCATCAAGGTTTGAGATTGCTTTGGGTACAGGTTTAGCAGCTCGACGTGGAGGTGAACAGGACGGACAACAAGGCACAGCTCTACGACACTTGCCAGCGTCTTTACAGCAAATTCCGGCCATCCCTGTCCGTCAGAATGCCCCTCAGTCGACGGCTACACCTGCTAGGACTGGTATTGATATTTCTCAAATTGATCCGGCCCTTCTTGAGCCTACGGCAGCACCTACGGCAGCACCTACGGCAGCATCTACAGCAGCGTATACAGCAGCGCATACAGCAGCGCATACAGCAGCGCATACAGCAGCGCATACAGCAGCGCCTACGGCTACACCTACGGCTGCACCTACGGCTGCACCTGCAGCTAAGAAGCGCGGCCGGCCGCCTGGTGCAAAGGATAAGGTACCACGGAAAAAGGCACGAGCTCAGAGGCAAGATAGTGCTCAGTCTCAACCTCAGGTGGAACAAGAGGATGACCGTGCGGACATTCTACGACAGATTGCAGCTCTACAGGCACGTATAGGAGGATCTCAGCGTCCACCCGGTGTCGCTGTAGGCACTGCTGAATTATCAAGCCGGCCGAAGAGCCGTAGGAATGTTCTAGGGCCTGCAGAGTATCAATTTGAGAGGGAGGCTGAGGCGTATGTGGATCAGTATGAGGAGTAGGTGCAGGCGGCGATGCTAAGGGGCCAGGCTTGATGCAAAGGAGCCGTAATAAGGTGAGGTTTTGACAGGTTTGGCATGCTTGTAGGCACGTAGGCACTTCTAGACCTAGACTTAGACTAGGTGGTGATATATAAGCTCGTACGCGAGCCCGTACGGAGGCTATACGAATTGGAAAGGCTATATAGCCGTACGTGAGGCTATAAGTAAGGCTATATATACAGCTGCACAAACTGGAAAGAATACGCCGCAAAATGGAGAGGCTATATAGCTATGCTGATTTGTATAGCCTCACGTATAGCCTTACGTACAGCAGAGATGCACGTGCAGATAGACGTAAAGGTGAATGTTCGGAGGCCTCCTGCCGGACCTCCGAGCCAATTAGAAGGCGGTGAAGTAACAGGGGGGTAGAGGGTGTACGATTAGTTGTTAGGGGGTGTACAATTATTCGTTAGGGGGTGTACGATTAGCCCTCCCCTATTATAATGGGTCCGCTTTCGTCGAAAGCGAAGACCACCAAAGATAATCACGTGGTAAGCAGAGCATATCGAATATAAGAATGCCGCACTTATGATTGACTGAAACGAAGACACGTAACGTGAAACTAAAGGGAGGAATTCTAAGAAATCATTCGAGTTGACACCGGTACGCTACCATAAGAGATAGCTCAGCAATTTTATCGACTGTTTAAGATAATCAACTTCCACGTTGTTTGGATTCCGAGAACGCCCTGAGGCACCACAAGCAGTGCAGAAGCGTTCACGAATCTCTTTGACGAGCCACTGTAACCTCTGTCCATCATCTCTTTTGACTCGTCTTCCATGAAATAAGCGGTATCATTGTCCACCGTAGATCGTCAATGCCTGGAATCTGATCGCAGTCGGTCTGCCCAGACATCATTAAGTGGAGATAACAAGGTCCTAGTAGCGAGTAGCTACCGTCGCCGGGCAGCGCTCGGAGCAGTTATGGTGTATTAGCGCCGGCAAAGAAAGCCATATGAATCCCGAGCTTTCCGACACTTCCCCCATGGAATATACCAGGGGCTAGGCCTAGATATCTATTCGTTGTAACGAAAAGCACTCATCGATGGAGCATCTTACAAGCAATCTCGTAGAACGACCATCCGAGCTTAGCGAGGATGCTGAGCGTGGAGTAGAATTGCTTCTGAAAATGCGATCACGTTCGTCGAGATCGTAACCTTCGTCCAGATGAGCTTCTCTCCATTTTTGGAACATTTTACGGCCAGCATCGTCGGTTTCTACCCCTGGAGTCCTCACTTCGGACAAACATCTTTTACCCGGGTTGATGACGAACTCAAATCCTAGCTGTTCAGCGTAGTCTTTCAGGTGATCCAGGCTATTCATAGCGATCTTTGTTTCCGAAGACCCAGGTCCAAGCCATACAAGAACTCTGTTGGGACCTTTGCAGATGTGGCTCATGAATCCTACTTGGTGACCCTTCTCTTCATCGTTTTTTGGTCGATGCAGATTGGATCGACCTCGACGAACATACCCAGCAAGTCTTCCTCATGCTGGGCAAGACTCCAGCACAAACAAAATGCTATACGCTTTGCTCAATCTAAGTAATCGTAATTACATATTTGCCACCACCGAGGGCTTCCTCGTATTCCGTGTTTGCGTCATTTTCCCAGGGCGTCCGGAAAATATCTAGCTCTCTGGTGCCCCAGCTCATAAACAATCCAAAGCGCTCGAAATGACCTCTGCTTTTACCACTCGGTTGTAGGATAAGTGCACGGACTTGCTTTGGAGCTGTCTGTGGCCCCCTCCAGTCTCTGAACAATATTGGCATACAATGCAAATTCTTGCCCGTCCCAACCAACTCGGGAGACTCGTCCAAAAAAAAGCCGTGCTGGAAAACAGAATTGCCAATTCGGATTGACGGAGGGGGTGAAGACTTCTCCATATCGAAGAAAAGCGACACTGGATAAAGCATACAGCTTACGCGGATATATCCATTCGAAATCTCCCCATGGATATCGCTCGCTAGTGGTTCAACATAAGCTTCAAGGACATCAACTGAGACTTTATCCTTGTCTCTTGGTTTGACTGGGGAGAAGAACAAGATCGCAGTATCTAAAGATGCCCAACTCCACGTTGGGGCACGCAGGGGACGTGGCCGTGTCCAAATGTTACCAGAGCCAGCTGGAGATTTCTGATATCTAATGGAAGAAGCAGGTCCGCTCGGCTCCGCCGACCAGAGGAGAGTGGTTGGTAGCTGGCTCCTCCAGAGGCCAGCGAGATACTGATCATTAATGACTTTCGACATCTCTTTGGCAACTCCGGAGATTGCAATGAGTTTGTCTCGAGGGTACGTAAGGCTACATTTGGAGTAGTTTTGGACCGAGTGTCGCCAACCTGTGTAAACGTCCAATGGTGTGGCTTTCCGAGTATTCTGGGCGTCTGTATTTTCAGCTGACATTAGATCTAGACTTATCACTGAAGGCAGAGCTCGGATATCATGACCCAACAGAGAAATAGTGGCAGCAAATCGCTTCATTTGTTGAGAAGCAGCCGTTCCTGGTTTCGCAAACATGGATGCCAACATGCTACCTGGCAAGGTCTCGCAGGCAGCGTGTCGACGGCATTCCCAGTAGAGCTGCAGTACGCCAAAGTGAATTTGTCGTGGCGATAAAAGCCTTTCTTGGAGAACCCACGCCCGTTTCGACAACGGCGCCCCGTCAATCCCGACTAGCCACAAGTTGCTGTCAATACATAGGAATTCTTTTTCATCGTCTTTGAACTTCATCTTGATCGGCTCCACCAATCTTTTGTCGCGCTGGAAGAAGCATCCGCCATTGCAGTCCGAAGAATCAATGGCAGCAATGTTCAGCCAGGAATTCTTGTAAACAAGACCCATCTTGGCAGATTCAGACTGCCATTCATGTTCGGAGTCCTGGTAGATACAGAGGGAATCTATCCAGATATATCGAATGCCCAGCTCCCAGGCCACTTTGACCGCATCAGCGAAAGTCTTTGGCAGTTCTGACACGAGCATTCCACCCTTCAAATCCGCCGCGGAGTTTTGCGTCAGGCTTATGGGCTGCTTGTCTCCCCACCGGTGGGACACAGTCATATAATGACCTAACGTCTCCTGGTTCTTTGTATCGTGGACTCTGAATTTTGCTTCAGTTGGATTCATGGGCGACTGAGACTCGGATGAAGACCCAACATCAAGCAGGCGGCTTGGGTACCATTTCTGAGGACGGCTGTTTGGGCAACACTCGGGGTGGTCTTTGATACAACGCCCTATCCACTTTTTCATCAGGTTCCAGGTATTCTCGCTATCAGTACTTTCTGAGATTGCATGATTGGTGCCATCGATGGTAATATGAGCCGCAATGCCTTCGGAGGGTTAGGATTCGACTGAAGAGAGCCATATCAAGGGTTTATAGTTACTCTCAAAAGGGGCTATTTGAAAATCATGGGTGCAGATGATGGTGTTTCTTGCGAGATCTTCCAGGGCTGCATCCTCGGTCGGGCGCTCTGTTGAAAGTCGGAAAGAAAGATTGAAATGATCCAAACTACCACCTTGCTCGATAATGCGATAGTAAAGATGATATTTGGTTAGCCAGAAGTCTTCTTCAGGCTCATTTGCGGGAACAATACTACACTTCAACTTGTGATATAGCTGAGCGCACAGTGCGCAACCTGCACGTCCAGATAGTTGGACGCCGCGGAGGCGGACAACGTGAAAACCTGTTTGGAGAACCTTCCTTTCCTGCACTCGACTGCAATCGAAAATAGACAAGCAAGAGTCGCAAAGCATGTCAGCAATGTAGAAACCTAAGGACTTTTTATGCGCAACTTCAAGTGTGAATGAACGATCGGGGACCGTGTGAATCGCTCGATCGACTATTGGGGGCTTGTGTTACCATAAGCCACCTCCCAGTTAGCAATGAGGGGCTTGTGTTACCTCCCGACTGGCAATTGTGGGGTTTGCGTTACTCTTCAATAATCGAGAAGCCCACTTGTTCCGAGTTCGTAGGATCCGCACCTCAACTACTGCCCCGCAGCTTTCTGGGAGAGAAGACGTCCTGTGAGGCGCCTTAGCGCTGGTTTACGATTAACCCAAGAGTCCTTCACGCAGTGGCAGACATCTATAGACAGACTCTTTTAAGAGGTTTCTATGATGTAGCTCCCAGTACCGAGTAACAGCTCTTGGGTCTTTACTGTAGTTGTAATAAGGCTTCCGATGCAAGGGCTATGGTACCCAGCGCCACTATCACACGATCTGAATTCGTATGGTCCATCAGTGGCTAAAATACCAAATCTCGGTTGACGAAGACGGTAAAGAAGGGATGGATGCTTTGAGAGGCGACATGAGTACAATGATGTACATACTGAATGAAATCTGGTCTATCAATCGCTAGGATGGAGGATAGAGGATGGAGAAGAGATTGATGGATCAGACGGGTTCTCGAGAAGGATGGAAGGAGCTCAGGCCAGCAAGACTCACGACTCGTGAAAGATACCCCGCGAGTAGTCCATGACTCGACGCCACTGCCTGGGAAAACTATCACTCATTGTAACAATCTTCAGATCATTTGGATCTCTTCGTACCTGTACACTTCGCCCTGAGAGTTAACATCTCTCCAAAATGCTTTTAGCAACGCACCGCGTTCTATCAACCTACGAACTCCTTGAACTGATTCTTCTCCAAGTCCCGCCAGCACGCATCCTACTCCACAGCGCGTATTAAGAACCTTTCGCTCTGTGATCCGTTCCTCAAAGCCGCTTCAAAAACTCATGGCACAAGCCAGCTCCAGCATATCTCAACCCAGTGAAAGGCTGGGGGCTGAACCCTATGCTATCACTCTTCGATATCGACTCCATTGCGTGGGACGGAGAATACGCTCATAGAGCACGGGTGTCATTCAAAACCAATCTCGCCGGTGAGAAGTTCAATGCTGGATCTGCATCGAAGATGCTGCTGACTCGGCCACCTTGCCGATATCTGGAGATTGAATTCATGGATCACGGAACGCAAAGCCGGTTCTAGGAAGCATTTTCCCAAGAACACTCTCGAGGCTACCCAAAGCTAAAAGTAATAGCACATATTTGGTCGAGTCAATATCTGGATGCATGCGAATCGGTGAGCTCTTTGCGGTGATAAAAGAAGCGAAGAAGAGGCCGAGAGCTAATCGGCAATGGTTGGACTATGACATGATGTCCGATATGCGAGTCTTGCCCTTTGGCACTAGGCAATATCTGCAGCGGTTCAGTAGGTGTACAACCACTCAACAGCGCCGAGCGTCATTGCGCGAGAGTATGACTAATGGAGTCGACGTCAGAGCTTGGGTTCATCCGGAGACTCAGAGCGGAGAAAATTCGTTTTCTCTTAAGAAGATTGAAAGATCACTGGAAGTCAGTGGAATGGATGGGCTTATCTAGTATTCGGTGTGCTATCCACGTAATAGTGGGTGTTAGATCATGTTCGTGCGGATGGCTGGGCTTTTATTGCTAACGTAGTCAATGGAGAAGGAAGTGCGAAGCAAATTATGGAATATGTGGTGGCTTCTTATTTACATGCTTCCATGCCAACCCATATTCCCTACATTGAAAGACGCGTGGGGAATGCGCATAGTCTCCTAGAATGCCCAGACCGCGAGAAGTAAAGCGAAAGAGCTACCCAATGGAAGGCCGGGTGTCCCAAAGCGGTTCGGTCCAGCGGCAGAGGTCGAGGTCGCGACCACGGACGTAGACGATGTTGGGGATTTTAGAGCTGTACTTGCTGGCGTAGTAGCCGCAGTCGCAGGCGACGAGCCGCTACTTGGAGGCGCTCCGGAGGCGCTGGAAGGCGAGTGGCCAACCGTTTCGGTATAGGTCTCTGTGATTAGGCTGGTCTTTACGGCGACGATGGTGACTGGATCTTCGGTAATCGTGATTATACCGCTAATGATCTTAGTTACTGTCTCGTAGGCTGTTGAAGTGATAAAGGAAGTAAGGGTAGGATCGCTGCGTTTGCGGAGTTGACGCCGGGCGTTTGCATTTACTGTAACCGTCTGTGATAAGTAGATTAGCTTCTCTTCGGTGTGCCATTCACAATATAAAGGGTCTTAAGAAAAGGTCGTAGATAAGACGACATGAGAATATCAGGAACGCGTAGATGGCATAGAATCGAATTGGAATCTGAAAAGAAAACAGATGGATTACCTCCGTCACTGTGAGAGACTGCACTGAATAAGCTGTTGTGGTTCCTGCTCCGACAGTCACTGTTGCGGCGGTGCCTGTTGCCCCGGGTAGGAAGGACGTAGACGTAAAAGTAATGGTTGTCTCGATTGACGAAGTTACAATTGCAACTTGCGGGTACCATATGTGGCGCGGGCTCCCGTTCTCCCAATCCGACGAAATCTCAGCTATATTGTCGCTTCTTATGGCGAGAGATAGCCCTGAGTTTGTGCCAGGAACGAAGAAGGCATACGATCCATCATCGTATTGAGTAATCTGCCAGCTCCCGATTGGGTCCCCTATGAAGGGCGAGACATACTGGCTGGGATACATATGTGGGACGTAGTCATCCGTGTTATTACCAGCTACTGCTAGGATGTTGTTCAAATTGTTGTATGCGTGAAGGGTGTATTCTCCCTCGATGGTCCCCTTGATCAACTTCCAGATGGTCGCGCCGGTAAAGTGAGTACCAGCATAGCCGTACATTCGTATGCCACCTGCATAGTCGATTCCTAGTGTTTGGTCGGTCGTGCCGGCCAATGTTAGGTCCTTGTTCTGGAATACCAGCCAGTCGTCTGTGTTAATCCCGGAGGTCGCATTTGTCGTACTTTGTAGGAGTAACAACACAGCCAGAGCATAGGTAATTGCGCATCGCATGGTTCCGTGAGGCGGGATCCCGCAACTGAAGTTTGAGGATTAGAAGTAGAAAAAGTTGATACTTGTCGCTGTTGCGCCTTGTAATCAGAGGGCATGCGTACTTAAAGTACCCGAACACTCGAATAGCAACGAGGCTGAGCCACGCACTATCACGCAGGATTTGGGCTAGGCAGTGTCGACAGGGATAGTCTACCCTTGAATAAAAGAATCCTAAAGCCAGGTTTCGCTAGAATTTAGTCTTCTCTAGCAGGCGATGGTGACTCCGCTACTTCTCAAGCTAGCTTAATCGCATCGGAATCTTTTAATAGATACCTTCATTTCTGGTAGTTTCGTAGTCTCTGCGGTTGAAGATCGCATGGTGTGCTGCTAGCCAGGCAGTGGGATTCGAAGGAAGGAAACTCATTTGCGACCATGTCGCCGTCGGAAATGCAAGCGGAGACACCCGCTACCTGTCCTGACTAGGAAGGAAATCCGGCCATGCCCCATTTTCTTCTTTAAGTCTTCCAATCTCCGTACAAAGGTACAGGTGAAGCTACAACACCTTTTGGTGGGGTTGTCCTCCCACATGAGGTCAACTGCAGGCTCAGTGTACTACGCCGCAGAGGCGCAGCCATGCTCCGCACTATAATGCTCACCCCTCGTCCGCTTTTCCTCTATAACATACTCTCAACATATACTTTACCTATCTTTTGGTGCCAACAAGTACTGTGTCGTTATGGAACGAGTTAGCGCAGATGTTCTCTACTACATTCTTCAGAAGGCATGCTCCCCGAGAAAAGTTAGTGTTTGCCTAGGTCGAGGACTGATAGGACGTCGTGGTTTAGATCTGGTCATTTGATCGACCCAGCATTCTCAACGCGACGCTTGTATGCAAAACTTGGCATCAAATAGCTCAACGTATACTAGAGGGCGACATCGACCACATCGTCCTAAGTCCAGGGTCGCACGCACGCAACGTTCCACTCTTCCAACGAATTGAGCATGACTTGCGATTCCAGCAACGGCTCCATCGCATTTGTGTCTCGGACGTCTATCGCTCAGGCTTTCTTCCAGTCCATCGAATCGAAACTTTTCCGGATTATCGGTTCCGAGATCTCAATCGTGGACAATACGGGTATCTAGAGCGTCGGAGCGACCTCACATGGGCACAGCTCAATCAACTCGCTGCTCTGATTCCAAAGCTGCCGCTTTCGAGCTTCACGTACGTGCCCAGCGCAGCGACGTCAATGCTCAGGATGGCTAATGCTTAAGCAGTTGGGCCGCCAAGCCCCGTGTTCCAGAGTGCATCCTTGACGCCTTACGCAGACATGCCGACTGCCGTGTACATTTACAGCTCCGGGCTGAGGATTTCGGAGATCGTAGTTCCGGGGACATCACCTTCCCTTCTATACAGACGCTGAAAAGTGTGTCGGGTTTGCGATCGATTGCGACACATTTAATGAGTCTCGGAGTAGTGGTGCCAGCTTGGGACGACGCTTCGAACGAGAATGGTATACTTCGATTGCTTGGAAAACTGATATCGGAATCACCGCTGAGAAGTCTTCAAATCCATGCCGCAGGCAGAATCTATCCACGACACGAGTGGTCACCGCACGATGACGATGACTTTACTATCCTCACGGACTTCCGCTGGATGACTGATTCCTTCGATTCCGCTCGAGGTCCGCTACGGCTAAGAAAGCTAGGCCTTACCAATATGTGCATGTGCGGCCCTGACCAACAGACTCTACTTCATCTTGGAGAAGTTCAGCTTGGGAAGTGTATCTCCTGGAAGCATCTCCGGGACGTTCATTTCACCTGCCCAACTCTGCTCGGCGTTATTGCGTCCGAGGATGTCCAACTTCAAGCCTTGACACTTCGACTTGATACATCTTACCTCCAGGTAGACAAGTCATGCAGAAGGGAGCCTGACTTCGATAGTATTAGATCATTGCTGTTTTCGCAGTTTAACCTGGAATATCTTGAGCTTTGGAATGGCCTCCCGGTCATAGCTTCTGGTGACGAGGAGACCGACAAAGATCTGTTCAGCCACCTTGGCCGGTCCTTACGCTCTCTTACACTTCACGAGAATGAACCGGGTAATTTGGGCCCATCTCCCAGGTCTATCATCAGCGTGATGGCTTTGAGGTTACTAGGAGAGGCTTGCCCTCGTCTCCGTGACCTCGCTATTGATGTCCCTTATAAGGACGCTGAGGTAAGCGCGATTTTTTAAGATGTGTGGAAGCGCGTCAGATACCTGCAAACAAGGATGCACAGACCGTGACGAACACTATATCAGTTGTTTAGCGGTAGTATGGCTGACGATATAAAAAATACAGCTGCTCAAATACCTACACTGCGTCTCCAGATCGTTGTGGTTTATTAGAAACCTCGAGCTTCTTGTCGAACTGGAGAAATCCAACCAGAGTACTTTCCGAGAACCAGTCTCCGACCAAAGGTGCCGGCAAATTTGGAACGATCTTCGGTCGTCATCGTCCCGCCTTCGCCTAGAAAAGCTCACTGTGTCTGTTGGCGCGATATTTTCCAACGAACGAAACAACGATAGTGGCTCTATGACACGTTGGCAACGCAGATTCCTGGTGGAAGAAGAGAGGGCCTCAGATGAGAAAACCCAGGCTGTGGTCAAACGCCTAGAGCTGGAGGAGTTTGAAGAGCGTTTACGACATGACCTAAATGCGACGTACGGTTCAAGGACTCACCATACCTTACTATGCTTCAAAGACATTGCGGTAAAAGGCTCTCAAACCTGGATCCCACCTCCACGCAGTGACCTACTTGCGCAGAGTATGCGATCAGCCGATGGCCCTCCACGTCAAGTGTTATGTGTCAACGAACCTCCGACTACACATCCACTATTTGCGTTTAGACCAGATTTCTTGTTTGCAGCCATACCTCCTCCAACTCAACATTATCGACAGACAAGGAGAAGAAAACCCCAGGGAAAGCTGCGATCTTTGCTCCCGAAAGATGGCACTTCCTAGGCTGCACCTTAGCCAATTTTTCGACATTTCTGATTGATAGAGGCGATCGAGAAATGATAGTAATTTTTCGCGGTGTCAGGAGCATGGCTGCGGACATGGTGCAATGCCAATGATGAAGGATAGATATTGATCCGAATTTAAGCTTTCAATCTCCCAAATGCTTGTAGAGCTGTCGGAACACTTGGTATGAGATGCGGTTGTATCCATATCGTGATGATTTGTTGTCGTGATGATGGATGTTCAGTAGGTTCAAGATTGAAGACTCCACCATGTAGTCTGGCTTGTTACGGAGAAGCCGAGGGACTCCTGCACTTCGAAGATTCACTTTCTTTTCGGAGCAACCTTAGCACATCCCCAACTTCGCCACGATTAAATGTAGCGTCTAACCGTTCATTCCAAAACACTTATCTGCCAACTATCACTACTCGTTTTGCTGAAAAGAGTAGAATGGCGCAACCCCACACGTGATCAGTCAGAACGGCATAGTGTTGCCTAATCCGTCAACTTTTTCTTCAGATATTCAAGTTATCACATCAAAAGCTCAAGAATCTCAGTATTCTCGTGTTCCCCTTCAACTGCTCTCTTCAACCCGCGAAAATCACTCCAACCACCATGTCCTCAACACTCCCTCCCGCAAAGCAATCCTTAATCGAAAAGCTCACCGCAAACCAACTCCAACGCACCCCCCAACCTCAGCCCCTATACTACTTCAATGCGGGTACATGGCATGCAACAATCCTCAGCACCCATCAGAAATCCCCAAAACCATCCCCGCCACTATCCGATGTTGAAACCCCACCCTCACCGCCATCCCCCATCACCTCCCTCACCCTCCTAACATGGAACATCGACTTCATGGCCTCCCACGGCTCCGCCCGCCTCGCCTCCGCCCTAAACCACCTCTCAGCCCTCTTCTCCCCCCTCCCATCCACCACAGCCGTCCTCATCCTCCTCCAGGAAATGACAGCCTTGGATCTCAAGCAGCTCAGCGAAACGCCGTGGATCCGGGCCCATTTTGCGATGACGGACTGCACGCCAGCCACCTGGGACGGGAGCAGTTACGGCACTGTGACGCTAGTAGATCGGAGGGTGAAGATAGCGAGGGTGGCGCGGTTGAGGTTTGTGAGTGAGTATCAGAGGGATGGGTTGGGCGTTGATGTTGTGCTGCAAGCTCAACTAAAGGGGAAGAACGGGGAAGATGTGGATGTTGATAAGGTGGAAGAGAGGACGCTGCGGGCTGTCAACGTGCATCTAGACTCTATGGCTTCGAATCCGCCTATGCGGCCATTGCAGATGGCGGCGTTGGGAAGGTGGGTTAGGGATGGGGACTGTGTTGCTGGGATTGTGGCGGGGGATATGAATGCGAATCGCGAGTATGATCGTGCGTTACCGAAAGAGAATGGGTTCAAAGATGCTTATTTGGACCTCGGAGGTGTAGAGGGAGCAGTAGAGGGGATGACGTGGGGATATCAGAGTGAGGAGAACATGGCAAAGCGGTTTGGGCCGACGCGGCTGGATAAGGTGGTGTTCTGCGGCGAGGTGGGAGTCCAAAGCTTGGAGAGGATTGGAATGGGTGTCATGGTGGAGGATGAGGCTATCAAGGCAAAGATGAAAGCCGAGGAAGAGGTGGAATTTGTCACTGATCATTACGGTCTCAAGGCTGAGTTTTTGTTAAGAGAGGGGGTGGAAGTCGCGACGCAATCAGAAGAAGCGATTTTGGAGAGCTTGAGTGGTAAGATATAACTCCGATTGTTTATGCTGCCTATCCTGTCTACACGGTCGAAGATGACCGGACCATGGTATCCTTACTTATGCCCACTATAGGTCCACGCTTGCCCTTCATCGAGTCGGCATGAAAGCCCAGAAATGCTTATGCAGACCCTTCAAAGAACGGATAATCAATGTAGCCCGTGGCGTCTCCTCCATAGAATGTCGTTCGGTCATATGCATTCAATGGTAGACCCTCCCGGAGCCTCTTGGGCAGATCGGGGTTGGCGATGAACCAGCGACCGAAGATGATCGCGTCCGCACTATCCGCCTCAAGAGCTGGCGCAGCGTTGTCTCTGTTGAAACCACCGGCTGCGAGGAACTTGATACCGGCTTTGGCAAGAATACGTCGGAATGGGATGAGAGAGTTTTTGGTCTTGACCGTGGCTTCGGCTTCAACACCCTCAGCAGCGGAACTGTAGGATGCGAGGGCGTCCATTTTAGCTTGTTCGTCGAGAACCTCATCGAAGCGTGGTTCCACCCTAGCAAATTATCAGTCTAGTCATTTCATCACTTAATAGGAACACTTACATATGCACGTATGCCGGGCGCTGGTTCTCAGGCAGAGCTGCAATCTGTTCGCAAAGGTATTTCCAGTGCTCGTTGGGGTTGCTGTCTTTCGTGTCTTGGAAGTAGTTGTAGGGCGATAGACGGATACCGGTGCGGTCACCGCCAATGGCTTCGCTGACAGCTGCAATGACCTCGAGCGGGAATCGGCACCTGTTTTCCACTGAACCTCCGTATGCGTCGGTCCTGGTGTTTACATTGTCATGGAGAAACTGATCTAGAAGGTAGCCGTTGGCGCCGTGAATCTCCACCGCGTCGAAGCCAGCTTCATCCACAGCTCGCTTCGCAGCAGCAGCCCATTCCTTGGTTGTTGAGTGTATTTCCTCGATGGTCATAGGACGTGGGGGATTATCGGAGAACTTCGTTCCATCCAAAGCATCTCCTTCAAGGGGGATATCGCTCGAGCTAAAGGCTTGTGCGCCTGCCCGCCACGAGGAAGGCGAAGCCCGCCCAGTGTGCCACAATTGGGAGATCATGAAACCACCTTTCGCATGAACAGCATTCGTCACCCTCTTCCACCCTGCCAATTGGGAGGGCGTAAAGACGCCTGGCACACCAGGGTAGCCACTAGCCTTTCTAACCATCAGTAAACGCGGTTTTCAATGAATCGAAATCTAAACCCACATAATGATGTATATCAGTCGCCTCGGTGAGCTGTAGTCCTCCTTTGCTTGCGCGCTGACCGTAGTATTCCACCTGCAAGTCGCCAGGAACAAAGATGCCATCGCTCTCCTTGGTTGCTCGCATACGCGTCAAGGGTGCCTGGACAACGCGGTGCTCGAGGGACAAATGTCCAAACTTGAGCGGCTTGAACAGCGCCGAATCCGCCAAAGGCGTAAAAGCCGGGGGAGTAAGTGCTTTAGGCATAATGAACAGTCGTGCAAGAAAGCTGAGAAAGTGGAATTGAAAGAAGACGGAGTAGATCACACAAAAAATTCCAAACCCTTTGAGCAGCCGTGTTGGCACTCTTTACGTGCATGCAGTAGCACGTCACGTAGCGGCGCCATCCCGTCCGTTCTTTGGTGGAGGCCGTGTCTAGGCGGATGCAGGTTGACGGTGCGGCGAAGATGGGGTAGCAGAGGTGGTGGAAAGTGGGATGCCACCCGGCACTTAGCTTAAGTGGGCAGCTTGGTGCAGCAGATTGGATGCGCGACCAGCAGCAGTGGAAGCACCTGTGTCAGCACGACGAGGGGTCTCGACTGCGGTGGCGATAGGCACAAAGTCCATGTCGTGTTCGAGAGATGAGGATCTTTGAGAAATCAACACCAAGTCCACCGCACACAAGAGGTTGATGAAAGAGATGGAACTGCCCACCCCTCCAAAACCGCTGGCGGACCCACCGAGGGCATTGACGGCGGCCGAGTCGCTAACTCCTTTGATCGAGTCAACATACACCTCTCCCGACCTCAACTTCTACCTCAATGGCAAGAAAGTCATACTCTCCAACCCTAATCCGCACTGGACACTGCTTGATTACATCCGAGCCCAAAAGAGCCTAAAAGGAACGAAGTTGGGCTGCGGAGAGGGCGGATGTGGAGCCTGCACCGTCGTTCTCCAGGTCAAAGAGTCGCAGGATCAACGAAAGATCATCCATCTCGCCGTAAATGCCTGTCTGTTTCCTCTCGTCGGAATCGACGGTAAACATGTCATCACAGTGGAAGGAATTGGGAGTTTGGCGAACCCTCATCCCCTTCAAGAACGGATAGCAAAGATGCATGGATCGCAATGCGGCTTCTGCACCCCTGGCATCGTAATGTCCCTGTACGCCCTCGTCAGGAACTCCTACAATGTCGAAACCAAAAAATTCCATCTCTCTGCCCGAGACATTGAGCTGGAAGGCCACTTAGACGGAAACCTCTGCCGGTGCACCGGCTACAAGCCTATTCTCCAGGCCGCGAAGACCTTTATCACCGAGGACCTCAAAGGCCAGTTAGTAGAAGAGTCCACAGCTCTTAGTGACTCTGTTGAGGCGGTGGATATCACCGGCCTGGTTCAAGACGGAAGCAGAAAGCCTTCGAAAGGTTCTTGTGGAAGGCCGGGAGGCTGCTGCCGCGATACTCCTTCCGACGGTAGCTCCGCCGACAGCAAATCCGAGTGCAGCAGTCCATCGACAGAACCATCGTCATTGTCCGAGGAAGAGGGTATTCCGGCTAATATTGCAATCACGAAAGAGCCAGTACAGGACGCAGAAGTCAGTGGCACCACATATGCTCTGCCTCTCAAGTCTCGAGAAAACGATGTCAAAGATACCAGTAAGAGCCATCCCGAAGGCATCAAGACAGAGACCAGCCTCCAGGCTTCCACTTCAGGTTCAAAAAATGGAGTACCTCAAATCGAGTTCGCGGAGTATACTCCAGGCACTGAGCTTATATTCCCACCTGCTCTCTGGAGATACGAACCAAAACCTCTGTGCTACGGAAATGGCAGGAAGGTATGGTTCCGGCCAGTTACACTAGATCAGTTGACCCAGTTGAAGGGTGTGTACCCATCTGCGAAGCTTGTTGGAGGTGCGAGTGAAGTTCAGGTTGAGGTTCGATTTAAGAATTCTGATTATGCTGTGGCCGTGTATGTCTCAGATATCAAGGAACTCAAGCAAACCAAGCTACCATCCGTCAGTGCGCTAGAGACTGCCGAGGAGTTGCTCCTTTCTGCAAACACCCCATTGACGGAGGTGGAAAGGATGTGCAAGGATATCTACACAAAGCTAGGAAAGCGAGCAATGGTCTTGGAAGCACTCCGCAAGCAACTTCGCTACTTTGCTGGTCGTCAAATACGGAATGTCGCCTCACTAGCCGGAAATATTGCGACCGCATCACCAATTTCAGATGCCAACCCTGTTCTCCTCGCAGCTGGCGCTTCAGTTGTCGTGAGATCCCAGTCGATTGGGCTATCCGAAGTGCCTCTAAACAAGTTCTTCATCGCATATCGCACCACCAGTCTACCACCTGACGGAATAATTACCCACGTCAAAATACCAATACCTAAAGCTGGAGCTCGAGAAGTTCTAAAAGCGTACAAACAAGCCAAGAGGAAGGACGATGACATTGCAATAGTTACTGCTGGCTTCAAGGTACGATTGAATGAAGCAGGAGAAGTCGAAGACATCGTCCTGGCTTACGGTGGCATGGCTCCGAAGACGGTCGAATCTGTGAATTCGCAAGTAGCACTGCTTGGGAAGAGATGGTTCTCCTCTGAGACCCTGGAGCTTGGGCTTGATAATCTGACGAAAGATTTCGACTTGAGCTTTAGCGTCCCTGGCGGCATGGCTCATTACCGCAAGACTCTTGCCCTATCATTGTTTTTCCGCTTCTGGCACGAATCAGTCGCCGAGCTGACGCTGGGCAGCGTGGACAAAGATCTTATCGAAGAAATACATCGGGATATCTCAACCGGATTAAGAGACGACTACAACCCCAACGAACAACGGATAGTCGGGAAACAGATACCGCATCTTTCGGCTCTGAAGCAATGTACTGGTGAAGCTGAGTACATCGATGACATGCCACCTCAAGATCAGGAGCTATTCGGCGGCTTGGTAATGTCTTCCAAAGCACATGCCAAGCTACTGGATGTAGACTGGGAACCAGCACTCAAAATGCCAGGTGTGGTCGGGTACATCGATAAAGATAGCATACCAAAAGAAAAGAACGTCTTTGGTGCGATGGTAAAGGATGAGCCTTACTTCGCCGATGGTGAAGTACGTCACCATGGTCAGGTTATTGGTATGGTTTATGCAGAGACCGCATTGCAAGCACAGGCGGCAGCTCGGGCTGTCAAAGTCACTTACGAAGAGCTTCCCCCTATTCTTACCATCGATGAAGCAATAGAAGCCAACAGCTTTTTCAAACACAATAGAGCCCTGAAAAAGGGTGTCGCGGTTAACGGAAATATGAAAGAGGCCTTTGCCAAGTGTGATCGTATTTTCGAGGGCACGACAAGGATTGGTGGACAAGAGCATTTCTACCTTGAGACGAACGCCGCTCTCGTAATACCAGGGAGTGAAGATGAGTTTATGGAGGTGTGGTCTTCGACACAAAATACGTAAGATCGTTACTCCTTCGCTTCATTGAAAACTCAGACTGACCACCCATTAGCATGGAAACCCAAGAATTTGTCAGCCAAGTCCTAGGAGTCCCAAGCAGTCGAGTTAATTGCCGAGTAAAGAGAATGGGTGGGGCGTTTGGAGGGAAAGAGTCGCGAAGTGTTCCGTTCGCAGCCCTGCTAGCTATTGCAGCGAAGAAAGAACGTCGCCCGATGCGTATTATGCTAAACAGAGATGAAGATATGTTGCTCAGCGGTCAACGACATCCATGCCAAGCGAGATGGAAGATTGGTGTATCCAATGAGGGGAAGCTATTAGCCTTGGAGGCAGATCTATTCGACAACGCCGGTTTCTCTCAGGACATGAGCGGCGCGGTCATGGACAGATGCATCACACATTTCGATAACTGTTACGAGATCCCCGACGTTTACCTCAAAGGGAACGTCTGCAAGACCAATACCCACAGCAACACCGCTTTCCGAGGCTTCGGAGCCCCCCAGGGCATGTATTTCACCGAGTCGATCATGTACACCGTTTCAGAAGGGTTAGGTATTGATATCGATAGCCTTCGGCTGAGGAATCTCTACAAACCCGGGAACTGGACGCCTTTCTTTCAACAAATTGACGAAGACTGGCACGTGCCACTGCTACTCAAACAGCTTAGCAACTCGTCAAATTACGAGACTCGGAAGGCTGAGGTAGCTAAGTTTAACGCGACAAACAGGTGGAAAAAGCGGGGCATTTGTCTTGTTCCGACCAAATTTGGTCTTAGCTTCGCTACTGCCCTTCATCTCAACCAGGCTGGTGCATATATCAAGATATACGCTGATGGAAGCATCCTGCTGCACCATGGAGGTACGGAGATGGGCCAGGGGCTTTACACCAAGATGTGCCAAGTCGCAGCCCAGGAATTAGGCGTCACGGTCGATGCCATCTTCACGCAAGACACGCAGACCTACCAATCAGCAAACGCATCACCAACAGCCGCATCGTCAGGAAGTGACCTAAACGGCATGGCTGTGAAGAACGCCTGCGACATTCTCAACGAGCGTCTCCAGCCATATCGCGAGAAGTACGGACCTGGCGCGCCGATGAGCACCATTGCCCACGCCGCTTATATAGACCGAGTGAACCTTGCAGCTAACGGCTTTTGGAAAATGCCGACGATCGGATACCAGTGGGGAGACACGAATCATGAGACCGTTAAACCCATGTACTACTACTTCACGCAGGGTGCTGGCGTCACAGAAGTCGAGCTTGACGTGCTCACGGGAGACCATACCGTACTTCGGACCGATCTCATGATGGTTAGTTCCCAATTCCTGCTCACATGAACGTATGCTTACTTTGCTCTAGGACGTCGGCAATTCAATCAACCCGGCAATTGACTACGGCCAGATTGAGGGCGCGTTCGTGCAAGGTCAGGGCATGTTCACGATTGAGGAGTCGCTCTGGCTAAAATCAGGCGAGTTCGCGACTCGTGGTCCTGGCACATATAAGATCCCTGGATTTTCGGATATCCCGCAGGTCTTCAATGCCAGCATGTTGAGGTATGATAACGAGGGCAAACCGCTGTCGTGGAAGCATCTGCGAAGCATTCAGAGCAGCAAGGGCATCGGCGAGCCTCCGCTCTTCTTAGGATCTACGGTGTTCTTTGCGCTGAGGGAGGCTGTGAAGGCTGCCAGGCAAATGAATGGGGTGAAAGAGCCTCTAGCGCTGGATAGCCCCGCGACAGCGGAGAAGATGAGGCTCGCTGTGGCGGACGATTTGGCCAAGAGGGCCCAGGTGGTTCAGAAGGAGGGAGAAAGGAACTTTTTCGTTGCTGTTGCGTAAGGAAAGCTACCAGTTGAATCTATAATTCCATCAAATCAGACATTTTCAGATAAATAGCTCTATCTTATTGGTAGAAGTGGGAATCCACATCCAATTGCTCGATCCTGAAACGAACATTAGGAGAGGACATGCAGACTGCATAATCTAGAAGTAGGTGCCGAGAACAGACGCATAGAATGTTCGATCGAAATAGGTGCTGGCATAGAGCAAACTAACTGGTCGATAACTATACTTTTGTAGCTTACAAAGTATCGGAAAGCAATCCGAATTTACTCAATCCAGCAACAATACAAAATACCAATCTTGACTAGCACGTAAAATCTCTCCTTCCCGTCTAGGCATGTGGACGCGCTGCGGACCCTTGTGTGCGGCTAGAAATCTATCCCCTCACGTGACTCGTGATTCGTTGATATAGATCGGTCTTTTCCTCCCGATTCAAAGATCGGAAGCGACTTGCCGCCCACAAGACCAATCACCATCGGCGACACGCCGTCGCTGTGACTTGCACAGCGGACATGGCCGCCGGCAGCTCCCCCACTCTTGCCCTTGGCTTGCCTCTTTGGAGCATCCGTCGGCGACGGCATGGGCAGCCCTTCCCACGATGTGCCAATCCCAGACCCCGTCTCGGCGCGTGAAGGGCGCGACGGGGCACAACAACACAGCACAGAGGACAGGTACCTTGCATCTACTCGCTGCCGGTCCGATTTTAACGGCTGGCAGCGTGGAAGCGTGATAAGCGCATCCAGAAGCCCGCCGCGTAGGGCGGATATGTCCTCCACCATGGTCCCTCATCCCACCATCTACCTGGACCCTCCACCTTCTTGCTGCCGCTGCACAGCTTCCCCTCAACAGCAGTCCTCTTTCCTGCCAGCTTCTGCTGCACCGACTGTCAATGGCTGAGCCACATTCTACACGTCCGCAGCGCAAACGCACCGTGACGGTGGGCGGGGATGGAGCGCCACTGAGGAAGTTTGCTTGTGCGTTTGAGGGGTGCGGGAGGAGCTTCACGAGGTCGGAGCACTTGCAGAGGCATCTGCTGAATCACACAGCTGGTGAGAATACTTGCGAGAGGTGCAGTGCGCATTTTAAGCGGAAGGACTTGTTGGGTGAGTCTGCCGTTCTCTAGCCTGCCGTCCTTGCTTTTTCTCTCCATTCTTGAGAGTGGGACGTCATTTTCAGGGTCTTCATCTTTCTCAGGGTCCAATTCGATCCCCTTTTCTACTTCATTTTCGTTCTGCATGTGAACTTGGTAGTGGTGATTTTGATTGAGTAAGACGGTGCTGTTGGACTTGTCCGCCACCATCACTGCTATGCGGGGCTTTGCACGTGCATGGACTACGGGCTGGCCTAGCATCGCTCCCCATCTTTGCGCTCCTGCTGATGCATCCTAGAGAGACATATGAGCCGTCACCGCCAGAAGGATGCCGAGGCCGGTGCACCGGGCTCGGGCGTCCTCAACACTAGGAAACGGATGTGGAAGGATGCCGATGGAAACATTGTGACCAAACGTCCACATTCTAGCCGACAGCAACATCAGCAGCAGCTACAGCAGCAGCGGGACCAAAGCCAACAACTGTCTAGTGAGCACTCTTCCTCCGAGGCTCTGTTCGAAATCCACACCGGCCCTAATCGCCAAGGCGGCGTTCCTATATCACCTCCCATCTCCACTAGCAACTCTTATGGTCGGTCCTTTTCAGACGACCAGGACGCTCACGCTTCAAATGACGATCTATGGAGCCTGAATCCATTCAACATCAACGCCACCATAGAGCCTGCAGATATCTATCAACAACCGGTCGAAGGTCGTTTTTGGTCTTCTGACCTCGCTGCTCCTTTAGACCAAGGCCCAGACGATAATGTACCCTACGATGACATCTTCAACCCAGACACAGGTATTTCTACCTTTCCCAGTTTATATCGAGGCTGGTATGCGGATGTCTTGTCGTATGACGCCGGCTTACTCTCATAAAAGCAAGCTCTTTTAATATGCCATTCACCACCATGAGTAATTACAACTGGCTGTTTGATGTTGATCTGTCATCCCGTCAAAACCAAGTGGAACCCTCCAGTCTCATGCAAGACGCTTTTGGCCCTTCTCAATTGCCCGTCGACGTTTCGAGTGGACAGTCCATTCAGGATTATTCTCCCTCGGCCCCACCAGAACCGACTGCAGCCCAAAGTGAGCTTGATGCTATTAAAGACAATAGTTCACTGTCAGCAAACCAATCTGAGCGCTCTTATACTGCGGCAAATGGTCCCATAATCTCTCCCCCTTTTACAGACTTTCATTCTCGATCTAATTATAGTTACGACGGACTCCCACAGCTTTCCACCTCTACAAAGTTGATTTCATCAACAATGATAGGAGCTATGCACAGTTCTAAAAAAGAACAAGGGTCGCAGCCTACGAAGGCACTGGTTACTACGCCTTTTGACCTAGAACGTCCCATGTCAATGCTCCAACGCTCTCGAAGCCTTCCAGTCATCGATGAGGTTGCGCGGGCTCAAATACTCGATCTCATCGACGCCTCTCGGCCTGTCACACCTGATTCATCTTTCATAACCAGGGATCACCCCCTTTTATCTCTGTCTTCATTGCAGACTTACTGCGACCTGTACTTTACGCGATTCAATACCGCATATCCTCTGATACACCAGGCGACATTCGATGCATCCCACGTCGAGACGCTCCTACTGATATCGGTCCTCCTAGTTGGCGCAACATACTGCGAGAAAGATGCACATCAACTAGCGGTACGTCTCCTACTCAAATTGCGACGTCTTTAGGCTGACATATCCAGGTTTGCATTCATGACGTCTTGCGCCCTCAGATCTTTGCAAACGTTGGTTTTACTGCTCGACCTGAGTTGTGGGTCTTGCAAACTATATTGCTCGTGGAATGTTTTGGCAAAAGCCGAGCTGGGCAAAAGCAGCATGACATGTCGCATCTATTTCATGGATTGCTCATTAATCTTATCCGGAGGAGCGACTGCCAATCCATAAGACCACCGGCTACTGAAGAAGGCTCGGATGATTTGGAGGATGACTGGCTTATTTGGGCCGAAGCTGAGCAAAAGAAGAGGTAAGACTCTGATTATGATCTAGCTTGGAGCAGTGGCTAATCTGGACTAGGCTGGCTTACCTCTGCTTCATGTGGGATACACAGCATGCGGTATTGTTCTGCCAATCGCTTTGCATGTCAGCATTCGAGCTTCGTTCAACACTACCCTGCGATCAATCAGTTTGGGAGGCAGACTCCGCAGAACAATGGGATCAACTGCGGCGTCGACAGAAGGCACCGCTACTATTCTTGACTTGCCTCAAGGCTTATCTTACTCCCGGCGGCAACCCGCAGCCCAGGCATATGAACGCTCTCTCGCGAATTCTTTTATTACATGGTCTTATGTCCGTATCCTGGGATATGCGACGCAGGGACCAGACTTCTCTTGGTCAGTCTTCCGCATCCAATCCGTCAAATCCATCCACTAATAAGTCCAGGTCTCACCGATAACGAATCGCCTTTCGGCAACTGGAAAATACGCATGGCGAACTCCTATGACACGTGGAAAGCAGACTTCGACTCCTATTGCCTGAACTACACGTCCCAGATCTCCCCCGCAGACCTCGACATCCGAAAAGAATTCGCCGCCTTCACCACCGCCAACAACGCCATCTACCACTCCGCCCACATCATCCTCAACGCTGAGTTCCTCGACCTGCAGATATACGCTGGTGCTCGCCATATCCTAGGCCGCCCCGTAGCTCGCCCCGACTACGTCCGCTCCCAGCGTGTCGTCAAGCGCTGGGCAACGGGCGAGAATGGTGGCGTAGGCCGTGACGCAGCGAAAGCAGCGTGGCACGCCGCCTGGGTTGTCCGCGACGGTGTCATGAACCTCGAGGGCTTTGACGCCATGGGTCTCTTCCATTTCCCTTGGTGTCTGTACCTCGCCACTGTCACTTGCTGGGCCTTTTACCACGCGCGCCCCGCGGGCGCGAACCCAAGCGAGGCTGGATCGGGTGAGCGTGCTGCCAGTGAAGACGGCGACGACGATGACGATGAGATTATCTGGGATGCGAAGGCCGAGATGAACGCGCTAATCAGTGGGATGACGAGCGTGCCTGCGGAGGTGCTGGCGGGGCTTGGGCTGAGTGGGCGCAAGAGGACGAGCGGGCTGACCGCTGTGGTTGCGCGGCATTTGAGTAAGGTGAGGTGGGCGGTTGTGCATGATGGAATGATGGTGCTTCGGGGGTTGGTGCCGTGGAGGCTGGTAAGTCAGTATGAAGGGCTTGCATAGGGGACCTCGAAGGGAAGTCAAAAGATACGAGTTACGAATGGATGGCTTATGAGTTGGGATTCGTTCATGTTGTATATGGGCTTTGGCCGCTGGTTTGATATACTTGGGTGTATTCGAGGGTATGATTAGGTTGGCAAACGACGAAATTGCAGCAACGATTTACGTTTCATGTATAAAGCCGGTGGGATCGGGGTAGATTTCGTGTGTGTCTAGCAAGGTCGCTCCAACCAGGCCCTCATTCTCGTCGTCGGGTATGTGACATCTCAAAGCAGATGTTTTGCAATCTCCGGAGGCGCCTTCAGCTCGTGAGTACGTTCCCAATCCCCATTTTCTCCCAGGCCAATAACGAATCTGTGTCATAGGCATGCAGAAACAGTATCCCAACCGTCCAATTCATCATACACCTCTGCCCTCAAGCCAACCCACTCCAAGCACCCCAGCCACTCGCCAACCTCCCCAAACCCCGTCTCCTATATCCCCTCCCACGTCCAAGCTCCCGCCCAAGCCGCCACTCAACCGCATCGCGTAGCGTTGTCGCGAAGTTCTACCCATCACGTCAGCTCAACATCCCCAATATTGCCCCCTCCCCGTACTCACCCGCCCTCTCCTCAACGTATCACGCCATATCCTCGGATCCAGATCAAGCTCTTCTTCGTTTGGCAGGCCTTGCAGCGGCCGTGACTCCGCTTGAACAGCCGTCCGCACGCTGGGCACGGCCATTGGTGCCGCATGCAGTAGTGGCGGACGCAGTGGGGTGGGATGATCTTCGACTTGATGCACGAGCCGTGGCCGTGGGCTTTGCCGAGGCCGCGCAACGGGCAGGTATGCGTGGCTGTGGCCATTTTGGGGGTATGTTGGGGGGTTGTGTGGGTGTATGATGGTCGGCGGCTGAGGGGTTAGAGGCGAGGTGGTGAAGAAGGGGAGGGTGAAGGGGAGGGGAAGGACTTACGAGAGAGGTTGTAGTTGTGGAGGCGGTTGCGGAGGTGATGTGGTGGGCGTTGCGAGTGAGTGGTTGCTGTGAGGTCATTGAGGTGCGGTTTAGACGGGGGGAAGAGCTGATTCAGGCGGCAGAGGTCCTTCACATGGTTCACATGGCGTTTACCATCGCGAGCCGCCTCCTGCCGCGGTGGGACCGGCACGCGTACTCGGCCGCGGGCATGTCGGCGCCGGTGGAGCTGATGTATCCGCATCTACAACGGCTGTCACATTCCAGGTTCCCTACGATGGTGTATGGTCAATTGTACACTACACGTGGAGGAAAGCGGTATACAGGGAAGAAGTCAAGAGAGGGAATGTAAGTGAGACGAGGCTAGACGGGCAGAGACTGACAAGGCGGAGGGTGAGGAATATGAGGAAGACACGCAGGCTATGTATTCTTCTCCCACGGAGAGACTGTAGAAGTTTGTACAATCCTCAATCCAAGACTTGCAGACTGCTGGCGTGAGAATCTCTCTGCTTGCTCATCTTCGTATTGACAAATCCTTCCTGTGTACGCTCTCTTGCCACTGTCACAAGGGCTTCAACACACTTTCATTGATCTGAACGGGAGAGGTCCTCACCATTTTGAACTACCGGTAAACTCGCTGAGGCATCTCAGACGGTGGCAGATAGATGTCACCACTTGACATACATATCACTTTGTATCACTGTATGAGATAGTCAATGCGCAGTATTTGGGGTATTGTGTTTATTGTGGGCGGTGATCTACATATGTAGACCACCAAGGGGGGTTCTTAGTACACGCCTTTCGCAATGTACTAACTTGTATCAGTTTCAACCAGGTACAGGCTGACTAGCACCGTCTACGTCCACGCCGAGACTGTCTTAGCGCCATATCTGCTCTAGAGCCCGATCATGTTGAACTCCGGGTCCTTGTCGAACAAGTATTACTCGTAGTACTTGCTCTTCTTCTTTTCCTTCTTGACAGCCTCCTTAGCTTGGGGAACCTTACCTGCGGCACAGCTGGCGTCCATCTGCGCCCTTTTAGCGCACTTGGGGCAAGGCTCCGTCTTCAGATGAAAGTAATTCGTGTGGACGGGGCAAAGCTTCTGGTGATTGAGGCACATGCTTCCAATCCGATTGCATGGTCCCGCGCCCGTATCGTGAGCGGGACAGTGATGCTTGGTGGTACCCTTCACAAGGTTAGGCATCTTGTGGATGTAGTTGGAAGGGGTATGTGGAAATGAAGGTGTTTGTGGTGGTGATATGCAGAAAGTTGCAGATGAGGCGAAGTGAACGCTATTGTACACTACTTGATGGCGCTGGCATGTGTAGTGAATGCGCTGTTATAGTACAACAGTCCGTACACTTGTTTACCGCTACATGAGGATCTTCGTAGTATTCTCAGCGTTCGAAATAAAAGAGAAGTACGGCATTTTGCACAACTAGCAAACTGACGGAGCAACCCCAGACAGTGTCAACAGGGTGTAAGTAGATTGGAAATGTATGCACCGTCCCAGGTTTCTATAAGTACGTTGAAGTCCCACAGGCTGTGGCGGGAAAGTGTAGCGTTATCTCTTGCAAGGAACCGTATAGGCCTTAGCTAGTCGCTATTAGATACTTTAGTCTGCTTTAAGTGCTTGCAACGCCTCTTGTATCCTAGCTATAAGAGCACTAGAGTCAGTAGATGTATCCATCATGGTATTTCAAGCTTATTAGTTCGAATAGGCTCACCGTTTATTAGTCGCGGGGTCATTATTTGTCAATCAAATATACAAACAAGATTGCTCTTCTTGACAGGAGACCCCATAAGAGCAATATCATGCTGCGTTATCAAGTAACAGACGAAGCGACCATCTCCGTTGAGAAGAAAGGAGTTGATTAGTCAGCATTCATACTCAGATCGCCTATGATATCGCCGCGTTTCGCTATGTCGCTGATCACTCAAATATTCCGGTCCCAAAGATCCACGCTTTTGACCTTACCAGCAACAACGCTCTCGGAAAGCCCTACTCCCTTCAAGATCGCCTCCCCGGCCGTTGTCTTATCGACGCTTGGGACGAATTCAACCACACTCAGAAGTTATCTCTTGTCCGAGCTATGGGTATAGCACTGCTTGAAATGCAGTCGGTGACGAACCCATGCGCCGGTATTGTTGGTCCCAAGTATACGAGCACCAAGCGGAGCTTCTTTGGGCTGCGCAAAGCCAATCCTGAGATTCTCCAATTCGAAGTTCCTCGACGCGAGACACGAACCGGAGAGCCGACCACCCCACCCGCAAAGCCTCAATCTACCCTCGAGCTTCGTCTTACGCAATTTCAACGATTCTGTGATTGGGAGAATGCGCACTGGGGAGAAGCTGATCCTCTTTGGGACAACCTCAAGGAGATTGCTCAGAAGATGGGTGACATGGGTCTGTTCGAAGACCAAGGCTTCTACTTCTGCCACATGGATCTCCATGCACGCAACATTCTTGTCCAGGTCATCGACGATACCACTGTCGAGATCAGCGGCATCCTTGATTGGGACAGCGGCGTCTTCGGCCCCAAGTTCTTGAGCTGCGCACCGCTAATGTGGCTCTGGCTTCCCGAAGACGTTGATCACGAGGACGAGACTCTAGCTGAAGATGACCCTGAGGATCCTGAGACATTAGAACTCAAGGAAGCTTTCGAAGAGATCGTTGGTCGGGATTTCCTTCGCTATGCCTACAAGCCGGAATATATCATTGCCCGACGAGTTATGGTCGCGGCTATGAGTGGTATGTTCCAGTCTGCAGATCTAGACGCTGTTGAGAAGATCGTTCAAGACTGGGAGGAGCTTCATCCATCTGGTAAGGAAGACTCTGACTCAGATGCTGATACTGATGAAGATGAAAACTCTCTTGAAGATGATGAGTAATGCTCATCGTGGAAGGCTAGCCTTGTAAAGGCTCACTACTTGTTCTTTGATACCACTCTGTCATACTGATAGGTGGATACTTGATTGTATCTGTTGTTAGCTCCTTGTAAGCTAGTAGACTAGCGTTGCTATTCGCGGTTAGAACGCCAGTTTATTTCCCGTAAACCACTCGTGTTCATGATTACAATGAACCTTCCAAACAATGAAAAACTTCAGAAAAGTATATCTTCGTTTCCACTCTCAACAACGTGATGCACGCCACTAATTTCTCTTTAAACCACAGAGCATCGGCAGCAAACAAGGTGCATACAGCCCAGACTCTAGGGCACGAGAGCTTGGGAATTGTTGAGGTCACAGCCGTTGAAAACGAGGAAGATCGCGTGCGCTTAACATTCACCCGCCTGGGCCAGGTGGCAGAGCAATCATTGTGCTGGCTAACTTTTTGCGAATACAAAAATCACGAGGTCATCCTTCATCGCCTTCGTTACATTGAACAACCTCTCCACCACCACAGCAATCATCAATCTCTCCTTCCCACTGTCCAGGTTGCACCTGCATCCTGCCAACAAAGTGTCACACACGACCTCACCAAGACAACCAACCCCAGACATGTCGCCCCCCATCGCACACCCCGCCTCTATCCGCTTAGTCCCTTCAGAAGACGCGACCGACTTGGAACCCCTCAAGAACAATATTGACATGGACACTCGTCTTATCAGCGAGGACGCTGAAGAGGCTACTGAAGGCGGCGTCGATGCTGGCGGCGACAACTCCGATGATTGCTCTGTGGATTCGAACACCTCAACCGCCGTGCACGAACACGAGCCCTTCGAGACCTTCAAGGATCGCGTCCTCCTGCTTTGTCGCGCAGTCTGGCCTGAGGACAAACCGGAGGCATTCGAGATCAGCCGGATGGAAGGTGGCTCTTTCAATCGCATCATCGGCATAACCCATATCCATCCACAAGCAAAGCTCCATCATCAAATCTTACGCCACTTGAAGAAGTGGATCTGTGGACTTGGGCCCGCTCTATCAACGAAGAAGCGACAGCCTTCGCAGCACATCATCCGTATTCCGCGCTATGAAACGGCTTGGATGGAACAAGAGATCGCGATGATCCGCTTTCTCGACAAACATACTCGCATACCCGTCCCGTCGATTCGCTTTTTCGACTTCACCTCCAACAATCCACTTGGTCAGCGCTACTGCATCCAACCCCGCCTCCCCGGAGCGAACGCGATGCTGGCTTACCCGAAACTCAACATCCAGCAGAAAGTGTCTTTCGCATCAGAGTACGGGAAGGCTTTGGCCGGGATGCAAGCGAAGACCTACTCATGTGCAGGTATTCTAGATCCCAAGGGTACCCGGGGCGACTTTGAGCAGGTGCCAATGCATCAATTCGACGTTCCCCCTCGAGACTTCCACGGTCGTTTCGGCGATTTTTCCGATTGTCCTGGACCACCAGCTGTTCCACAGACGACATTGGACTTCTTGTTATCGATGTTTAAGCGTCAGAGGACTTTCGATCTCAAACACAACCGGATTTATCTGAATCCCTGGGAGGAACTCACGAAAGTCGCACATGCCATGAACGACATAGGCCTCTTCGACGACAACAAATACTACGTCACCCATATGGATCTCGAGCCTCGCAATCTTCTTGTCCATGTCAAAGATGACGGCACTGCTACCCTGGGAGGCATCTTGGATTGGGACAGTGGCGTCTTCGCTCCCCGATGGATGGGCTGCAAACCGCCATCTTGGCTCCGGGACTGGCAATATGATGATGACGAGGACGAACTCAAGGCCAACAAAACTCCTGTGGACCCCGGAATGCAAGAGGTGAAGTACAAGTTCGAAGAAGCTATTGGTCAAGATTGGCTTCGCTACGCTTACACTCCAGAATACCGCATAGCGCGAAATGTGTGTCTTCTTGCGCTTCGAGGGACGAATGACTCCGACGCTTACCGCCTAGTTGATTCTACTATCGAAGAGTGGGAGAAGCTGCACCCTTTCCCAGATGTCACGGACGAGGTGGAGGACGAGATGGAGGTCGGGGAGGAGAGTTCTTCGGACGAGGATTCGGATCCTAGTCCAAGTCAAGGACCGGATGTTGAACCCTCTTCTATTCTGTAGGTCGTTGGAACTCCTTGCTGAGCTAAATGGCCCAAAGGGTAGGAGGCCTGAGCATAGAACCGGTTGCTCGGGTTGTGTGTTGATTTCATGTCGCATGGCGTTTCCGGACCTGAGGATATACCCATTCTGTCTGCGAGGCTGTGGACACCTTGAAGATCACATGTTGCTAAAAAGAGGCAGTAATAAACAGGAACCTGAACCTCCTGTCTAAGGTCCGTCCCTATGTAGCGAGAAACCCCCCGTGCCGAGAATTTGTTTTTCTTCAGACATCTCAAGTCTTTCCTTATAAGCCTATAAAGTCATAGCCAATATAATAATATTCTTTAGGCATTTCTCCTTAGGAGGCGAGTTTACAATAAGAAAAATACGACGATCTTGGTCATGCTGTCGATCGTTCCGTTCACGGCGTCCAGGACCAAATTAGCTTTACACCCCTGCTCCACCACAACTATCAACATATTTTCAGATTTCGGAGACTTAGGACGATAGTCCTATTAAAGAAAAATATATTTTAAAGCATTAAAAATGCGTAACACTTAAAAAAGCATGCACTTTAAAGTTTCTCCGTGCAAGAGAGGGCTTAGTGTCTTAGCGCATAGATTTAGTACGCTTATATAGTAGAGTATTATATATTTAGCTAACTATATTAGGACGAGCCTAATTATCACCCCCCTTTTTACTAGATATTACCCCCTTTTTTACTATATATTAACCCCCTTTAGATTTAGCCTAGCTCCGGCCTATATTAATATTATTCCGCTAACTATATTTACTTGCTTACCGCTTATATAAATTGGAAAAAATATATTTACTTTATCTATTCTACCTAGTCTAGAAGCGGAAAGCTTCTAAATAGCTACCTTTTAATTACTAATTAAAAAAAACGCCGTATATACTATTATACTAAGGTTTTATACCTAAAAATCCTTATTTACTATAAATAGCCTTTTTTTTAGGAGTAAATAAAGGGCTATTTTTAAGGGCTAGTTAACTATTAGAAACTAAGTAAGTAAAGCCCTAGGTTATTATTAGGGTGCCTACTTATCCGGCGGAGAAATCTAGTATTATATTAGTAAATTAAAAACTATTATTAAATATAATTATAGCCTAAGTAATAGTTTAACTAGTAGAATAAAGTTATTATATACCGGAGGTAGGCTAAATCTAAAAAGGCGTAATATATAGTAAAAAAAGGGGTAATAATTAGGCTTATTTTTATATTATATTTTTTACCCTTACTTATTATTATAATACTGTTTTGCTCTAGCCGGTAAATAGGGGTATAAATACGGGTTTTAGTATTTTAGCCACGATTACGCTATAAACTAAGGTATATAATTTACTACTATACTAAATAGTACTTCTATTAAAGTTTAGAGCCTATAAAGGTATAGCCGGTGCAGGTTAGCTATTTTTCCTATCTATTATAGTAATATTCTATGCTAAATTGTTTTTATTACTATTATTATTATTATTATTATTATTATTAGGTTCTATTAGGCCGATTTAGCTCCTATTAGGGTTTATATAGCAGTGCTATCTAGGTTTTATTTATAAAGGGAAACCGTTCGCTCTATAGCGGTTAGGTAAAAACCTTATTTTCTATAGTATATAACGCCTTACGTTCCTTTTATTTCTACGCGGCTATAGGGGACGCGTGGCAGCTTTATAAGTATTACTATAGAGTAAGCTATTTTAATATATTTTCTAGGATTAATCCGGTGTCCGTAGGCCCTAGGTTTTAGGGTTATACGGTGTCTAGAAGGTTAGTAAGGTCCGGGGTCCGCGTTAGGGCGCGCGTGCCCTTACTATACGCGTGTGCCCTTTTTTTTAAAAGCTAAGGTATTAAATTAAAGGATAATAGGAAATTAGAAGGGTTGCTCTATTACAGGCGTGTTTATAGTTATATAATATACGTGTATATATATAGTTCTATTTTTAGGGCGTAGCTATATAAATCGGCTGGCTATATAGCTAGCTTTTCTATTACTATCTTTCTAGCTATAAAAAGGTAGGGTAGAAGGTTTATTTAGTATAGAAACTATTATAAAACGGCCTTATTTCCCTTATAGTTTTTATATAGCTATATATATATTTTTATTCTAGCCTTAAAAAATATATTACCTTTACTATTATAGTGTTATTTATAGTATATACCTATAGGAGTATATAGGCGAAAGGTAATTAGGCACTTTTATATAGTGTAGGTATACGTTAAGCCCTATATATTCTATTTATAAAAGCGTAATAATTAAGCTTTCTACTTTTATAAGCTTATAGTATTTAGTTACCTAATTTTTATTCTATTTTATATTAAGAGCCGGCGTAGAAAAGCCTTTTTATTTCTTTTTATAGGCCTTCTATTTATTCCTCTACTTTTCCTTATATACTTTCTATATTACTTTTTATTTTAAAAGCTTATATAAGTTATTTAACTACTTTTTATACTTTAAGGCTAGTACTATAGCCTTAACCGCGAGCCTCTTTAGTATATTACGCCGGCTCGGCTTATATTTAGGCGTTTTCCTAGGCTTATAGTATTTTTTAATAGTATTTCTAATAGTATAGTATATAGTTTTAATATGCTCTTTAGCCTAGCCTGCGCGCGTGTAGTCTATATACGCTACTATAAGTTCCTCTAGCTTAAGCCTTAGAAAAGGGTAAAAGGTTTTATATTTAAGCGTTTTAATATCTATTATTTTATACGCCCCTGTAATAGTATAAAGGAAGTAGTTCTAGGCTATTTTAAGTTATTTAATCTTTACTTTACTAATTTATTCCTTTATACTTAGTATTAGAAACTAGGTAGTACACCTATATATAAAAACCGGCCTAATAACTACTAAGTATTAATACTATTAGCTATATAAAGGCTTCTATTTATACTATAGCCTTTTCTTTTATAATATATATATATAGGCCCTATTTAAGTTTAAAGTCTACCTAGACTTTAAGTATATAAAGCTTTATAATTAGGCCCTTTATAAAGCTTTAGATATTTACTATAGCCTTTATATTTACTATATTTAAACGGCGCCTTATAAAGTATATAAGGTAATACTTATCTAGGGCAAATACTATACTATGCTTTTTTGCCTACTCTATATACTATATATACGCACTTTTAATTACCCTATAGTTTTTTTCCGTGCTTTTACTAAATATAAAAATATTAGTATTATTTATAAACCTATAGGCTATTATATTACCTTTTTATAGTGCCGGCAGGAGTATACTTATAAAAAATAAGAAGAGGATTAGTAAAAGTAAGAATTTTTATAGTATACCTATATTAACCGGAATAGTTTTAGTAATATATCTTCTAATAAAAAGTTTTATAGTTTAGTTTTATAGGAATAATTCTATAAATTAGACTATTTATTCCGGTATATATTAGATCTATAGGTTATATATTATTCTTTTATAAAATACTTTATTAAAGGCCTTTAAAATATCTAGGCTAAAAAAAAAGGTAATAAAGTAAGAGTTGCCCTTCTATATAGTTTATATTTATTCTGTAAAAAGTTCTAGTACTATTTATATAGATTATTCGGGCCTTATACCTATTTAGCTTAGTAGGAATATACTTTTCTCTTCTGCTATTTTAGATAGTTTTCGTGCTATAATACGTTTAAGCAGCTTACCTATTATTTCTAGCAGCGTAATTAGCCTATATAACTTTACTATATTATAGAATACTTTCTAAGGCTTATATAGTACTATAGTAATTAATTTTTTATATAGCTATAGATAGTACCCTATATATATATACCTGGTAAAAAACCTAGCTAGTATTAGTACTAGCTATATTTCGTATTTTTTAAGAATTCTATTAGTTATTTTTATAATACCTAGGGCTTTATCCGGGGCTATTTTTATTAGTGCGGAAAGGATATTTTCTACTATAATATTTTATAAGGACTTATATAGCTCTAGGTATTAGTATTCTTTAATATTAAAAAGGTTTACCTCTATAAAAGGTAGGAAAAACTATTCTATAAGTATTTAGGCTTTAGTTTTATTATTTATATAAAGCGTTGTATTATTAGGCTATAAAAAAGGGGGGAATTAAGGCGGTGGCTATAGTTTCTTTCTAATAGTTCTGCCCTATTTAGCTAGCTTCTATACGCTTTTTAAATTTAATATAATTTTATCTACTATATAGTGCTATACTTTTATACTTTTTTTATATATAGCCCTTTTTTTTCTATTATACTATACTCTATATAAAATCTAGTCCTCTACTATTTTTAATAAGCGCTAGGTTTTATAGGCCCGCCTTATTTCCTATACTTTTTTAGTATACTTTATTAACTATATAGGTAATACTTATTTTAATAGCTTTATAAGTAATATAGTTTTGTCTATTATAGCTTATATATACTTATATAGGCGGTATGCAAATATATTAAGATTTTCCTCCGTTTCCTATAGGTTATTCTAAGTTTCTAGCTTATTTAGCCGTATTACTAGGTTTTTTTATACTTTTTTCTATACTATATTCTTCTATAGCCTATACTATAGGGGTTTAGCTGCCTTTAGTAGTAAAATATTAAACTTTATATATATAGGCCGGTAATTAAAGTTATAGTTCTATTTTTTTTATACTATAAAGGAAATTATTTATTCTATTAGCTACCCTATTATAAATATAAGGTTAGTTATAGACTATAATATTTCTTTTACCTATATTTCTAGCCTTTCCTTTATAACTAGGTTTATACCTGCTTTACGCGTAATATAGAGGAGCTTCTTTACTTACTTCTTAATTTATATAACTTAAACTTTTTCCTATAGCAGATAGTATAGGTTTATATCTTCGATAAGAATATATTCCGCTTTAGTATTATTTAGCAGTAGGAGTAGTTCCTATATAATACTATTAGGGTTTAGGTTATAGATATTATAAATATAGATCCTTTCTCCCTCTATATAAAAGGAAAAAGTGTTAAGATTTAGTAAGTAGTATATAACCGACTACTTATTAATATCTAGTTATTTATTAATATATATATAGGCTCTTATATATTCCTTTTCTATATATAGTAGATAGTATAACTTTGTTATATACGTTGTATATACTATATACCCCTGCCCCTACCTATATAGGTTCCTTTACAGTTTTTATATAGCTAGTACTATAGGTTGCAGGCTAGCGTTCTCCGCCTTTTTAAGGAACTCCTTCTAAGTTATTAAGTTCTTGTAGACGTTATACTGTATAATAGTAAGGTTGTTCGGTCGTTCTAATATTGGCTTATCTCGGTGTCCTCTTGTTGTTTCTTGGCTTGCCCGTTGTCTACCTGGGTCCTTTGCTCAGCGTGGATCTGTTAGTTGGCTAGGTCGTCTTATAATAATGGTATTTGAACCTCTCCGCTTGATGTTAG